TGTTACATGACATTCATTACAAATTTATTAACACTTAAAAGCCACTTGTTCACTGCCAATCAAGCTATGCATGGTCTTCTTTAAAACAAGTGCATTTCAATTATAAAGTGTATATGACTAGGGCTACAAAAAAATATTAGTGAGTTAAAACCAAAGGCTGTCTAAAAATGTACAACTTTTAGTGTTGTCTATATTAATGTGATTTACGGCAGAACCTCTAGATTTTTATGGACAAGGACCATAGATAAAGATAGATTTAAAGATATTCCTGTTATATAGATTAACTAGGTCGGTTGTGAACATTGGCTGTTCTTATGACATTGAGTACTTTTGGTGTAGTACATGAGTTCTGTAGAGAGAATTTTAAGTTAGTTTAGTCCTTCGCATGTCCTTCTTCAATTCTAGTCTGCAATATGATATATTGCACAGTGAAATATTGTTGTTCAAATAGTTCCATTCCCAGAGTTATTTTACACTCTATTATGAAAACCATTAAAACACCAAACCACCCCGCTTATCATTGAAGGACACTTTGAACCCTAGAAGTATGAGTTCACGGATTGTTCAATTCTTGGTGATTTTGCGTACATAGGATAAGATAAGATAAGATAAAGTTTATTGCTAAAATACATGTATCTGTATACAGAACGAGTTTACAATCACAAATTGATTATTATATTAACAGTAAAAGTATAAAGCAATTAATCATGTAAATGTTCACAAATTAAATGCAGTAGAGTACATTAATACAGTATGTTCCCTAGACTATTCATTTCAATTTCGAATTTTTTAAAGCTGTTAAATAAACTTTATAATGAATTAGGTGAATAAAAAACATTATTTGATTTATAGTTATAATGGAAAATCATCGTTTGTAAAGTGAAAGGCATAGAGTCTATGTGAAATGATCATTGGTCAATTATGAAACCAGCCTATTTCATAATTTGGTTTTCTTTTCACATTAATATTAGATTTACTATAAAATGATATTCCAGGGCCCAAAAAGTTATATAGCATAAATATGTGAAGTACACCTGCAGTATGGAAACAGTACAACAAAATGGGCCGTTTTACACTTTTTTCTAGTAAATTCCCCTCTAATATATATACTATTCTCTTTGGCAATTGCAAATCGTAATTTTTTGGTATAATTCAATATTTTAACAATGATAACAAGAATGGTATTTTTGTTACAATGAAGTGTGAATTTTGTTCTCACCTTTTTAAGAAAATCCAAAGATTTAGACATAAACATTTTCATTCATCTTGATACTGGAATTAACTCTTTGCCATAATCTCAAATTTTTAATCCCTGTATCTTTGCAACGTGACGGTGTAAACCTCTGATATTTAAAACTTGGATATTTAATCTAACAGAATTCATAGTCTACTACGACATTGGATTGCAAAGATATCAAATTCAGAAATTCAATAAGATTGTGACAAAGATTAAATTCCTTTCTATCTTTGAACTCACCAATTGTATGTGTTGCAAACTTGTACTTGACATTTGTTTCGAAATATTTGTCAATCGGAAGATATTTTGGGTTTTTAATAATTCATTCAAAAGTGCAAAATCGGAAAGGCTAGGATATTTCACTCTAAAAATAACGAAATTTCGCTTTTAAGTATTAAAAATTTTTTGATTCTTTTTAAATTAAACTTTTTATGATTTTGTAAAATTGTTTTATTTCTCTTAAATGTTTATAAAGTGTTGTTCAATGATTTACAGTGACATCTCTGGGGGAGAAAGTTTAGAAATTCATGCCAGGAATTTACTAAAAATTGAGACAATTTTCGGGGCAGGTGGGGGAGGGGATGCCCCCCCCATACCCATGTTTACAAACTTGCATCATTATTTTGTTTAAATTTGGATTTTTTATTTATCACAGAATCAATTCGCACTCTTGGACATCTATTAGATCAATTTCAGTTGCACCTCCCCCCACCCCAACACCCACCTCTTTTTGTTTATGTGGCACTCTTTTAGATCATGCACTTTCAATTTCAGTTGCACCCAACACCCACCTCTTTTTGTTCTTAGACCTCTCTTTTAGATCATGTACTTTCAATTTCAGTTGCACCTCTTTTAGGTTATGCACTTGCAGTTTCAGTTGCAGTTCCTCACATCCATCCCTTCACGTTCCTGGGCTTAATTAGGTCTTGCGTGCACTTGCAATTTTAGTCCTGCGGCCCCTTCCCCCCACACTAGATTAGAAAGTTCTGGACTGGATGTATTTGTTTGTTGTGTTGAGTGTCCTGCATGTCCCTATAGCAACCATGTCATGCATTCTTTACCAGTCAGCGTTTTCATGCCTTAGTCAAACAGATTCCTTGACCTAGTATTGTAGAATTTATTATTTTGTCCAGATTTCAATAGAAAGATAAGTAAAACCAAGAACTGTCTAAGGATAGTAAATATCAAATATTTCCTTTAATTTATTAAGAAAACACACAAAATAGATCACATTTTAAATTGCGTAAACAATTTTTTTTAAAATCTTTTTTTGTAATTCGTTAATGAAAATCAGAAACATTCAGGTCGAGTCTGTTCTGAGATAATTTATGTTATAAGAATGGTTTAATTTAAATAATTTTTAGATTTTTTTCCTAGCTAATTTTGTTTGAAAACTGTTTTATGGCAAAAAATAACAAAATCGATTGATAAAACTTTAAAATAGGGATATTATCTAAATTCTAACCTCCTTAATGTATATCTACTTGTAATTTAAAGTGCTTAAATTCGCAAATAGAACTGCAATGGAAAATTATCAATTTAAAGAGAGAAAAAAAGGGATCTTTCTGTCATTACTGAGACCATAAACTATTAAGATTGAATCTTAATCATAGCTACTAGTTTTGAAGAGATATTGAGAGGAAGAACTAAAATATTTTGAATATCTATTAAATGTCCGGATAATTATTTTCTTTTCTCGTACTTGTGTATAAAATGTAAAACTAGAGAGTTATTAAAAGGTCACAAAGTTGTACCAGTAAATATTGTATACATTCTACCCTCGCCTCGCCTCCAGTTCACAGTGGGTTATCCAAAACTAATCAAACATGTAATATTATTAACCCTATTTACCCTGACGTTTAGTTTCATGCCTGGTTCCCTGGTGACCCCCCCCCCCCCTCCTCTTTTTTCTTATTGTGATACAAATCTATAACATTTGATACGGTTTTGAAAAGACCTTAAGACCTCAATAATCTGACAAAACAAATGCAAATTTTCAAAAATCCAAATATTTATTACAATATCTAGTTATTAAGTAAAAATTGTGCAAAAAAAATTGCATCAAATTATACACTTTTGAAAAGCCCTTGACCCAGCAAATTTAAATCTTCAAAAATAGATTCAAAATTTTAAATTTTAAATCCTAAATGTGTATTCAAGAAAATGTGCAAATTCCCTTCAAAGTCGTCTGTGCAAATTTCTTTGAAAAATTGTGCAATCAGGTTGCTTTTGGTTTTGGCATTCCTAACAGCTGCAAAATGTAGAAATCCAATAATTGGAAGTAGGTCTAAATATTGATTTAGTCTAGTGTAGGTAAAATAAGGCATTTAGGCAGTGTGCCTGAGGACTCAGGCAGTAGGTATAAAAGCCCATCTTTAAGCCTTAAGTGATGGGCATGTGCTAATTAGAAAAAGTCAGAAAATTTGAGCTTCCTGCTCAAATACTTTTTGAGTTATTGAAAAAAAGATCGGGGGGAGACAAGTCAAACCTTCCCACCCCCACCCAGGGTAAATAGGGTTAACCGAGGCTCACTTGAAATAAAGTAAAAAGCCCCAGTAAGACAGAAAGTTCTTCTCTACTTTACAGAAAATAAGTTCTAAATTTTATGAAAAGTATTTTCATTCTGAGGTTAAAAATAATAAACGTCTCTAATGTTTTATTCTGAGGTTAAAAATAATAAACGTCTCTACAAGAGCACGGGGGGGGGGGGGGGGTAAGTAAAAGTAAGAGTATGAGGTGAAAATGTTCTAATCGGAAAGGAGACAAAAAATATGAATGGCCCAGACATAATCTATATTTATAATTATCTGTCTATCTATCCGAGTATCTATCTACTCATCTATCTAATTATCTACCAATACCTACCTACCTATACCTACCTACCGACCTACCTCTCTACCTACTTACCTACCTACCTACCTACCTACCTCTCTACCTACCTACCTACCTATACCTACCTACCTACCTACCTGCCTACCTATCTAAATACCTACCTACCTATCTAGACCTACCTCGACCAAAACCATGCGCGCGTAACGGTGCAGAGCACACTCAATTTTAGATTAAGATACTGTCTACTAGTCAGTTATTTCTAGATTTCTAGATGTACCTTAATTCAGGGTCTTTGTTTCGGATCCAACATGGCGGGGTTTAGAAGCATAAACGTTTATTGGCTACAAACAAGCAGACAAGCAAAGTATATATAAAAATATTATATATAAAGCAATTAAGGTGGCCAATATTGTAGTCTGTTGTATATGTATATGTATATATATATATACTGTATGTAGGTAATATAAAAATGCTTTCCGAGTGCTTTAATATGACAAAACAACTATAGTTCTATGTAATTATAAAATGTAATAAGTATTTATATTTTCCATCTAATCAATTTACAAAAAATAACATATTTCTTAATTTTCATAGCTGTGTTTCCCATTAAACATAATAATTGAGATACGATTTAAAATCAACTGTTGGTAAGTAGATATGAATAAAAAGTTTTAAACAAAAGCAAACACGTCAGATATGTTTTGTGTCTTTTTATACCACTAAATTCTATTGGAAACTTTAATACAGCTTTTATTAAAAAGTTGATTTAAAACCTGTTTATTGATGAAAACCATAGTTAAGGTTCAAGTTTCCCTTGTGTGCTGAGATATCTCCCCCCCCCCCTTTCAGGCCTATATTTAGGCAGTTAGTCACAGGCATCTTTACTAACAACATATCTCCCTCCAGGAATATATTTAGGCAGTTAGTCACAGGTATCTTTACTAACAACATATCTCCCTCCAGGAATATATTTAGGCAGTTAGTCACTGCCATCTTTACTACCAACATATCCCCCTCCAGGAATATGTTAGTCACTGCCATCTTTACTACCAACATATCCCCCTCCAGATCTATATTTAGGTAGTTAGTCACTACCATCTTTACTACCAACATATCCCCCTCCAGGAATATATTTCGGTAGTTAGTCACTGCCATCTTTACTACCAACATATCCCCCTCCAGGAATATATTTAGGTAGTTAGTCACTACCATCTTTACTACCAACATATCCCCCTCCAGGAATATATTTCGGTAGTTAGTCACTACCATCTTTACTACCAACATATCCCCCTCCAGGAATATATTTAGTAGTTAGTCACAGGCATCTTTACTACCAACATATCCCCCTCCAGGAATATATTTCGGTAGTTAGTCACTACCATCTTTTCTACCAACATATCCCCCTCCAGATCTATATTTAGGTAGTTAGTCATTGCCATCTTTACTACCAACATATCCCCCTCCAGGAATAAATTTGGTAGTTAGTCACAGGCATCTTTACTACCAACATATCCCTCTCCAGGAATACATTTAGTAGTTAGTCACAGGCATCTTTACTACAACATATCCCCCCCCCAGGAATTTAATTAGGTAGTTAGTCACTGCTATCTTGACTTCCAAAATTATAACTATACAAGTAGTAAACATTTACAGATTCATTGGATTCTTACAGTTTTTTTTTGTCTCTGTTAATATCCTTTTTAATGACCAAACGTTAGAAATATTTGAAAGTTCCAATTTAGGTGTTTTTTTACCATTCTGTGGCAGCTTCACTGCAACTTTTTTTAGATATTCATTTAATTTTGAGAGAATTCATCACACCATATATATTTCCTGTTGTAGGGCTATAATGTAACATAATCGACCTGCTATTAAAATTACGAAAACATATTTAGATAGTGATACTTTTTAGTATTCATTAAGAAAACTTTATGTTATGATTTACAATTTGCAACTTTATTTTTCTTTAGCAAGAAGAAAAATTTTAATTAATTTTAAAATTTAGAATATTTAAAATGAAAATGCGCGGGATATTTGTATGTCTCGGCCTGGTTCTGGTGGCTGATCTCGTTTCAGGATTTAGCAGAGGAGCCCCAGCTTGTGTAAAGAAACCTGGACATAAAGCTGAACCTCAAAATTCAACCAGCCCCTACCAGATCTATTTGAGGTAAACCAGCCCCTTATACCAGATCTGTTTGAGGTAAACCATCCCCTTATACCAGATCTATTTGAGGTAAACCATCCCCTTATTATTCTATGTATTTAGTAAGAAGATGGAGAGGAATGCATTCTATGTATTTAGTAAGAAGATGGAGGGGAATGTATTATCTGTATTTAGTAAGAAGATGGAGAGGAATGTGTTCTCTGTATTTAGTAAGAAGATGGATTTCTTGACAATTTTTCAATGAGTTTTATACTATATTACGTAAATTTCAGTATTTGCGAAAATAAATGAATAGCCATGAATATGCGGGAACAGTTTTAAAGAGTTCCATATAATCATTTAATTAAAAAACTAAATATCTGCAACATTCCATTATCAGAAAGTGAAGAATACGACATTTGATGAATTCTTTCGATGTATTCGTTATTAAGGGTTTCACTGTATGTATTTAGTAAGAAGATGGAGAGGAATGTATTCTATGTATTTAGTAAGAAGATGGAGAGGAATGTGTTCTCTGGAACCTGGCTACTAACTGTAGGATCTGATGAAGAGTATGCTCCGGAATACAAGGGAATCCTTATTACGGCCCAGCAGTCAGGTAATTAGTTAATATCGAAGAACGTGAGGTTAAAAAAGATGTTGATGTTATTATATGTGGCTCTTTGGTTAAAAAATTGCATGCATGACTCACAACAATATACTTTAATTTGCATTTTTAAAAATTCGAGAAAAATTTTTCTTCTAAATATATCGAGAAGGGTTTAAAGATATTTGGTAATTTTTTCGAGAAATCAGAGACAGAAAACTGTTTTTGTATTAAAAATGTTGATAGTCAGCGACTAGAACTATATCTTTGAATATTGTATATAAAAAGTAGCAATCTCTGTGTTATTTGTTTGTTAGGTATCCGATCATAACTCATGAACGTTTTCGATTTGCCTCTATTGGAGAACTTGGGAGAACCACGAAAATGTTATTGGCTTTGTTTTTAGATACGACCTATCCATAAAATATACGCTCAAAACTTTAAAAACTATTTTTGAAATAATATTATTTAGGTGATTTAATCCCTGTTGATTATGAAAAGTTCAAAACCGTCTCCAGGAGCTGCGATGGACTTCCCGCTTGGACACATTCTGCGGTAAGACAGGGTTACCCAAATAGATAATAGACATTAGAGACGACTGTACAGAATTTATCCTGTATGTTTTCTTATATCAATGATTCCCTACAATTGTATGCAGAACAGAAGAATTAAATTGTCAAATTCAAAAATATGAAGGTCGTCTTTACGGTCTTATAATTTGTAACCTACATCTTTATTTTATACATACTGTGGTAATATCTTTATTTTATATATACCGTGGTTTGGTTATATCTTTATTTTATACATACTGCGGTAATATCTTTTCTTTATTTTATAAATACTGAGGTAATATCTTCTTTTTATAAATACTGTGGTAATATCTTTATTTTATAAATACTGAGGTAATATCTTTATTTTATAAATACTGTGGTAATATCTTTTTTTTATAAATAATGCGGTAATATCTTTATTTTATAAATACTGTGGTAATATTTTTATTTTATACATACTGTAGTAATATCTTTATTTTATAAATACTGTGGTAATATCTTTATTTTATAAATACTGTAGTAATATCTTTATTTTATACATACTGTGGTAATATCTTTATTTTATACATACTTTGGTAATATCTTTATTTTATAAATACTGTGGTAATTTCTTTATTTTATAAATACTGCGGTTATATCTTTATTTTATACATACTGTAGTAAGTTCTTTATTTTATAAATACTTCGGTTATATCTTTATTTTATAAATACTTTGGTAATATCTTTACTTTATAAATACTGTGGTAATATTTTTATTTTATACATACTGTGGTAATACTTTTATTTTATACATACTGTGGTAATATTTTTATTTTATACATACTGTGGTAGTATCTTTATTTTATACATACTGTGGTAATATTTTTATTTTATACATACTGTGGTAATATCTTTATTTTATACATACTTTAGTAATATCTTTATTTTATAAATACTGTGGTAATATCTTTATTTTATATATACTGTGGTAATATCTTTATTTTATACATACTGTAGTAATATCTTAAATTAAATAATATACTGTATTAAAATATAATTTGTACTTTTAAAATATCATGGAAATGCCACATGAATTACAGACGATTCTAAATTCCTGCATGTTTATTGTTCAGTCATGGAGTGGCGAGGAGAACCTAGAGAAGAAGAAGAGTGAATGGGAGTTTACTCCAGCTGAAGGAACCACCGAGGAACCATCTTTCAGAATACATATTGTCCAGGTATATTCCAACTGAAGGAAATATACTTCAGAATACATATTGTCCAGGTATATTCCAACTGTCTTCAGAATACATATTGTACACCTAACTCCTAGTTATTGTAAAAATAAATAAAATAGCCATGAAGTATGCGGAAACTTTCATAAAGAGCTCCATCTAATCATTAAATTAAAAAACCAAACATCTGTTGCATTCCATTATCAGTAGATTAAAAGGACGACATTTTATAATTTCTTTCGATGGCCACAAGGTCTGGGTTAAACATGAAAATCTATAAATGGTTTTTAACTGTTCCTTATCATAATATCCTGGGCCTATTGAGTTATTGTTTTCATCAGCTTTCAGAACACCTTAAACATTATATTGAAATTCTGGCAAACTTGTTATTTTTAATAATCCTCATTATTTTAGGATTACAGAACATTCTGGGTTGATATCCTGGTTACCCCCTCCACCCACCAAGGAGAAGATGTTGAAAGATTTGCTCCAGTTACTGAAGGATCAGAGGTTTATGATTTCAGCGGAGAACGAGAGCTGAGTGGAGAACCAGGACTAAATGGAGACCCAGAATTGAATGGAGAATTCAGTGGAGATGGAGAACAGTTGGAAGTAGCGAACTAAATGGAGAAGATTATTTGGGAATATATCCAATACAAACGTTTGCGTGAATTATAAAATTGTTGTTTATATACGAAATATCTTTCGATTGGAAATGACTGCTCATTTTAGGACTGAAATTGCAGCTTCTTTTAGAGGTTTCAGGCACCATTTATAATTATGGTTTAACTCATACATATATCCCAACAGCTATTAAACGATTTTTAGACAAATTTGATGCATAAAATGCATAATGCATAAAAATATAGTTTATTACACATTTTTTTATTTCAAGTAATTATTTTTTATATTGGCTCCAAAATTGGGGGGAAAATGTCTAAATTATATTAATACCGTAAAATTGTTCAGATAAATAGTGTCACAATTGTTTTAAAAATTTCGAAACTAAAATTATATTTTTGGTTTATGCTGATTTGACAAAACCAAAACAGCAAAAGACAACAAAAATCTGCTCTTCATTCCATTATTCAGGACATTATTTTATTTGTTACCCTATATACTCTACATCATATATACCAAGTGACGATGATTAAATAAATGATTAAAATTCCATGCTTCTATGATAGAGATATTTATACGCAAAACTAAGCAATCCTCAATTTCGTTCAATAAAAAGCCAATGAATGTCGTCATTTCTATAATAAAAAAAAATATTTTTAAAGCATTTCCATCACCATTACGTAATTTGCCGTTAGAAATGCATAACTTTGTTTATTCTAGATAAACTTTATCATAAAACAGATTGCAATGTAATTGGCTAAAAAACGTTACTGTCCTAAAATTCTGCTTTCGACTATTACAAAACTATACTTGATGACATCTAACAAATTTTGTTTTAAAATATGTGGTATTTTTCATACAAATGAGATGCGTAAAAAAATCACAATTTTAGCTTTGTTTTAGCAGGAGAGTATCCTATCCTATAACTGATTAAAAACAAATTTAGAAGTTTATAACCATGTCGTTATTTTTCCACCATTATTAGCACCTACAATGATTAATTTATTTGATAACTAGAGTTTTAATGTTGATTGTTTGGATTTAAAACCACAGACTACACAGACTGCTTATATTCGTTCACAGGGTGGGCTACGTAGGACTATAGGTGAACCAGCACGACATGCTACGTTTTTACGATAGGTTTTTACAGTGCCATCTCACGGCCACTTGTTGAATATAATACTCATTCAGATGTTAAGTTTTATAACTTTTAAAGCAATTCTCCCATTTTAAACATGAAACATAGCATTTATGAATTCAGTTTATTTTTGAAGATTTTGTGTTTTGTATCCAAACGATCCTTAAATATCCCTGAATACAGATGTTTGCTGATTGGTTGTGTACACTACTTGTACACAACAGAACATGCTGGGGGAAATATCGCATATCATAGGTTTCAATCGATCTCTGTAACTCTCTTATCTCTGGAGAAAATAGGAACTATACTCTTAAAGGTTTCGCCGGATCAAGTATGAATTAGATATCAATGTCCATTATTTCAAAAACTAATTATCTTAATTGTGGTTTTGTTACAAAAGTGATTTGCGCATTTCTACATCAGGAACACATATAGTGATTATCAAAACCTAGAAAAACAATAATATCTTCCACTTTATTGATCAGATAATTTTGTCAAGGGTACCATTGTAAATCGAGCATTGCCATCTTAAATTGGAGGGTCAACTCGTTTCTTNACACTGAATTTTTGAAAATTCAAAAGTTACTACCATTTTACATGGCAGTTGGAACCTATGCACGTATTGAGAAAAGAGTTTAAAATCCGTGGTAGTATCTAAATTGTATCTTTGAAATCATAAAAAGTTACTACTGTTTTAACAAAGAAAATAAGGAATATCATAAAATTACTTAAAGTTTTTAATTTTTACACAGAAAAATGTAGATGATAATTTGAATTTACAAATCTTTCTTGAGATTATAATTTTATTTTTTATTAAAATAATAACAATTTCTTTTGCTTAACTATTTTAAAACACTTTTCGGTTTCAGAGCTTTTTTGCAACATTTAAGAAAAAAAAATGGCCTAACCTTTTTTTTGAAAAAAAAAGGCTTTTTATACCTACTGTTAAACGTTTGATATTTCAAACTTAGATTATTCGATCTAACAGAATTCATACAAAATGAAATATCTTTGGTATATACTCTAAGAAAAGTAAAATTGTCATTGAACAAAATTTGTTATGAGCACTGAGGCTAAATTCGACTTCAATTCAAATGTTGTGGGAAAGATTTTTTTCTTTTGTGGATTTTATAAATATTTGCGTACATTAATTTGTCCAGTGCAGGAGGGAACCCCCGGACGCCATGAGCCTCCGCTATGTGCAAACACAAGCCTCCCAGATTTGCCAGGCGGACTGAGCCTCAGCTATGCAGTAATGAGCATGCTTAAACTTGTGTTTTAAGTTTAAATGAAAAATTTTTTTTACAAATTTTTCCACAAATAGTGGCATGAGAAGTGAGAAGGTGAGAAGTATTTATAAATTATCACTAATTATGACAAATAAAGTGGTATTAATTTCTACTTTTTTATCTTTGATTTAAGCAATTCTTTTTTTGTAGTTCAAATTAAATCTAGAAAATTTGTACAATTTATTTAAATCTTAACATTTTTAAAAAAAGTATTGTTTAAATCAAAGATTACAACAAAACAAACTAAGTTTATTTCTCAAAATATCTTCCTTTCTACATAAGAAATGTTGAAAGTTTTAGAATAAATCACTTCATGAGTCTATATATGTTTCTAATCATGGCAAAATAACTCTTATCTTTAGTAAAATTATTATGCCACTACGTCAAAAAAATGGTTACAATTTTTCATCTATATAATTAACCAAGACATTCATATGTATATATATATATATATATATATGTTGCGTATAGCCAGCCAAACGGCTGGACTGATCAGGCTGAAATTTTTTATGGACACTCATGGGTGGCTGGGGAGTTAAAGGCTAAAAAATTTAGAATTTTTTTTTTTTCAAATGTTATTTTTTTAATTTTTTCCACGGGCAACGCTGGGCCCTTTAGCTAGTTACACAAAAACCAAGATTTAAAAAAAAGCTGTGCTTATGGTGGAGGCTCGTTTACTGCTTCGCGGAGGCACGGTCTGCGTAGCAGAGGATTGGTCTTCCTAGCAAGCCTGGGAGGCTCGTGTCTGCATAACGGAGTCTCGTGTCTGCATAGCGGAGGCTCATGGCGTCCAAGGGTTACCTCCCTCGTCCAGTATGATGACACAAGATGGTATATCGGCCTTGTTTATGAATGCCATGAATGCATTTATTGTCTTCTTAATGGATATGAATAAACTGAAATTACTGTACACTGCAGTACAATTAGTTTTTTACACAAACATTTTAATCCATGGGGTATGGAATAGAAGGGAGATACAACGAACGCGGCCCGCCCTACCATATGATTATGCATGCTTTGCAGACGGGACTCCATTTGTATAAGAAATATTCAGAACAGGTTATTGTATACGCGGTAATTATACATCAGACAAATATTGCTGCTTATTCAAATGAAGTACCGTCTGCAAAGCATGTATAATCATATGGCAGGGCGGGCCGCGTCAGTTGTATCTCCCTTCTGTTCCAGTTTACATAAAATTGCTCCAGCAGACCAAATTATAATATGTCTTGACATAAGGTATTACTGAATTCCCATGTTTATTGGGACACCCAGTATGTAACTTATAACCAGAATTGTGGATATCATTGCTTTATCATAATTTTTGTTAATCTACAGATTAATTTAATCCCGTGAAGTCCCAAACATGTTGGATAAGAAAATGTTAAACATTTTTGAACAGGGTTTCATCTAAATTAATGACCCTCCATGTAAAGATGGCAATACCCAATTAAAACGCTAACCTTAAAACCCTAATCTGAAATGTGGAAGATACCGTTGTTTTTCTGGCTCTAAAAGAACTCAATTCTGTACGAACTTGACCATTGCTTCTAATAAGCAAGAAATTCACAAGTCACTTTTGCAGAGAAACCACAAAAGAAAACAAACAATTTAAAAAAGAACATGGATATCTAATTCATAATAGATCAGACAAAGCTTTTAAGAGCATTGACAATGCCATGTTTGCATGGAGGGTCGCTTGAATTTACGTTAACAGTCTCTTTAATCTGACCTTGATTTCTGGGTTTATGTAGGGACTAAACAGTCCCTTTAATCTGACCTTGATTTCTGGGTTTATGTAAGGACTACCCCAGGCATATCCAGCTTGAGCAGCTAGTGCAGCTGCCACCAGACTACCAGAAAACAGATACAGTGGTCTCCTTTTCATAGTAAACAGAATAAGAAGTCCGTGATAAACTATTAAAATATGTAATCTGGCTTTCAAAGCCCCTCATTATTGAAATAATTTTTTCAAATGTTTTTTTGATAAATTCTGCTAAAGTGCACAATAAGCTTTAATAGAAAACCGCAAAACAAATATTATGAAGTTCTAGAATAAAAGTAAATTGCGATCATTTTTTTAGTTTTTTAAAGGGCCGCACTTTCGAATTGTAAATGTAACTTTTGCGAAATAATAATTTCTACCTTCTTAATTTATCCAAGGCTAGGGAGAGAAGAACCGGAACGAGGGCTCTAGAAAATATATATTTTATTTTTTCAAATTCTTAAATACAAATCAATGTTTAAAATTTGCAAACGCACATGTAAACATAAAAGTACAATACAACAGTTTATATGTAGTAAACGCTTACTCCATAACAATTTTTCGAACACATATCTATCCAGGTACAACTCAGATTCTCTTAACTATCAATGTCAACACACGGCTACAATCCCGTGAACTATCAACGCCACTACCACTGGGTGCAATCTTGTTAGCTATCAGTGTCAATATGGACACTAGCAATCAATTGATCAATGTCTCAAACAGGACACGATCAACACAGCTACAATCCCGTAAAATATCAATGCTGCACAATACCACTGGGCGTGATCTTGTCAGCTTTGTCAATCAGACAATTGTAGAAATCTATGGATCAAGCCAAAAACTAAGGAAACGAGCTCAATACGTAGGATACAATCCACAGGGCTACAATCCCGTGAACTATCAACGCCACTACCACTGGGCGCAATCTCGTTAGCTATGTCAACCGGGAAATAGCAATCTGTCGATCAAGCCAAAACTCAAGGCAACAATCTCAATTTGTATATTTCAACAAAACCATAATTATACTCAACACTATATCAACTAAGGTATATTTCTTCAGTTTAGATTTGAATTGGGTCTTAACAGCGTAATTACAAGTTATGCGCTGTTATATATAACGTAGTTAAGCAATCACAATATTGGTATGACGGAATTATAAACTCCGTATCGAATGGGTTTATCGCAATACATAAATTACGTATTTACTAATGGGCACATTTAACTATATGGACAATGTACAACTTTATTTACTATGGGGCCTCCATATTTGCTACATATATAGCAGAAAGTCGATTACTCTCGATGCGCTCCAATGGGAAATGTTGTCTCCTAGATGGTAAGAAAAAATCTCATTTGACGCCACTCTTGCTTCTATAATCAATGACGTCATATGAGGTTTGTTTCTATCTTAGGAGATAACATTTTCCGAACATTAGAGCGGATAGAGAATAACCAACCTTATTTTACAACCTTGATCATGACGGTGCCAAAATTTTAAAAGATGTTCAAAGATAAGAACATTTAGACATTTAATTCACTCTTCATCAAACAAAGCTTTGAAGGGTACCTTTGAGAATCGGAATGTCCCTTTTCTAAAATGAGGCTTGATTAACAGAAATTATTTACTGCTATGAAATACTTTAACTAATGGCCAGCCAAATTGTAAAAGCTATACAATTCGTAATCGTTCTAAAATTCGTAATTCGTAAAAAAAGGTCCATTCACCACTGTAAACTCAACATAAGGAGATTACGCAGCAGTACTATCAACCCTGTAGCAAATTTCTTCGGTTACATTTTATAAATTCAAACCAGTTTTCTTCTTCTCAATAGCTGTTCAAAAACGTCTGTTCAAAAAATAGGCTCTGATTAAAAAGAATTTTTTTGCCTTCTTAACCTTTTTAGTGCATCGATATAATTTACACAATCGATGTAATTAAAATAATCGATATAATTTATATAACCGATGTAATTAAAATAATCGATATAATTTATATAACCGATATAAATTACATAATCGATATAAATTACATAATCGACATAGTTTAAATAATCGATATAATTTACATAATCGATATAAATTACATAATCAATATTATTTACATAAGTGATATATTTTACAAACCCATAAGCAGTAATTATGACTCCAATCCAATACGTGTTTAAGAGAACCTGGACTTCCGACACTATTGTGTGCATATAGTATTCTGAAAACGAAATTTAATTTTTTTTTCAAATGAATTAAGTCTTTGCTGCAAACTTTAATTTTCGTTTTCCTATTACAACCCAATGTTGTAGACCTTAGATATTTCAAACTATTAAATCAGGTTGCAAAATATAGGGATTGGAAAATTTGAGTTTCTGGCAAAGATTCAATTAATATTTTTACAAAATATGAATTTTTATCTTCTATATAATAAAGCTCTTCACTCATATATTTACATGATAGCTAATAGCTGGCCAAACGACTGAACCAAGTTGAATTATATTGTTTGAGGAACCCCGTGGATTCACTGGTGCCGTGACAAACTCCTGAAAGACAAACTCCTAGGAGTTTGTCTTTCCGGAGTTTGTCTTTCAGGAGTTTGTCTTTCAGGAGTTTGTCACGGCGCCGGATTCACTGGCGGTAACATAGGCTAACAAATAATCTTAAGTGTTTTTTAGTCCACGGGCAACGCCGGCACTTCAGCTAGTATTGAAAAGTGCCTATTTGGATAACCATGAAGATAGAACAATGACAAAGTTTGAGAAGGGATTTTATTTAAGTAATTATGTCAGCATTTTTAAAATATAAGAAACAGGACAAAGGAATTGAGTCTTTGCATCAAACTCAAATTTTTTAATGCCTCTATTATAAAATTTGAGTTTGTGACAAGACTCAAATTTTACATGACCCCACAGAGAAGGTTTATGGATGCTTGAAATTACAAAATAAATTGTGTCCAAAAGTTTTTGATTTTTGTAAAATTTTGAAAATGCGCAAAAAGTTATTATTAAATCCGCGACCTTTTTTTTTAAATTAAACAAATAGATGCAGATCCTCACAGACAGAGCCACAATTAAAAGTTAAGTATAAGATGGGCTCAAAGTAGTATATATATATATATATATATATATATATGTCTCCAATATTATTTACCTAGAGCCGCGAAACCCCCCCAATTAATGCCAATTGTCAGCATTAGATTAGGAACAAAGAAAGGTTTGAGGAAACTTGAATCCAAAGCTCGCCTGAAAAAAAATTTAGCTTTGATAATTGTCCTTAAAGTTGGTTATTTTGGTGGGGAAAAAATATTGTCTTTAAGTGACCCTTCATGCAAAACTCATTTCAACGATTATCACGAAGCAGTCACTTTTAAACCTAGAAAATCTACAATATCTTCCACAATGTTGACCAGATAAAGGTTTAAAGGGTAAATGTTGTGAATTGTCATCTTTGCATAGATAATTACTTAAACTTACGCTAACAGTCCTTTTAAGTGCAATTTAAAAAGATCTTGTATCTACATGTATACATGTCACTTTTATAAATATTTAAAATCTAAATACAGAAGTTTATTTAATAATTAACCTTGCATAATTTATCTAAGCTATTGTAAAGAAATAAACTATAAATAATTATTTAAACAAAGGTTTTACATTAAATTCCATTTTTTTAAAATACAACTACTTTAAATTCCATTAAGTTTTGGAACTTTGATTTGACACTTGACTCTTTTTCCTGCATAATGATGCTTTCATCATTTTCTTTTCGTTTAGCAGCTTCCAACCTTAATAGTTTTAATAACTTTTTAATGATATTTTATGTTTACACAATTTAGATTTTTTTCGAACATATTTTCTTCGCATCAAGGGACGGTAGGAGTAATTTTAAGTGAGATGGCCAAGCCCAATTCACAACTGTACCCTTTAAACCTTTGTCAGATCAAGTATGAATAAGATATCTACGTACAACATTTTTGAAACTGGCAATTTTTAGTTGTAGATTCTCTAAAAAAGTGACTTGTACATTTCTACTGCAGGAAAATATATAGGAATTATCAGTACTTTTATGCCTAGAAAAACGACAATATCTTTCATACTTTTTATCAAATAAAGATTTAAATGGTACCGTTGTAAATCGGACATTGTCATCTTTGCATATAGGGTCATTTGAAATTAGACTTACAGTCCCTTAAATGCGCTATCCTGATTTAAATTAGACTTACAGTCCCTTAAATGCGCTATACTGAGTCCTGATTTAAATTATTAAATTATTGATGTGCTAAAAAAGATGTTCTGAAAAATACATATTTTTGTTTATATATGAATTATATTTGTACCAAGTTTCTGGTGTAGTATCACTGTAGAACATCAAGGCCAGCTTTGCACCACTCTCATTACTTCGTCTAGATATTTAAACAACCATTTTTAGACAGTCGTCGTTCAATACATTAATACAATAAAGACGACTTTCTATCTCAATATTTATTTCTACCAAGCTTTCAAACAGCAGAATTATACTTAAACATTTATACAAACAGAAAACCTCTCGTCGATTTGTTTATTAGTAAACTTGATATTTAAAAATGCTTTCAAGGGATCAAATCAATATTAATAAAAAGTCGTCTTTAATATATTGATATAATCGCCGACCGTGCACATATTTTTACATTTTTTTTATATTATCTCAAATTTTTTGGACCATTTTATAAATTCATTTAGAAAAAAAAAACTCTCGTTTAAACTGCCGGCCAACCGGACTTTTATTTTTTGTTGAATAATTCACTATTGCAGGCGAAAAAAATACCTTAAAAATTGAACAATCTGAGTGTTGAAAGATTATAATTGAATATAGAACTTTTGAAATCGCAAAAGTTCGTTAATAATTAATTAAATTTCAAAATAGTGGCACAAAGCTAATTTTTGAGACAGATATTTGCATGATTAAAAAAAAAATTTGTCTTAGAAAAAATAAATTAAAACATTCGACAAAACTCTTATATACATAATCACAAGACATCCAAGATAATTTAAGGGGGGGGGTCCAATTCTTAAAGAAGGTAAAAATCAGACTTAACATACCGATCAATATAGTTCAACATATATATATATATATATACTTTTTTTGTCTGTCTGCTTGTTGGTTTGTTTGGATAAACGTCAAAACGGCTAAACCTTTCCGGCCGTAATTTTTTGTGGGACCTCACATGACCCCAGGAATGGTTTATGAAACATCAAAATTGAAAAAAAATTCTTGAAAATAGTTTGATTTTTTTAAGTGCGCCAATTCGAAAAGAAAAATCCACCAAAATTTAAAATTTCTTTTAAATGGTCGACTTTCAGAGAAACGAATAAAAGCTAATTTTTAAACAGGGACGCGAAGCGCCCTAAAATCTTATGAATACATATACCTTTATGTTTTATATTTAGGATAATTGAACAATATTAAATTGTTTATTAGAAATAAATTCCTACCTAAGAAGCCAGGGAGGAGAATCTTTAATAAATACGAGTAAACAAAAAGATAAAGAAGGAGGGATCATTGATATAGGTACCACAGTTCTCCAGGGCAGGGAGGCGCCTTTAAACAGATTAACCATTTACAAAGTGGCATGTCCGATTTACAAGAGTACTCGTTTAACCTTTATCTAAGTGGAAAACTTTTGAATGGGATATCCTTAATCCATATCGGTTAATTAATCTGGAGATAAATAACAAGAGGAGAACAAGCCCTATTTAAAGAAAAAGAGTGGATTAAGCACTAATCCCGATATCCACAGTTCATAAATTCCCAGATTTAATCAATAACGTGTAGGGGTTTGAAAGTTTTTATTCTAAAAGCTTTCTTTTTTCTCTCTGAGCATTATCACTTTTAATTCACATTTAAGTTAATTAATTATTTAGAAGTATAAAGGGTACCATGGTGAATTAGAAACTTGAGGATTACTTGAAATTATGTCTGCAGTCTCTTTAAGGTTGTTTGGTAATTTTCCGGGTGGCAGCTTCTCCAAGCTTAGGTTAGGGGGGCCGAGCGCTGCGGCTCAATAGACTTGGGAAGATGTCGGCTGGGAAATTACACTATTAGGAAGTTATCATTTGGAAAAATACCCTTGGGAAGTTGGCAGTTGGGAAAATGCTTTTGGGAAAGTACCTATCGTCTGTTTAACAAGTTTGTATTATGCATTTGAATATAGTACGGTGGTGAGCGATTATATCAATACAATGAAGACGACTTTCGACTTAAACTTTGATTTATAACAAGCTTTTACACAGAATAGATACACAATAAATGAAAACAGAGAGAAGCTGTCAATTTAAAAAGCTTCTCTTTAATTACTTGTAAACTTGTAAATCTAAAAAAGCTTGTAAACAATATAAACTTTAATAAAAAGTCGTCTTCATTATATTGGTATTATCACCTACCAACGTATGTAACTGAAATTAATGGAATCGAGGTCATGAGAAATATATTTTTGAATGCAAAAAATATAAATCCAATTGTTCCTACTTTTTTGGCTTTTAGGGCCTCCCAAAAAAGCATAAAAGGTCTAAATCAATTAAGAAATTTTGTTTTATTACAAAATACAAAAATTGACAATGCCAAAAAAAACTATGGTTTTATCAGAATTTCACCATCTTGCATTATCTACAAAAAAAACTTTTAGAACAAATATAATTTAAAACCGCAAGAAAGAGCCAATGCGATGAAGAATTTTCAAGATGAAAACTTAAATTCTTACCAAGAATCATGGAAAGTGTAAAACCAATATTATGATTGATGATGAATAAGCTCCCTGTAAAACTTTTACAAAAAAAAAATTTAAAATGAGCTATGCATTATATTTGATTAATCAAAAAAAAATATTCCTCGGATGGACGGATGTGATATTTCTCCAACAAAAACCGGAACAGAGACATAGTTGCTTCCGGTTGAGTATCCTAAAAACAAAATGTTTGTTATAATACAGAAACAAATTTATGAATCAACATGAACTAGACTATACTAGACGTTTTTTAGCAGCAACAGCACAAACTGCAGTTATTGCCAGAAAGGTCGAAAATCCTAGTTCAGCCCCCCCCCCCCCTCAGATGATGACACTTCTAAATCAGTTGTCTAGTTTAACTACCCAATTATAATTTATAATCCCGTTCCCGTATGCGCGCAACTTTTCATTTTTCATGCCGCGTTCTTGCAGTTTTTTACAGAGAGGCAATACTTTCAATGCACTAAAATAGTGTTATGTAAGAAATGAAAGTTTTTCAAAAGTTTAAAAATTATGATATTCACAATTAACTATTAGATACTACAGTTTAATTTTATATCCGAATTTTTTTTAATCCATGACAGTCGAAAAACATCAAATAGTGTTTAGAAGGACCGTCCCTTCGCGCTGGTATTATGAACGAAAAATCGGCTTTTTCTCCGACCACAATTGTCTTTGAAAAGTAAGACCAGTACTAATCAATAGCTTATAAGCTATTTACCCAAATAAGTCCCTTTAACTGTTATAACTAATGACCGATAATTAGAAACTCCATAATCTTTAAATGGATTTTTAAGTTTCTTAGCATAAAATTTTTTATTTTAAAATTTGTAGAATTGTTTTTGATCATGATTATGGATCTGATTTTGAATCCAGATTCCAAATTCCAGATTCCAGATTCCAGATCCAGATCTGGGTCTGCAATAAAGCATTGGTTCCGACAGCATTGAAATCACCTGTAATAATTCTGCCTAAAAGAATGAGTGGAAGAGAGTTAGTTAGACTGACCAGAAGAGAACCAATGATATATCCCATGGACAATCCACCATCAGACTCTTCCTGCTCCCAATCCTCTCAACCAAATATCCTCCACCAATCACACAGCCGAGTACATGGGAACTAGCTAGATTAGACTGTATTGAAGAGTAATGAAATCTAGAAAACTCTGAATGTTAATCTTCAAATGTGTAGGCAGTCTATACTTTAACGCCTTGGCCTTTCATTATATCCTCACCAACTTACTTATACATTTTGTAACCATAGACACATACATTTCAAAATTACAATGCGCTTGTTTCTAGCTTAACTTTAAAAGAAGTAATTTTCAAAATACTGATAGATTGGTTCTGCAGTGAGATTCCACGGTACCACGCAAAGGGTGAGACTGTAAAGACAACATTAAAGTCGTAAAATATTACGATCCAAAACTTTCTGTCTTGAAAAAAGCCTTTTAATGGCTTGCTTGTTGATTTGACAAAGAAAGAAACGAGTTTACAGTTGCTTGGAGAATCGAGAATATCAGAAAAGAGACAGAATAAATACCGTACAGTCGTCCTTGAGGCCTCAAACCCTGAACACTGTATAGTGTACACATACACATGAAATATTTCATTTGTGCATGGTATTGGAAAACATTCCTGGAACTGTGAACATAGCACATGATGCAACAAATATTATAATTTTATTAAAAACTCCGTCAATTCTGAACAAAATCAAGTTTTAAAATTCATGGGCTACAAAAGGTTTAAGTTAGTTGGTAACGTCAACCAAAGATCAAGAGGCTGGCGAAACTTCCAAATCGACCCGCTCTCAAAAGTTAATGCATAATTTATATAACTGTATAGATTAATAAACCTAATCAAAGATGCTCTGTGTATATTGGACCTGATAAAGTAGACTATAGATAGTTTACGTTTAAAGAATACATTTCAACAAGAAAAAAAAAATATGAAATTAGGTTACAAAGTGCTCTGGGTATTAACCTGATAACGATTGCATTTAAGCTCTTTTAAAAATTTAAATTCTGGCATTGATCAGTCAAATCTTGTACATCAGTGTAATTCGCAACAGATTACCTTCCTTTCAAATATTGTCAATTTCATCAACCCAATTTTATACGAATAAATTTAGAATATTATACAGTTATAACCATGAAACTCTATAATATATCGACAAAACCGAGGAACTATTTCCCAAGTGGCAACTTCCATTATGTGCAATTTCCCAAGTGGCAACTTTCCATAGGTTAGGTTTGGCCTTGCAATGTAGGCCTAGCACTGCGGCTAGAATGGGCTAAGGGGCAGAGCGCTGCGGCTAGGATTGAATTGGGAGGTTGCCGCTTGGGAAATTGCACCGTTGGGAATATACCCATGGGAAGTTTTTTCTTGGGGAAAAACCTTTTGGAAAATACCTAAGATCTATTAAACCTACCAAACCAGGAGCATTCCTCATCATCTAGTTGTATCCCTCCTCCTTATCCGACCAGTAACTGTGGAATAGCGTAGGAAGAGAGAGAGAAACAGAACCCGACTGTAAACAGACCTAGGTTTCCCACCTCAGCTGCAACAATCTGAAAGCGTAATTTCAATTCACAATGGTACCCTAGAAACCTTTATCTGATCAACAATGTGGAAGATATTGTCGTTTATCGAGGTTTAAAAGTGCTTATGACTGATAATTCTCATATGTTTTCCTGCAATAGAAATGCGCAAGTCACTTTTTCAGAGAAACCCCAATTGAAAATAAACAGAGCTAGGAACTTTAGAATGGGATATCCTTAAACCCGATCGGTTAATCAATCTGGAGATTAATTACAAGAGGAGAACAAGCATTATTTTATCCTGAGATCAAGAAAAAGAGTGGATCAAGAATTAATCCCGACATGCACCATTCAAAAGTTCCCAGCTCAGTTTTAACAATTCTAAACATCACTATGTAATTCATAATTGTGAATCGGGCAATGCCTTCTTTGCTAGGAGGGTCTCTATCAGCCGGTTCTTTAAAGACAATTTAATACAAACTGTTTATACTTTTTGAACTTAAACATTGCATGTTCATGTTCAGTGAGAACCAGAAAAGTCTGGAATAGAAAGGCGGCTTGTAGACTTTAGGTATATATTAACCTTGAATGTGAAGTGTAAACAACCCAATTAACTAAATAAGTGATTAAATAATATACTAATACATTTATTTCTTTGCTACAACATCAAATACACTTGAGGATTACTATAATGTCGTCTTCTTATTCCACAGTTTTCTGGTTCTCACTGTATATATAAAAATAAAAAAGTAGTATTCTTTGTTCGTCTGTATTTAGTATGAGAGAGACGTATATCCAATATTCTGTTATTGATCAATTAATAGATTGGATTTCAACTAAAAGTGCTTCCATTTTAATCTTACAATATTTACAATTATGAAATTTAATCTTACTGACCTGAATATGTGTTTTTCTTTTCAAACAGAAGGGAATGGATGTGGATGGATCCCAAGTTGCAATATTTGCAATATTAATGATCAAAATTAATACCATCATTAAAAATCTCTGGAGTCTAGATTAAAGGAAGTGACTGGCTGTGATATAAAGGTTGCAAGCTCTCATGCCAAAATTGATGAGAATTTTGCCAATTACTTCTTAAAAACTAAAGCTAAAAACAATTGCTTTAGAGTTCTACAATGATCATGTTCAGGGTTCAAAACCAAAGGCGTGGCGACACTCCAAAATCGATCCTGTCTTGTAGGTTGATGCAACTTTTCATAGCATGGGGAATCTAATCAGTTTAGAGTGATTGAGATTGCAATATTATAAAATGAAATATGAGGAGTCATGTATATTATAAATGAAATATGAGGAGTCATGTTGATACCTACAAACATGATTTTACGTTCTGCATAAGACGGAAAACTTGTTCTTTAAAAATCATGAGGCTGGATAATTCTAGAACAAACATTCTTTATAAATAAACTTTGCTGATAAGAAACATATCCCTCAAAAGAAGTTCTAGATGATCGATGAAATACGGGGTAGAGTCATCATTATCTTTAAATCTATCTTTTCTGCAAATACGCCAATTTATTACAGGGTGTCCCACGAAACATGACAGTTGGTAAATAGTTTTAAGAATGTCTTCTTCCAGAATTTTTTAAGCTGTTCAATTGGAAATACAATAATAAAAATATTATATAGGAGTCATGTAAAATTAAATTAAAAGTAAAATATATTTGAGAAAAAGATTTTTTAACAAAAAAAACCCTAAAAGTCTTTAATATCTAATACAGTGTATGGAAGACGACATTCAAAACTATTTACCAACTGTCATGTTTCATTGGGACACCATGTAGCTGAAGTCACTCCCCTTTAAGCAATAAGCATTCCATAGCGGTTTTTCCCCATAAATTGAGATTTCTATCTTGTGAGGATCTTAATAATTTTCATGTCAAGTATGTCACAATTGCGTTATAAATTTATAAAATCTTTACATAAGCAAAAGTAAATATCTCCATTTTTTTCGATGAAGCAATTCGAAGAAAAAAAATTATTATGAAAATTAAATTAGCAGGTTTATGCTGAAGACCCCTAACAGAACTGATCCTGAAAGCTATGTTAAGATTAAGAGTAAACCAGATTCTCAAATATTCGATTGAATTGAAAAAACCATGCATGCATATTCAAATATGCGAAACCGGGTATACTAGGGCAGGGCAATGTTCCGATAATAAATGTCATTTGCATTGATTAAAAGAAGAATTTTTATTGAGAAATAATTAAAAAATGATTTTTAAAGTTTTTTTTCAAATGAACTGAGCTCTTGCCAGAAACTCTGATTTTTTAAATCATTTTATATTTGCAATCCAATGTCACGTCATAGACCTTTAGATTTTTCAAATTTTAAATTCAAATAACCTAAGTTTGAAATATCAAAGGTTTTCTCCATTAGGTTTCTAAGATATAGGGATTTAAGTTTATGGCATAAAATCAGCCCCTCTAACCTTTCAGGGATAGAGTACAACCTTTAGGACTTAACAGTAAAGTAAGTTTTGAAATGTTATAATTAACTTCAGTTAACGCCTTTAAACATCTGATACATTATTAAACGATCAACTTAACGAACATAAACCCTTTAACTGACGAAAAGCCAATTGACGAGAAGGTGGACATTGGATAATCCTAATAGTAATATACGAGAAAGTGGACAGAATAACCCCAATATACAGGGTGTCCCAAAAAACATGGGAATTCAGTGACGAATTGGATATCGTCTTTGTTACGAATTAGCATTGTAATACCTAATTTCTAAAGCCATAATATTATTATGTCTGCTAGAGTTTATTTTATGAAAAGGGTAAAAGACTGCAAAGATGTGTCTATAATGTCTCCGCAAGATGAACAGTTAAGACGGACAAGTTTACTCTGTTTGTATACTGTAATTTTCTTGTTTTATTAAGTAGAACCGTATGCAGTCAAAACATAAACAAACAAAATGTGAACAAAGCAGACGAAACTCTTACAGATTACAGCTTTCTCAGTAGGTATCACTATACTGATTCAAAGAATTAGCTAAAAAGACGATATCGAATTCGTCACTGAATTCCCATGTTTATTGGGACACCCTGTATGAGAAGGTGGACTAGATATAACCCTAATATACGAGAAGGTAAACTGGATAACCATAACATACGAGATGGTGGACTAGATAACCCTAATATACGAGAAGGTGGACTAGATAACCCTAATATACGAGAAGGTGAACTGGATAACCCTAATATACGAGAAGGTGGACTAGATAACCCTAATATACGAGATGGTGGACTGGATAACCTTTATACACGACAAACCTGTCTAAACGTGCTCCAAAGTATAACGGTATAATTAACTAAATTACCCTAGGCATTTTATGCTATTTACTTTTGCAAGATGTGACCTAGATTAAAGAACCAACTAGGATTATTATTAATTAAGACTGAAAGGGACTGTAGACGTAATTTCAAGAGACCCTCAAATTAAAGAATGGCTTGGTCGATGCACAACTCCAATCTGAGAATAAATCCGCAAAGTAAGCATTTTTTAAAACCTTAAAGGGAGTGTTCGCGAAAAATAAAAGGGGGTAAAGGCTTAATGCGATAAAAACGCGCTTTTGATCACTATTAATCTTACTTCTATCTGTTGCGTCTATAAGGAGAAAATTGTTCTAATATCATAGAACGTAGTGTCCATACAAATTCAGAAAGATGCAACATTCAACTCGGATCGTAAACAAATCAATTTAATTCCTAACAAATCATTCAGATATTACAAAAAATGGTCATCTATTATTTTTCAACGCATTCGTATATAGTTAATATTTTATGTCATTTTAAATTTTTCATGATCTGAGAGTTACTTTTGAAAACATTTATTCCTGTTTCGAGGATGTTTGATAATGAAGACGACATTTTCATATTTTCCAGGAATGTTCGAAAATCCAGCGCCAATGATAATTATTTAAAAAAAAATCAAAAATATTATGAAATATCAACTATATACAAATGGGTCGAAAAATAATCGATGACTATACTGTATGTAATATCCGAATAATTTGTTTGGAATTAAATTGATTTCAACCGAACATAAAAATGGTTGAAACAAGCAAATAAACATAGTTCAAATTAACATAAAAGTTAAATGAACCAAAAAATAGTAACTCTTAACATATTTTAGGTATGGTAAACTTTATTTCATTTAGACTATATTCATGTTGAACTGAATCTTTAAAAAAACTTTTTAAAGTTCATTTGAACTATTTATTTTGTTCTATTGAACGATTTTTTGATCATTTGAAATATATATTTTTTGTTTATTTGAACTTTTGTTTTTTTATGCTCAAATGAACAGAACAACTATAATAACGTTGTACCAGGTGCGGTAGTTCAAACAGGATAGTTACAAAGACGATATCTAGATCGTCCATTAATGTTTATTGGCACACCTTCTATCTCAATTGTCTACTAGTATCGAGTACTATGGATCCTTACAATCAAGATTAACCGTCTGAAAAAAGTGTGTTTTGATACTTTGCTAAAATGCAAATTATTGCAAGTTGTGCAATAGTATATTATTTGCATTTGCAATATTACGCAACTTAGGTTATTTTTTGTTGTCTATCTATGAGATAAAGTTAATTCAATTTTGTTTGAACCTTATCAGATATGCAGCTAGGGTATATCTACAGGGTGTCCCAAAAAACATGGGAATTCAGTGACGAATTCGATATCGTCTTTGTTGTGAATTAGCATTGTGTTACCTAATTTTAAAAGCCATAATATTATTATGTCTGCTAGAGTTTATTTTATGAAAAGGGTAAAAGACTGTAAATATGTATCTATAATGTCTCCGCAAGATGAACAGTGAAGACGGACAAGTTTACTCTGTTTGTATACTGCAATTTTCTTGTTTTATTAAGTACAACCTATCGCAGTCAAAATATAAACAAACAAAATGTGAACATAGCAGACGAAACTCTTACAGATTACAGCTTTCTCAGTAGGTATCACTATACTATATCAAAGAATTAGTTAAAAAGACGATATCGAATTCGTCACTGAATTCCCATGTTTTTTGGGACACCCTGTATTAGAGGGGTGGGGGGGGGGGCAGGGCCTTTTTTCTTTTAAAACTGAATCCTGTTGCTTGGAATCTTTTGTAGATAGAATTTTAAACATATGCCCACTGTTTTTGGCCTACAATTTTTCCATTTTAAATTTCTGAGAGAAACTGGGCATTGGAGGCCAACTAACTGCCCCCATTTTGCCCTTTAACTTTTTTTTACTTGCAATGTAAGATCAATTAATCTTGGTTTAAAATTGATTTTTACATTTACAACTTGCAAAACTGGTTTAAAATTAAATAAAAAAGTTCGAATCGATTTTTCATTAAAATTTACTGGTTTTAAGAATTTCTACAGTATATTGCACTTGACCACAACTTCTCTAATTATTAAACAAATGCATGGTGTCACACGAAACATGACAGTTGGTGAATAGTCTAGAATGTCTTCTTCCATAATTTTTTAGGTTGATTCATACCATAGACAATAATAATATTATATGGGAGTCATATTACATGTAAAATTGATTTCAAAGTAAAATAAATTTGAGCAGATTTTTTTTAACAAAATAAACTGCTAAAAGCCTTTAATATCATAATACAGTATATGGAAGACTACATTCAAAACTATTTATCAACTACCATGTTTAAAATTTCTAATTTGTAACAAAATAAATATGCTTTTCTATTGTGTGTAAAATCCAAACTAGGGGAGCTACGAGGTCACAAAGTCTTGCTAGTCATGTCTCCCTCATGTATAGTTTCAAGTTGTTAAAGATAAAACAAAAATTGCCTAAAATCCTATAATTTTACCAAACCAAGTGTGATTAAAGATAAATTGTTAATGTTAATTGGCATGTTGTTACGGTTTTCAATAACATTTTTGTTTACTATGAACTGCAGATTTTGTAATGAACAGTAAACATCATAGTTTGTTGTCTTCATATACCAAAGTAAATTCTCATCTCAGACAGAGTTATCCACTGAAAATCCACAATCGACAATAATTAATTTTTAAAGAGAAGATGATGCATTCTTGTCGAGACCAAGGTTTCAGGCTGTAATTTTGACATGACACACGCACACAATGACTCCAGATTTTAAAAACTAAAAAAATTCTTTCATCTCAGTTACATTTTGAAGGTGCATAGCAGGGAGTAAGGAAAAGAAGGGTGATAAAATAAAATACATCTTCGAAAAATAACAACTAGTTAGCAACTTTCAAATCTCTAGAATTTAATGATAAAAAAAAAATAATAAAAAAATTTATTATATAAAACAAAACAAAACCATTCTTCAACTGACTAATGGACCCCCTCTCCACCCGCAGCGGACATTATTTTTTCGGCCAATTCAATACCAACACTATTAAAGGCATTCTCAGCCCACTGCGGATACTCCCGGGAAGGATAAAGAGCTTCCATAAACTCCGTAACAAAGTCGGGAAATCGGCCATCTTTAATTGCTGCACGTGCCTTCGCCATGAGAGACAGCTGATGCGCGACATTGTGTACTGTGATAAGATGGCAGGCTGACGGTTCTTTTGTCACGATTGTGTGAAGATAGGCTCTTGACAATAATAGGGTTATAGAGCACAGTTTTACACCAAGTTAGAAACATTGATCTATTAAAACTCAAACAATGTAATTTGTTGGTTTGCTTCTTCTAAGCAATAGTCCTTAACAATATCAAACTCTCAAAATAAATGTTCGTCGTTAATCCTGAACAAACATAAACTAAGTTCAAAACTTGGTTAGTGTAAATCCTTAGTCAAGCATTTATCTTTAAAGTTGTAACTGTATCATGTTTGAATCGAGATTAAGCATTGTAGATTCTTTTTTGTCAAACAAGTTATGACATCTGTGGCCGAATTTAAAGAATTTGAGCGGCGGTTTAAATTTAAGCCGCGGTTTAAATTTGATTGGTTCACCTTAAAATTGTATCAAATGTTTCAAGATTAAAGCCAGCGCTAAATTTAAACCTGGTTTTGGCGGATTTAAACCGCGGCTCAAATTCTTTAAATTCCATCTCTGAGCTGAAAACTTAAGAATGGTGGATACTGGATTTTGGGATCAATGCTTGATCTCCTCTTTTTCTTAATCTCCAGATTAAATATTGCTTGTTCTCCTCATGTTATTAATCTCCGGATTAATTAACAGATCGGGATTAAGGATATCCCATTCTAAAGTTTTCAACTTTGGTTAGCTTACATTGTTTTAGGTCAAAAACCATCCTTATTTTGAATAACATTGAATTTAAAAGTTGTACTGTACAACCCCTGCCTGGTATATGTTGTACAGGTTGAGCATGTACATGATTCATCAATGGGACGGAAATCAGTTCTAAACTGAGATTTCTTTAAGTTTAAGTCACCAGGAGCCTCAAATACTAAAGCACTCCCAAACCTAAAAAAATCTTTAAAAATAATCTATTTTCTCTTAAATAATTTTAATTATTATCTTAAAGACCTAGCTGTTCTTTAATGTTTTATGTAAGCTAAATTGTGAATAACCAGGGTTGATTAAAATCTGTTAAAATGAGTTTGACTGATTTTAACCGATCGGTCATAAATTAACAGATTAATGAGAGAAATGTTTAAATGAATTCAACCTTTTCAGGAGAATAAATTAAAACTTAATTTTAAAATTATTAGTTGGCATCATAGTTAATTATATATTTATATTATTAATACATTATTGAAACACCTTCCCCCGATTTAATTGTAAATTAATGAAACTGACGACCCACCCCAGTGTTCTATAAGACTCAGGTTCCATGAATAAAGATGGGAATTGTTTTCAGATTACTTTTAATCTCAAGCTTCTGGACTCCACGTTACATTTTGAGAGGTCTATCTTATTACAAAATTGTTTACTCCTATTGATAGTTTTTAGTACAAACAAATTCTAACAAAACTACAAGACAAAAAAACTATAATTCAGATAATTTTGATTTCGTTTGAGTAAATATTTGGCACACTGTAATAAGAGTAATCTCTAAGAGAAAACAATTTTGAATTATGGCAATTCTTCTTGTCATGCCTCTATTATATATAAATATTCAAACCTTACCAAATCAAATCAGATCAGATCAGATCAGATCAGATCAGATCAGATCAGATCAGATCAGATCAGATCAGATCAGATCAGATCAGATCAGATCAGATCAGATCAGATCAGTAATAATAATAATAATAATAATAATAATCAACCTAAATAAACTAGTTTAAAGGCAGATAAACCAGCATTCCGTAGAAAACAAGACTGAACTATTTCTCTCCTTGAATAACCACCAAATGATGTAAAAATGAAAGAAATTAAAAAACAGAAATGTTTCAACAAACTCAAAATTAGTAGAAATTATTGATTTGGCAAAAATCTTCATATCAATTCAGGGAGTTGAAATATTGAAATATTGTTTACTAGAGTTTTTATTACACAAAAATGCATAGGCACAGAACTTCTTTTGGAAACTTGGGGCTTAGGTATTTCATCCATCGTGCATCTAAGGTTTCATCTTAGATTGTCCTGTAGGTCCGCAATAGTCAGTGTCAAGAAATCTCAGCCATTTATAATTCACCATATTATCCAGGATTTTAAATTTGATTTGAACTTCAACATTAACAACTCCGACATAATTACCTAGAACAAGGTTTTTTAAGAAGATTGCTTACTCTCCATAGATAAAATCCTAATATGATGTCACTCTCAAAACTATAATCAGTGACGTCATGTTAGGTTATCTATCTATCTATCTTAGGAGACGACATTATCCGTAAATTAAGGAGCGTATCGAGAGTAAGCAACCTTACAACCTTAACCTAGAATGGCCATCCTTGAATTTCTCGAGAAAAAATTAATGATATTTTCGCCAATAATAATAATATGTTTACCTTAACAATCCTCCAAAATACATCCTTTTCCTCTCCTCCGGAGAGTCCTCCGATAGCAAACCCAGGGACATTTCTCCTGAAAAATAAGGAATTGTAAGCGTAATTTCAAGTGACCCTCCGGCCTCCATACAAAGATGGCAATGCCCGATTTACAACGGTACATTTGAAAGCTTTGTCTGATCAAGTAAGATATCAATGTTTTCGTTTCTTTGAACTGTTTACTTTTATTTGCGGTTTCTCTGCAAAGTGACTTGCGCATTTCTTGTAAATTAGAAGCAATGAGAAAGTGTTCTGAAGTTAACACTTTTCAAGTAGAAAAACGACGTTATCTTCAACATGTTTGATCAGATCAAGGTTTCAAGGGTACCGTTGTAAATCGGACATTGCCATATCTGCATGGAGGGTAACTTGAAATTACGCTTACAAATGTAAGTCTTAAAGAATAAAAAAAATATAAACAATGTACAATGTGTTATCAGCGGCATTCTCAGTTCTACACCAAAAGTTTTGTGTCAATTTCTCAGTACATACACATCAGAAAAAAGAGAATTTAGTAGTGACATATAATAAAGATGTTGAATCCAATTTATTTTATTAACTTCACGATAACCATCCATTTAAAAAAATTGGTTTTACAATAAATTGGTTCCAATGGGAAATAAAAATTAGGATTCCAATGAAAATAAAAGTTTCGATGAAGAAAATAAAAAAATACTTTGTCAGCTGTTCGGCACAATCTTTTCTTTTCTCCGTGTCTAATCCTCCCTGGCAAAAAAAAATAATCAGAGCTGAAAACTTTAGAATGAGATATCCCTTATCTCGATTACTTAATCTGAGTATCCAATGGACACACTTTTGATTATTTTCATCAAAAACCGGTTTTTAAAATTAGAGAGTTCCTCCCGTTTCTGTATATTAATCTTAAATGGCGCGCAAAATTTCAAATTTATCGGCTTCATAGACGCGACTCTGGTTGGTTGAATTTTATACACTTTTTAGGATAGAAGTACAAGATTAGGTTAGTCTCGATATTTAAAAAAGAGAGGATCAAGCATTAATCTCGATATCCGCCATTTTAAAGTTTTCAGCTCAGTGCAAACTTGAAAAAACTAAATTCCGAACTAGAATATTTATTTGATGTTTGGCAATAATGCAAACAAAATTTACCTCGACACCGGGGTAAGAAAATATTTTTAAAAAAGGAACTCGATTTCTAGGAAGAAATTTTTCAGGGGAAGGGGAACAGAGCATCAGAGGGGATTTTTTAACAACAAATAAACTGATTAGATCAGTTGCCCCTTAATATTTCCAAATCCCTTAATCTTTGCAAACTGATAGGGGTAAACCTTTGATATATCAAACTTTGACATTTTAATCGAGTAGAATTTATGGTTAAAATATTTATGGTCTACTACATCAGGTTGCAAAGTTAGAACTTCATATTAAAGATAGAGTCAAGAAACCAAGTAGCTTGGGAACCCAGGTTTGCCTGAAGTTTGTCCTATAAAAGTCGACCCGACTTAACTTAGAACTTTAAAACCAATCTTATCTTTCCATGGTTCTCCCGAGTTCTCCAATCATAATTTGAGACAAATCAAATCATTTGTATCAAAATCATAAAAATAGACAAATAATAAAAAAGAAAAGTTGAACCTGAACTATTGGGAAAAGGTTTTGTTTGTCAGGTTTTTTGTGCGCAACAATGCATCGGTCCAACCAACGGACTGTTCTATGTCGAGCCTCCTCAAACCTAAAATAAAAATTTTATTTCATGTTGAATTAGAAAAAATCAAGACCTATTGTTGTTATTAATAGGTTTTAGGTTTTATCACTAGGTAATACTCTTCTAATTGCAACTTAATGTCTACCAATTTATATCAGGATGTGTAGAATCTACATCAATATAGAATTTCATCATAATATCTACTGTAGTCTACCTGTCTACATTGCAGGGTGTGTAGAATCTACATCAATATATAATTACATCATAATATCTACTACAGTCTACCTGTCTATATCAGTATGTGTAGAATCTACAACATCATCTAACTGCATCATAATATCTACTACAATCTACCTGTCTACATCAGTATGTGTAGAATCTACATCATCATCTAGCTGCATCATAATATCTACTACAATCTTACCTGTCTATATCAGTATGTGTAGAATCTACATCATCATCTAACTGCATCATAATATCTACTACAATCTACCTGTCTGCATCAGATTGTGTAGAATCTACATCAACATCTAAATGCATCAGAATATCTACTACAATCTACCTGTCTACGTAGGTATGTGTAGAATCTACATCATCTAACTGCATCATAATATCTACTACAATCTACCTGTCTGCATCAGTATGTGTAGAATCTACATCATCATCTAACTGCATCATAATATATACTCTTCAACATTAACAACTCCGACATAATTACCTAGAACAAGGTTTTTTAAGAAGATTGCTTACTCTCCATAGATAAAATCCTAATATGATGTCACTCTCAAAACTATAATCAGTGACGTCATGTTAGGTTATCTATCTATCTATCTTAGGAGACGACATTATCCGTAAATTAAGGAGCGTATCGAGAGTAAGCAACCTNATGTTAGAATATAAATTAATTAAAGAAACCATCTAAATATGTTAGAATATAAATTAATTAAAGAAACCATCTAAATATGTTAGAATATAATTAATAATTTAAAAAAAGAATGAACTAAGTCGCATCAAAGTTAGTTAATGTTTTTACCAAACAAAGAAGTTAAGGATTTACCAAATTAAGACGATTTAGACTATAATCATAGGTTTATTTTCATAGCTTGAGAGTCTGTCGCCCCCCCCCCCCCTTCCAAACCTTCTGTATTTACCTGGAACCCCCCTGAGTCCGTGAGCAAGGATCGGTTCCAATTCATGAATTTATGAAGTCCACCGGCAGCCAGTAGAACTTCCTCACCTGGCCTAAAATTTTTTTTCTGGTGTTGAGATAATTTTTTGTTCAATTTTCCCACAGGACCCACATGCGTTTTATTAAAAATTAAGATTTGTAGAACATTTTACAAAATTTAAAGGGAAGAGGGGAAAAAAGGGGATTACAAAGAAAAGGTTAATGCCAGTTTCCAGTTGCAATATTTGCGGATAAAAATTGATAATTAATTATATTTTCAAACTTGGTGTCGACCCATTCTTAACTTTATTAGGTTAGCCCTTTACACCATTAATTTGACGGTACTTTGCTCTTTAAAAAAAATCGTTTCAAAAAATACCTGTTTCCAAGATGATATGTATTCGCCAACATAATTCTGCAGTCTGCAAAAAAAAAATTTTTTTGGTTTGTTTTTCATTGGATGAAAATATTTCTTACCTAGAGCTTCCAGTTGTTGAGGAACAATTCCTTTAAGAGTTCCTTGAGTCCCAACCGGCATAAACACAGGTGTATCAACCCTAGAACAGAAATAATATACCAAATAAATCTCTATTTAGACCCACTTTCAGTCATTGGATTTTAACATTTTACATTGAAGCACGCATTTTTCTTTATCTGAATTAGTATCAACTGTTGAAAAATGTTGCCCATTTGAAATTTGATTTAACGTATTTCTTTTACAGGTTCAGCTGATTCAGATTGAATAGGATTAAAGCCAGGGGTGTATTCAGAAATTTGTTCAGCACCCATTAGGGCCTGAAGCCATTCCTTTCAACATTACAGTGATCGACCACATGACGTCCACCAATTATGGCTGTACTGTACTGTTCTGTACTGTACTGTACTGTACTGTATGGCTGTACTGTACTGTTCTGTACTGTACTGTACTGTACTGTACTGTACGAATTATCTACCAATAAGATAAGAATTTTGCGTGAGACATCTTGCGGCCAAACTTCGTACCCCAATATACGTGAACAACACGACCACTGTTCATACATTATTAGGGAAAAAAACGGGCTCTAAAAACCATATATTTCACAGGTGGGGGGGGGGGGGAATGAGCCCCCATAGCCACCCCCCTGATTACACCTCAGATAAAAGGTGGTAAACTTACAAAGAGTGTGGGAGCTGCATTTCTGCAACTCTAGCTCTACTAGTCGAACATTTTGCCACTATATTGAACCTGGGAGCACCGGCATCAAATATATTTTTCAAAATGAAATATTTAAAAAATAAAATTGAGCGGGAAACTTATGAATGAACGGAAACTTGCTCCTAATAAAACTAATCAAAGTTTAAATAATTTATTTTTTCAAATCTAACGAGGTAAAATCCAGAATCCAATTTGTATAAAAATGCAATATAATCTTTCATATTTTACCAAATTAATAATTGTACCCCCCAATGCCCGATTCAGAACGGTACCCTAAGAAGCTTTGTCTGATCAAGTATGAATATCTAATTAGGAAAACTAGTTTTCTCAAAAAAAATTCAAAAATGGTTTGCAAACTTTTACTGCAGGAAAGCCTAAAGGAATTATTAGAATTAAAAACCTGAAAAAAACGACAATATCTTCCACATTATTGATCAGATAAATAAGGGTTAGAAGGTACAATCGGGTAAAATAATAATAATTTTATCAAACTAATATTTGTTGGTGCTTTCCTGAGCGCAGAGTTGGCACCTCCCACGCACATTGTCAATAATAAATCTGAAAAAATATAAAAGTTTATAAGGTGGCCTGTTCGGGGGTCACTGGGTTCTATTGATAAAATTTATATGGGATTTCGAATTCCGGACAAACACGATGAAGTTAGGAGTTCCAGCCTAAATACAAACCAGGTTTAGCAATCAATCTTGTTGAAATTATAATTAGTTCAATTTTACTTATGTTTAATCTCAATAATCAATATTATTTTATCATCAAATTGGATTAAAACTAAAATCAAGACTAGAATATGAAAGGCTCTTTCAATGGGAGCTTGATTATGCTGTTTATTATCGAAGATTCTTTAAAAAGAAAAAATCTAAGTTCTAAATCCTGCCTTGAGAAGGAATCCAGGTTTAGTGATAGCAGAGAGAAGAGTTGAAGACGTTGATATCTCCAGTAGCTTCTGGTCATAGGACTCCAAGTACACAACAAGGCTAGCCGGCACATACCTGTAGTACACAGTATACAACATACAGACAGGGTGTTTCTCAATTAATGATACTTTTGATTTGCCAGAATGTCAGTGAAAGGACAATTAATAAGAATAATAAGAATAATAAGAATAAGAATGAAAATAAGAGATTAAAAACGTTTTAACCTCTTCTCAGTATCCCAAGGTGGCCTCTCCGCAGAATCTCCAAACATCTCCTAAGATTATTATCATTATTATTTATTATTATTTTTATAAACCTCTTTATTTTCATTTCTTTATTATCATCATTCACTCGGTACAAATGCACTTAGACATAATACACTATTCAGTTCATAACTGTACAATTATTGTTCCAATTTCTGATACCCTCTTTATGTTGTTATTTAGGCAAAGTGCACACAGTACAGTACAGTACATACATATAATCTGAATGCGCTGCCAATGTCTCTGATTCTCTCCATTCCTCAATATATGAACAGTGTACACAGTGTAGGGAAACCGTACAGTTCTAACCTGTATATGCTGTTCCAACGTCTCTGATTCTCTCCACTCTTCAACAAAATCGGTTTCTCCAAACTCTGGGTACAAGAACAGTACAGGAAACACAAGCTCACCTTCCATATAAAACATAAAAAATAATGGATAGATCTGAAAGGAAAGACGACATGGAACCCCCAGACTTTCTTCAGATGGATAGATAGACGTACAACAAGAGAAAATAGGACAGGACAAGACAGGGAAGGATAAGAAAATGCAAGGACAGACAAGAAAATAAAAAAACAAAGAGGAAAAGGAAGGATAAGAAAATGCAAGGAAGAAAAAAGAAAAAACAAAGAAGACAAGGAAGGATAAGAAAATACGAGGACAGACAGGACAGAAGAAAAACAAAGAGGACAAGGAAGGATAAGAAAATGCAAGGACAGACAAGAAAAAAGAAAAACAAAGAGGACAAGGAAGGATAAGAAAATACGAGGACAGACAGGACAAAAGAAAAAAACAGAGAGGACAGAAAAGGAACAGAACAGGCAAAGAAGTGACAGTAAAAGACAAGAAAAAACATGAATTAATATTATAGGGATTTACTAGACAAGTTATAACAGCCAAGGGTTAGAACTGACAGGAAATAACAAAACACAATATAAGACAACAAAGTCAAAACAATACTCCGAATAATAAGACAAAACATACAAACAGGATAAAATGTGACTCATTCAAGATAAGAAAGACATATACAGGATAATTCAACATCCTTACAAGGTAAGACACATATAAGACAAAATCCACACAGGATAAGACAAATCCCATACATGTAAAGACAATACTAGGTGAAGTAAAGACGGGATAAAATATATATACCTGTCCCGGAATCCATATGTACAGGTTTATGGATTGCAGCTGGATGACAGGGCTCAAAATCCGCCAAACTTAATTCATTTCCTGAAAAATATATTAAGTATTGGAAATGATTTAATAACAATTATCTTTTTTTTTTAATAAAATCAGAATAATGAGCCTACCTTTAATTTTTTCCACCTTAATCCCCTTGGATTTAATTTCATTTAAAATTTTCCGTTCTTCTTCCTTCTTTTTCTTCTCCACAGCTGTACGTTTTCTTTCGTCGCGCTCTTGCTCCTTCGAGATACGCACTGCGTCAGACCTGCACAATCAATAATCATCAATATCCAAATACTGATGTGCCTCGTATTTACACAATAAAGTTTTTATGCTTTAAGTGTGCTCTAAAAGAATCTTTTATGTTTAACACATAGAAAATTTTCCGTGACCAAAATAGTAACCCAAAACGATTCATTTTAACGAATTTAGGGTCTGTCCTAGAGAACGATTTTTTGACCCTCTCCCACCCGCCCCCCCCCTCCTATCAATTTTGTACATGACCACTTTTTTCAGCAAAATTATTTTAGTTTTTTTAAAATTTTATTTTAGGGTTAGGTTAGGTCAAGACAATTTCTGGGCCGAGCGCTGCGACTATGACAGGCAAAGGGGGCCGAGCGCTGTGGCTAGGAAAGACTAGGGGGCCGGGCGCTGCAGCTACATGACTAATGATATCCATGGGATACACATGATATTGTTGGCTTATATGTTTGGGAAGAGAAAAATGTTGCATTTAATGTAATAAAAGACAAATTATCAAACAAACAATTTTGAAATAACTAGATCTTTGAGCAGTCTCTTTCAAGTCAAATAAACTAGAATGTTTCAACACGAACCTCAAAACGAATGCCCATCAGTATCGCAAAGCAAACATAAACCAAAAAAAGAATGTAAATGCTATTTTACCTCAATTTAATTAAGTCCGCATCTTTAGGGTCCAATTTCAATCCACGATCGCACCAAATCTTAATAAATCATGAAAATTCTTTGAATGAAAAATAAAGTGCGGAAGTATTGCTATCTTTGCTGTTTCTCTTGATATGAAAATGAAATGCCACTTGAGTGTGTAATATGTATTTCATATAGCCTTAAATTTGTGCGCGTGGACAATGGACATCTGTTCAGTAAATTATAACCGGCAACAAGTTTACTAAAGGGACTGTAAGTGTCATTTCAAGTGACATCCCATGCAAAGATGACAATGCCCACTTCTGAATTCACAACGGTACCCATAAAAGCTTTGTTTGATCATTGATCAATTGGTAATTAGATATAAATTATCAATGTTTATAATTTAAAAAACTTATTATTTTAATTGTGGCTTATGAACAGATGTGACTTACGCATTTCTACTGTAAGAAAACGTATCGGAATTTTCAGAATTAAACAATTATAAACCAGGAAAAACTGCAATATCTCCCGCATTATTGATCAGATAAAGGTTTCAAGGGCATTGTCATCTATACATGGATGGTCACTTACGCTTACGATAATTTGGTTCCCTGGGCATGTTTGCAAAAATATGTTATGTAAGTTTCAAATTACAAAATAAGAAAATCTGAATTCATACCAAAATAATTGGATGAAAATGAAAAATTATCTAACTTACCAAACAGAGCGGATACTGCTTAAGCTGAAACGATGCCTGTGCTCCTCGCAATATTGCCTGAAAATTAACAACTAAAAAGTTTTAAATTTTATAATTTTTTAAGAACCACCCTCCAAACCTTTTTTTACCTTCATATGGGTTGGAGTCAGCTCTATGGCGACATCACAATCTTTCAAACATGATCTTAACAAAAATTAGTACTTCAAAAAAAGGGGAAAAAATAATGATTATGATAATGATAATAATAATATTAATAATAATAATAATGTAATTTTAAAAAATTTACCTATAATTTTTAATGTGGTATTGGCAAACAGCTCTATTGGTCAAAAGTTGAGTGTTTAAAAGGTTATCTTCGCATTTGGACTTTAAACCTAGCGCGGCATTCTTCAGAAAAATCCAAAATTGGGTTTAACGACTAAATTGTACATGGTCATAACAAATTTACGTCGGATAGAATATATTTCTTATATTTTTTGTGTAAAACGTTGTGTGATGTTGTAACATTTCTACAGGAAATGTACTGAACTTTGTTTGTATACAAGAATTTCTCATTTAACTGAGTACAACAGCATGAACTGAAAAACCAGTGTTTCGGATCCATATCATTTTGATTTGGATCCGGATCCGGATCCGCGGATCCGCATCCGTGTTCATGGATCCGGATCCGGCTCCTGATACGGATCCGGATCCTAGGTAACTTTTGATTCTGTGAATCGGATTTTCCCTATTAAATGTTATGCAAGGTTATTATTTATAAAATGTCGTCATTAATTTACTATTATATAAATGTAAACATTAAATTATTAAAGATAATTTTGAAAAATTTTCGTCATGTAAAATGTAAATAATACATTTACGAACCATTTTGATTTATTCATTCCATGGTTTTGGTTAATTTTTGGCGCTACCCGGATCCATATCAACGTTTCCTGATACGGATCCGGATCCGGATCCGGATCCGACCAAATGATACGGATCCGACCGGATCCGGATCCGAAACACTGTCAGAAAAACAAACCAAAAGTTTCTTAAATCCAGCAAACCACCAAACATACTAAATAAAAAAATCATGTGCAAAGACGATGTCAAAATCGTCACATTCCCATGTTTATTGAAACACCGTGAAATAACATGAAATTAGATGATTTCAAACTTTGTTCTGAAGAATCCTACCCTCTGTATAGCTCGCGATAGCAAATCTGAAATCAAATTGTAATAAAAAGCTGCTGTGTCTCATAAACATAAAATAATGTTTTTAAAAGGGCTTGTTACCTGTATTTTTTACATTTGAAATTAAAGTTTCCGTCCTCCTTGTAATTCTGCGCTAGCTCTAGCGGACTGTTCTCATCCGGGGAATATTTCAGATCTTGGATACCCTGCATTTAAATAAATTAACCAGAGCTGAAAACTTTAGAATGGTTGATTTTTCTTAATCTCGAAACTAATCTAATCTTGTGTTTGTATCCTGAAAAGTGTATAAAATTCAACCAATCAGAGTCACATAAATGAAGCTGATAAATTTGAAATTTTGCGCGCCATTTAAGATTATTTACAGAAACGAGATGAACTCTCTTCTTTAAAAAAACGGGTTTTGATTTTTCTCTACTATATCCAAGAAAGAACGGTTAAGAAGAAAATCAAAAGTGTGTCCATTGGATACTCAGATTAAGTAATTGGGATTAAGGATATCTCATTCTAAAGTTTTTAGCTCAGGTAAAATTTCGCAAATATCTGCAAAACTAAACAAATATTTTTTACTAATCAATTAATGCATCAACTATAGTTTTGAAATTTCTCTTACTTTGTTTCGTTTTCTGAAAAATAAATTTCAAAATCAAAATGTTGTCTAACTGAACACCGAAGACGCAGTGAAAGAAATTAATTTGGTTTCAGATGATTAAATAAATTCATTCCGAAACTTCTGCCCAATTTCTTAGTCGTGCTACCCTAGCTGTAACCATAGGTTGTATCTATCACGGTGCTCTTGTTGAACGTAGCCATAGTGTGACTACGGTAGCATAAATCAGAAATTAACCATTTATTCGTTACCACCATTGTGTAGTGTATAAACTAATAATTGTTGTCATTTAAAAAGAAATGTAATAAAATAAATTTATTTTCAAAAAAAAGTAAGATGTTTCAAAACTGATGTTAGGTAGCCTAGACAAAAATTTACTTGTTTATCTAACTTGTCACAAAATTATCAAAATCAGAATGGAAGATTGAGCTTTTGTTAAAAACTCAAAATTTTCTAATCCCTTTATCTTTGAAACCTGAAGGTGTAAATCTTTGATGATTCAAACTTGATCTAACAGAACTTATAGTTTGAAACATCTGAGATTAACAAAATAGTGTGGTCGCAAATGTAAAGGGTTTAAAAAATCAGAGTTTGTGACAAAGACTCAGTTTCTTTTTATTAAAATCTTAAAAACAAAAATTTTAAGATTCGTTAGCAAAAACTGAACCTTCATGAGCGGTGAGAGTTCCTCCCCCTCCTTCCACTGTTGGTTGAAGAAAGGATGGGCTGCCATCTCCTCCTCCCAATTCTCCTCTGTGAACCCTCCCTCCATCCGCCTTCCCTCCCTCTCCTTCGCCTTCTCCTCAAGCTTTCTAAATAGAAACAGAGTTAAAGAGACTGTAAGCATAATTGTTAAAGGGACTGTAATCATAATTTTCTAAATAGAACCAGAGTTAAAGGGACTGTAAGCGTAATTTTCTACATAGAAACAGAGTTAAAGGGACTGTAAGCATAATTGTTAAAGGGACTGTGAGCATAATTTTCTAAATAGAACCAGAGTTAAAGGGGCTGTTAGCGTAATTTTCTAAATAGAACCAGAGTTAAAGGGGCTGTAAGCGTAATTTTCTAAATAGAACCAGAGTTAAAGGGACTGTAAGCGTAATTTTCTAAATAGAAACAGTGTTAAAGGGGCTGTGAGCATAATTTTCTAAATAGAAACAGTGTTAAAGGGGCTGTAAGCATAATTTTCAAAATAGAACAAGAGTTAAAGGGGCTATCAGCGTAATTTTCTAAATAAAACCAGAGTTAAAGAGACTGTAAGCATAATTGTTAAAGGGACTGTAAGCGTAATTTTCTAAATAGAACCAGAGTTAAAGGGGCTGTTAGCGTAATTTTCTAAATAGAACCAGAGTTAAAGGGACTGTAAGCGTAATTTTCTTAATAGAAACAGAGTTAAAGAGACTGTAAGCATAATTGTTAAAGGGACTGTAAGCATAATTGTTAAAGGGACTGTAAACATAATTTTCTAAATAGAAACAGAATTAAAGGGACTGTAAGCGTAATTTTCTGAATAGAAACAGAATTAAAAAGACAGTAAGCATAATTGTTAAAGGGACTGTAAGCGTAATTTTCCAAATAGAAACAGAGTTAAAGAGACTGTAAGGATAATTGTTAAAGGGACTGTAAGCATAATTTTCTAAATAGAACCAGAGTTAAAAAGACTGTAAGCATAATTGTTAAAGGGACTGTAAGCGTAATTTTCTAAATAGAACCAGAGTTAAAGGGGCTGTGTTACGCGAGCCATGCTGCGTGTAGAAAGTCTGCTTGTCACCCCTGGGTATTTCTGAGTTCTCCCTGAAGATCTGTACGGAATGTATTGTGAAATACTGTAAGCGTAATTTTCTATATATAAACAGAGTTAGAGGGACTGTCAGCATAATTTTCTAAATAGAACAAACGTTAAAGGGACTGTAAGCGTAATTTTCTAAATAAAACAAAAGTTAAAGGGACTGTAAGCGTAATTTTCTAAATAGAACAAGAGTTAAAGGGACTGTAAGCGTAATTTTCTAAATAGAACCAGAGTTAAAGGGACTGTAAGCGTAACGGTATCCTTACAAGCCTTCTCTGATCAAGTATGAATATTAGTTATCAATGTTTCTGATTTTAAAAATAATAAAATGATTATTTTTGATTGTAGTTTCTCTAAAACATTACTTGTATATTTCATATATGTTTATCAGAAACTACAAGATATTCCCAAGTATTGATCAGATAAATGTGTCAAAGATACCTTTGTGAATCGAGCTTTGCCATTTTTGCATGGAGGGTCACTTGAAATTACGCTTACAGTCCCCTTAAAGGGATGGAAGTTAATTTGCATCCACCAAAAAAAGGTATTTTTTCTACCTAAAATGTTCTTCAAGGTCCTGGTCCATTTTCTCCACCATCTTCTTCCGCTCCTCATCAGTCATCTGAATAGATGTGGTTCTTCTCTAGGTTTAGAGCTGAGCAAAATTTCAGATAATATCCAGATAAATTAAGATTGACCACAAATTAAATCCGACTCTTGGGAAACTTTTGAACATTCTTAATATAAATAATTCATTACAGAAATAAACTTTCATAATGTTATTAGGCTTATTGTTTTTTTTTGTTATTTTAGAGATTAACGATGTTATTTGTTCCGTCATTTTTTAGCATTTTAGAGAATAACAATGTTATTTGTCCCGTCAGTTATTAAAATTTTAGAGATTAACAATGTTATTTGTTCCGTCATATATTAGCATTTTAGAGATTCACGATGCTATTTGTACTGCCATTTATCAATAATATAGAGATCAACAATGTTATTTCTTCCGTCATATATTAGCATTTTAGAGATTAACAGTGTTATTTGTTCCGTCATATATTAGCATTTTAGAGATTAACGATGCTATTTGTACTTCCATTTATCAATAATATAGAGATTAACAATGTTATTTGTCCCGTCATTTATTTGCCTTTAAGAGATTAACAATGTTAATTGCCTTATCATTTATAGGCATTATGGAGATTATTTGTCTCATCATTTATTAGCATTTAGAAATTAACAATGTTAATTGTCCCATTTTTAGCATTTTTAGAGATTAACAATGTGAATTGTCACGTCATTTATTAGCATTTTAAAGATTACAGATGTTATTTGTCCCGTCATTTATGCTAATAGAATAGTCTCTTTTTTGGGAACCCTATAATGCACATTAAGTTTTTTTTAATTATAATCTTTTAAAGAACAATCTTGCATTCAAGAATGCTCTACGTTTAAGATCAATCTTATACAAGTTAAGTTTTTTTAATGTATGCCTTTGACAGATTTATGTTTATTGGTTTTAAAATGTCCTAAAAACTTTTTTTTGGGAAAATGCATTATCAAATCATGAGGACTAAAAACTTGCAAATTAAAATCCTTATTTTTATGTCTGAAACTACATACTTGGACTCTTGACGTATGGCAAAAAAACTAAACCTACTTTTTCAAATTAAAGCTTACTAAAACCGAAAAATCTCTACCTTAGGTTTAGGCCTGTCACCCATATTAACTAATCTGAAAATGCAAAAGATTTTTATTTACAAAACTTGCAACAATAAGTTTAAATAACATAAACATTTATTTCATAAGGTTTTTGTTCAAGATAATAATATGGAGGAGGGGAGGGGTTTGTGGAGCGGGGGGGGGGGGTGGCGGCTGGAAAATAAAATTTAACTAATTTTCCAGTTGCAGGTGGACGATTTTACAATAAGGTGACTAATAATGAGCTGCATTCCGATCCAGCTCGGCCAAATCGTCCATGATTTCTGCCGAGGTTGTGCCGATCTTTCGAGCAAACTCCGCCTTCTCCGAGGCCGGAAGATCGGAGAACCGAAAGACAAGATCGCCATCAACGATCCCGCGGCAGGGATTTCTTAGATCCTTCTTGTTGGTTCGAATTGTTCGGAACGCTAAAAAAGTTTTTTTAGAAAACAGATTAATCAACAAAAGTTAAAAATAAAATATTAGATTATATAAAACATGGGAATTAATGATAACTCAGTCAAAAACAATAAATGGGGTAAAAAAGTGAAGAACTTCTGGGCTTTTCAAAATCTGGTCATGAGGCATTTGAAGAAAAATAAATTCAGATTTATCAAACTAGAAAAACAATAATATCTTCCAATCCACATTATTGATCGGATTTACATTGTAACAAGAGCATTCTCATTTTCAAATAGATGGTTTCTAAATATAAATAAATAAGTTTTACCTTTTGGATTAAGTCCTGCAGTCTGAGGTAGGTTTGTGCTCAAAACATTATTCAGCATAAGAAGACGTCTGTACACCTTCTCACTTATAGGTAGGATATATCCTAAACATAACATTATTTAGCATAAGAAGACGTTTATACATCTTCTTACTTATAGGCAGGATATATCCTAAACATTACATTATTCAACATAAGAAGACGTCAATACACCTTCTTACTTATAGGCAGGATATATCGTAAATGCAGACAAACTGCAGATATAAATAAATAAAAAATAATCAAGGGAAGAAATAAAGTTGTGATCTTAGCAAAGAAAAAAGTGTTTATTTAAATAAGATAATTTGTATTTTAAGCGATAAAATAAACTTAATGATTTTTAATCTATAAACATGTCCAGCACTTGTTTTTCTCTATCTTTTAAGACCAGACAAGTACACATGAATTTGTCCGGGGGGGGGGGGGGAATGCAATTGCTGATCCCCCCATAGCTCCCCCTCTGTACGCCTCTGTTCAAGACAGATGTTTATGTTCAGTTGAACAAAAAATGTTTACCCAGAGCTCCGTCCAGCGTGGCGTACCACGTGACATGCTTCTTCTCATTCATAGCGAGGACGCGCTGACTGGTGGAAGGATCGGTCAACTTGGCGCGCACACGCCACATACAGTTTACATGCTGACCTAAAAATGTATAAAAGTTTAGGACATACAATTAAATCAAAAATTATAAATTAATAATACAATGAATGGTTTTGATTTTAGATTAGATGTTTAAAATAATTGTAACCAAGCCTTTCCAAAACAGTCAAACATGACAAAAATACAAAGTAACTGACCTTGACCTGATGCCTTAGACGAGTTTTAAAATAATTCTATGACATCAAATAGTTTTATATCATCAGGATGCAAAGAAAAAGGGAATATGAAAAATTAGAGTTAAAGATTTCTACAGTATCGTTCTTTTGCAGGCATTGTATTGCCATTACGGAGGGATTAATTTATCACATAATAATANAAATAATAATACTAATACTAATAATAATCCCAAATATATTACCTAGATGAATATCTGCCTTCCTGATGAGTCGTAATCCACCCAGAGATTCCTTAGATTCAGGAGAATACACAAACATACTAAAAATGCATTTCTTTACACATACTTACATTTAATTATTATTAAAGTCATTGAAAAAGTATTCGAAACCGCTTCCGGCCATCGTTATGAGTCCACTGTCCATAGACAATGCGGACTGGAAAGCTGAAAGCTCTTGGATAAGTTTATACTAATTATCACACTAGATTTTAAAGTGAAAAGCGAATTCACATTTATAATAATTTCTGCGTTAAACATATCGTTCTTTAAGTTACCTGAGATTACGCTCTGAGTCTGTTGCCAGGAAGCCGAGGTGTCCGTTGTCTATGATAAACTCGGCCGCGTAAACTTCCAGGGGAGATGTGTCCCGGGATATAACTGACACAGTCCTGATATTAATATTATTCAAAAGAAGCTTCAGAAATTCTTTTATGGTTAACTAACATATACCGGGCATCCTTCCCCCCTCCCCCCAAAAAATAATGCAATTAATGCTGTCATTTTTCAAAATAAAAAAAGATGTACAGATGAAATTTCAAGTGACCCTACATAAAGAAAGTGACATGGCATGTCTGATTCACAATAGCACCCAATTTGAATAACATAAAGGTAAATATCGTTATTCGTGTTTTACTCTTAAAAAGTCTTGAATTCGGACCATTTTCTTCTTTGTCCAAGCAGCATAAATCCGCCAGTGACTTTAATGGAGACACTGTCCATTAACCGCTACTTAATCTTTGGTCAGTGTACTGCAAATTACTGCAGAGCGCACCGAAAGCTTAGTTATGGGTGGAGAAACCACGATTGAAAAAAAATCAAGTTAAAATAGAAAAATAAGGATAAATCATTCATCCTGGATTAGACACAGAGGGTAAATACGGTCCTGTTATTAATCGGACACGCCTGATCCCACATGGTACAGTATAATTTTTTACATTTTATCTACCTGTAATCCTGTTGGTACTGCAGTACGTTAATAGATTTGTAAACATCTCCAACCAGCAGGAAGTTCTTGAGAGCATGGATTTGATGAATGTAAACATTGGAATCAATGAAAGCAATTCCGTGCAGTTCCTTATCCTGAACAATTTTGTATTGTTTTCCAAACAAAAAGGAAAATTAAATTTTTTATTTTTAGTTTTGTTTTGTTTTCTACCTTAAACTGCCAAATATAGATCTTCTGCCCCACAGTACTCACTAGAAAACCTAAATCAAACAATAACAATTATAAAACTAATTTCTAAAGGGATTGTTCAGATCGTTTAGCTTGTGAAGGAGGTACCACAGTTTATAATACAAAGCAAAAAAAAATATGTGTTATATTGCTTTCGGCTCCAGTTCAGAGTCTCTTCGCTGTACATTGGGGGTTCAGACTGAAACCAGTTTGTTGATTCAATCGAGTTTAATTATAGGTTCCAGGCTTCAAGCACACAACTAATTATAAGCTATATGCATCAAACAATACAAATCTATATACATATATACTTTGCTTGTCTGGATGCTGTTTGTTTGTTTGTTTGTCTCTTTGTATCCATTAACGCCAAAACGGCTGAACTGATCGGGCCAAACTTTTCTGTGAGACTTCACATGTCCTTAGGGAAGGTTTATAGATGATCAAAATTACAAAATGTGTCTCCCAACAAAATTCGATTTTATAGACACATGTTTATTTTTGACTCTATGAAGACCAATTCTACCTGATACAGCAGATATTGCAGTGACAGGTCCCTTCTGTTCCTTGTCGTAAACTGTCTTGATCTTATGTTTGGTGAGGGGTTGACCAGGTTCAGGAACTACTTCGATAACATCGTAGATCTAGACCAGGACAATATTATTCAATCCAGTTGAATTAAAGGGATCCTTACAGGGCCGTAACAGGAAGGGGTACCCCTTCCCCCCCCCCCCGGCTGTGTAAGAGGGGGCTTTGCCCCTCCCACTCTTTACCCTGTGTGCCCCCCTTTCAAAAGCTTTCAGATACAGGGCTGAATCCTTAGAAAATGATTAGCATTTAATTACTTTTTCTCCCTGGAAGACCGGCAAATTGCGACATTGTCAGCGGAATCCGCAAGATCTTTCTTGTTTCTAATGCATTAAAATTGTTCAACCAATCACCGGATATTTGAGCTAGGTCTAGAGACGGTTCAACCACGTATCTTGAATCAGTGATTCAGAATTTGCCGATTTCATTAGATGTAAACTTCATATCAGCACTATAACAGTTAAGTATTTTAATCAGCGGAAGCTAGTTTAGCAATCTAGCTCAAATTCATTAAATTTGATCCAAGGAATTGAAAATGAATTTAGAATCACTAAAACTAACGAGGCCATCCCATCGAATCCCAATTTTCTCTTCTCGAGTTCAGAATAACTTAGTTTATCAGAGTCCGAATATAATGAATTTGAGCTGCGTCTCAAATCCACCAAAAACCGGTTTCAATTGAGTGCCGGCTTAATTTTGAAACATTGAATACAATTTTAAGTTAAACCAACCATATTTAATAAGCGTTTCAAATTTAAGCCGCGGCTCAAATTCTTTAAATTCGGCCTCTGAGTTTACAAATTACATTTATAACGACTGGACAAAAATATAAAATCGGAATACCTTAATATGTCCTCTGCTCGTAATGTCCTCTCCGTAGTTGAAGTTTGTCCCTAGGACAAGGAAACCACGTTGACCGCTGTGCATTCCCTCGCTGCTTAGGTAGAGATGCTTCATGCAGGTCACATACTCCCAGTCCTCCAGCTGCAGCTTAGTTCCTTAAATATATACCTTGTAGATGATCAAAATTTTGACAATTTGCCTCGGGACAAAAATCGATTTTCATTAAATAGTGAAAATCTACAATTTTTTTTTTATAAAATCCGTAAACTTGTTGTTTTGTTTTTGTTCACAATTGAAATAGAAGATGCCTAGTTTGATATATTTCTTAAAGCATTTTATTTCCCAATTTGAATCTGCACTGCACTTGTATCTAGTGATGTACATTCCGTTGATTCGTGTTTTAATCGATTTCGCGCCTGTATTTTCTTCAAGGGTCCAAATTTGGCATATAGTGTAAGAAAAGAAATTGTTTATTCGAAACATGTGCTTTTCTTATTAACCCTGACCGAAAAAAATGAGCAAAAACGATCATTTTTAGAAAGATTTCAATTTTTTTAGGACAAAAATTGCAAGTTTAATGCAAACCTTGAAATCTTGTAAGTTTTGTTAAAAGCTTTTTAAAATCCCCCCCGATCCAATATCATGAAAACATTACTTCTATCATACTATTAATATTGAGTATTGTAATATTAAGAATTCGTGAGAGAATAAATCAAGTACAGCAAATCCACTAGAAAATAACAACGATTATTATTGTGTCCATTTTGTCCCATCATCTTCGTGGTGGTAATTTTTGCTCCTCATTAGCATGGCGTAATTTTGAGTCAAACTACTTTTCTACATTTTCGTTAAGGTATAAATTTTCTTGATACGTCATTAATTTGAAATAAAGACGACATTTAAATTCTGGATTATTTTGTTGGCATTACCTGGAATAGATTCCCAGGATACTGGAGAGAACAGCTGTAGAGAAAACTTCTCTAGCAGAGGATAAAGAAACCTAAATAGATGAATATAAATCAAATCAAATAAATAAAATTGGAAAAACTAGAAATACTCTGCTCTGGTTTATTGAGAATTTACAGTAAATATTAAGTGACAAAAGATTTGAAGAACCCATTAAGCATTTATACTGAACTCTAAATACTTTAACTAAAAATATGTATATTTTTTTACGATTTATAAATGAAATTATATTTTTATGAACTTGGCCAGTTACAGATAAAAAAGTCTCTATTATCCAAAGACTTTTTCAAAACAAAACAGAACAAAAACTTTTTTATTTAATTCATTCATTATGTTTAATCAAGGAATTAAGCTTTTGCCACAAACTCAAATTTTTAAAGCACCATATCTTGGTAACCTGATGGTGTAAACCTTTGATTTTTCACATTTAGTTCATATGATTTTACAGAATTCATAGCTATGAATATTTATCTACGACCTTGGGTTGCAAAGATATAGGGATGAGCAAATCTGGATTTGTGGGAAGAACTCAATTCCTTTAAGATTTTCTTTTCCCTTATATTTTACCTATCACTTCTATCTTCAATATTGAGCTCCTTGTCATCCCCGTTAAACTTCCAGACCTTATTACTCGGCTCCGCCACACTCGTGATCACGGCGAAAGTTTTGGACTCTATATGAAACGCCACCTGGTGAGGGGAACATCTAGACAAGAGAATCAATTAAAAATAAAAAAAATATTTTAAATGTAATGTTTAACAACAGCTTAACCCAGAATTACGAAGACAAAGAAAGAATTTATAAAATGTCGTCTTGATAATTGGTCAATTGCTTTTATACTATTATATCATTTTAACTCTAATAATTTATTTTGATTAAGGGGTGTAAGCACAAGCTCACGCATACAAAATAAAACGATACATTAATTAACCTATTTTCAGTTAGTTATTGAGGTCTATAACTTACTTTGTTTTGCTTAAGATTGGTTAAAAGTTATGTACACCAAAGTTTTATGTTGCACTGTTGTCTCAGTAAAGAACTTGACCATGGGTATCCCTATAAACCATAGTGTACTATTATATCTAAATCTCAGAAATTTTAAAAATAAAAAGCTAGACATGAAATATGGGGGAACAGTTTAAAGAGCTTAATATAAATATTAAATTTAAAAACAAAATATCTGCAGAATTTCCCTATTAATAGTTTTAAAAGACGACATTTTATATATAATCTCATATAATGTCTGAAAAAAGACCTTAAACTGCACGGGGATACCTTAGAGGGACCTTCCTGACCGGCCAAGGTGCATCATATGAGAGATGACCAGGTAGAACACAGATTCTCAGCTCCGAGATCCTGTTGAAGTAGAGGAACCCCTGGGGACAGTTCACGTTGTGGAAGGGAGCAAAGGTAGAGATGGATCCATCTATAGACATTGGATGGAGTCGGAGCTCTCCTCGACTAGTCAGGAACAACCAGTGTGGGTACGGACCTAGGGAGGACAAATAGATCAAACCTCATCCGGAGGATTTAGAGTCAACCTCTTAAAGGGACAGACCGGCTATGTAAGGTAGTTTGAACTGAGTATGCAGTGTTGTGGAAAATTTTTTTCGGATTCATTTGACACATATAAAACTTCTTAAAGATCTGTAAATCCTGAGTTTGAGAGGAAAGTTGACGTTCAAAATCGTACTTTTGGTTGGATATGTTTTCAGAATTGGTTTCTTAAATTACAAAATAACGACGACAAAAAATGTAAACAATATCCTACAGTAAACTAATAAGTGGTTTAGGAACAGGTTGAGAAAATAAAAAGTAATCTTATCATCGAAAATATGTAATCTTGTTCAATTATTAGTTTCTGTTTTCTCATTATACTAGTCTCTCATTATTCACAAATATTTTCTGTAGATTTTCTGGAATTATATTATTGAGAAGACGACATTTGAAGATTTGTAGAAATCTATGAATAAATTCATAGAAAATAAGAAATTCAATATAATGATTAAAACGAAATAATTGATTCTAACATTGATTTTATTGACAAATTTATTTTGAGAAATATGTTCCTAGCCATCTAATTAGTTTACTAAAGAATTTTTACTTTAATTTTCGTTGTCGTTATTTAATAATAATAAAAAAAAATCTGAAAACGTACCCCACCCAAATTCATGATTTTGAACGTCGACTATGCACTAAAACTCAGTAATTATACATCGTGGAAAAATTTACATAGCTCAAATGAATCCTTCAGAATTTGTCCACAACACTGCATACTCAGTTTAACTACCTTACATAGCCGGTCTGTCCCTTTCAGAATGATGCACAAGTCGTATTAATCCAGGGGCGTATACAGGGATTTGTCCAAGAGAGGGGGGGTTTACCTTTTTGAAATTTCAAGGGGGTGGGGGGTGTCAGGCTTCATCGGTAAAATCACGATTTTTTACTTCTCCGCGCCTCAGATAAAAGCATAATTTACAAAACGCTTAGAAAGGTTAAAATATTGAATTTAATAACAATGCCTATTATATTCTAATCCAGGAGTGACGGCGGCGTGGTGGATTTTATTTAATCTATTTATAACAACATTAGTAGATAATTATGATAATAATAAGAATAATAATAATAATAATAAAAGACATTCCTAAAATTCAGACAACAAAATTCAATTTTCACATTTTTAAAGAAAATATTGTATTCTCACCTGATATAAAGACTCCCTCATATCCGGCAATATCCCTGAAGTAGCGAAGTGAGTGCCGGTGCATCAGCTGTTTTTCCTCACGGCCTTTCCTTGACTTCCGGTCGCGCAGCACTAATCCATGGGACAATTTCCTGTTAATAAACCCTTTTAAATGTTTACTGCTCTTAAATCTTATTTGGTGTCCTCAAAACCTTAGCTGATATCATAAAACCTAGCAGATTTCTGGTGTCCTCTAACCCTTATCTGGTATTACCTGAATCTGATTTTAAGCTGATCTGGTGAAAGACTGGGACTCTGGTACTCATACAACTCGTAAATTACAACCTCCTGATCCCTTAACCTCGCTAATAATAACGGCCTCCGTCCTCGAATCCCGAGACCGACCAGACGGATCTCTGTGACCTCTGGTAGATTCTCCAAGCCGCGCGTAGCGTCTGATTGAGTTGAAGCGCGTGTGCTCATATTGTCCACGAGTACATTGGGAGTGTGAGGGAAGTTTAACGAGACAAATCTGTAAAATATTAAAAATAAAATCTTTTAAGGGATTGTTCACCAAATAGAAAGGAATGCTTTAATACCATTAATTATCTCAGTCGTGAGAATTGTCTCTTTATGATCGATCATGAGAAGTATCGTTAAGATTAAAATAGAAAAAAAATAGTGCTACCGAGCTAGAACTACTGCAAACCTTCGTTTTACCAATGATAAACGATATTTACAGACAAGGGCGTATACAGGGGGGGGGCATGGGGGGCAGTGCCCCCCCTAGACTTGTAAAGGGGGGGGTTAAATATACCTATAAAAGTATAATAAAATGTCGATTTTTTAGAAACAATGCTTAGAAGGTAATTATTTGGACTGTATGTGTGCCTTTTAAGTATCTTATACTTATGCCCGATATCCAAGAAGCCAAGTGTTATGAATTTACAGTTCGAATTTTGCCCCCCCCCTAGGAGCTCCTAGAGGGGGGCAAAAAAAAATTTTGCGCTTCGCGCAAATCTTGCCCCCCCCCTACATTTATTTCTGTATACGCCCTTGTTTACAGACAAAAGAACAATGGCCAAGATGACAGAAACTAAGATTTATCATTCTCAACCTTAGAATTGGCTTTCAGTGGAATGCTAGGCTGAGTTGTAAAAAACTAAAAAAAAAGTTGGGTTACTATGTTTACTTTCAAGTTATTTAAACATAACATTTTTTGTTCATTCAATCACAGAATTTGTTTGTAAAAATAGGTTTACCTGAGAGTGAAGTCTGGAACACTGTAAAGCTCAAAGTTTCCATTTTGTCTAACCCCGACACACCAGTAGGTTATCTTAACAGGCTCAAGGTGCTTTCTCCAACCTTCATCGTTATCCTTGTAAAATAGGTAAATAGATAACAATAATCAGGCTCTTAATAGATATATTTGATAATATATAACAGGTTAGAAAGATAGATAAACACATTTATAAAGAATACAAAGAACCGAGAGATAAATATGTCGATACGAGGATAAAATATATCGTTCTTTATCCTAAACGAACAATTTTTTTGGGAAACTTTTTAAGACCGATAGTTTTTACTGAATGATCGATTTTTTTAAAACTGTATTTTTTACTGAACGAACGATTCTACTGCCGAAGAAAGGGTTGAAAAATAACGAAATGGGTCGTTCACGAACGATGAATAAACGAAATGAAAAAACGGGTGTCTCCGACACGTGTAAATAAGATAGTGAGGAAAAATCAATTATCATAAAGGGTTACCCATAAAGAATGTGACTGAAAAGACGACCTAAAACTATGACAACTCTAAGGTTAAAGTAAAAAAGTCTTCTGCTTTGAATGAAGTATTTTAATGGCTTATCTAATGATTTGCCAAAGAAACAAAAAAGCTTAAAGTTGCAGGCAATCACAAATATAAGAAAACAGACAGTATAAATTCTGTATAGTCGTCTCTGAAACCTCTTTATTTGTGGGTAAGCATGTAGATGAATGAAATTGGCTTCCAATAACCGTTTATTTTTCGTCTAAAATATCCCATATTTAAAATATTCCGTTTAGAAATGCGCAAAAGAAAATTGTGATGTGCAGCTGAAAACCTACCTGGTTCTCATCATTATCATCTATTCCTCCCTCACTGAACATCCCAACCTTGAATACATACTATTTAAAGGGATTGCAACAGAAATTTCAAGTGACCCTTCCACCTTAAATTCTTTATCTGATCAATAATAAGATGTTGCGTTTTCTAGCTTTAAGTGTTAAATCCTGATGGTTCATTAGTAATGCGTAAATGCTTTTCCAGAGAAACCTGAAAATAACCTGTTTAAAAAGTATAAACATTCTTATCTAATTCATATTTGATCAGACAAAGCTTTTAAGGGACCGTTATGAACCTTTACAATGAACATTTCTTGAAATTCTGTGGCCGTACATTTTTCAAGTGTAAAACATAAACAAAATAAGGGAAACTAAAAAAGACAATTTTGGAAATTTATTCAAAAAATAAAAAAATGCAAAATATTCATGAGCTGGATCCGGATCCATTTTCAGGACGAATTCAGGCTCCACATCAAAACTAAATGGATCGTAAGAACTATTTTTGATAAAAATAGACAATTTGTCGAACTTCAGGAAATAAAGTTTAATTAATTTAATCATAAAATTCAGATAATTTATTAACCTGAGCTTCGCCACTACCATACAATAGCTCATCCTCCTCATCTAGATCCTAGACAGACAATATTGTTATCATTTTATATTATCAGTTTATATATATATAAAGTAGTAATCTCTGTCAGTACGGTTTGATTGATTGGATGTCCGATGTCATAATAACTCATGAAACCATTAATTGATTTGCCTCAAATGTTGATATTGTAAGTCGTTAAAACCATCTTTACTAGGTTTAAATATTTAAATGTTTGGGATAGTTACCGATGCTAGTCGAAAGGAAGGAGGACTTAGTTAACCGCGCATATTTATACTTCATAATGACAGAGCCATCTGTCATTTAGAACGGTCTATCAAAACAATAGACGTTTTTCTGTTCATACTTTCCCCCCAAAAATATTAATAGAAAATACAAACCTTTGGTTGTTTTTTATTTTCCGTATTCCTGGTTTGCTTCTCCTTGTTGCTAAGTTTAGTTTCTGTAGTTAGTAATCCAGATTTATCCCGGTATAAGCTGACCGCCACCAGGGGACTCTTCATTCTACCTGGCAGCTCACCTAAAGTATCATTATTATTATCATCATTATCATTATCATTTTTATCATCATCATCATCATTATAATTACTTTTATCATTTTTAATAGTTAAGTATCCTTAATATCATTAAAATCAAATCAGGCTTTTATATGGTCCTACTATCCACTATTCAATCTCATTATTTTCATTATTATCATAATTACAATTATCATCATTATCATCATAGTCATCATAGTCATCATTATTATCATTATTATCCTTATTATCGTTATTATCATTGTTATCATTATCATCATTATTATCATTATTATCATTTTTTATCATTATCATCATTTTCATCATTATTATCCTTATTATCCTTATTATCCTTATTATCTTTATTATCCTTATTATCCTTATTATCATTATTATCATTATTATCATCATTATTATAATTATTATCATTATTATCATTGTTATCATTATTATTATTATTATTATCATTACTATCAGTATTATTATTATTATCATCATTATCATCATTATCATCATTATCATCATTATCATCATTATCATTATCTATCATCATACCTATTTTAGTTTTGACAATACTAAGAGTTCCCTCCTTGAGAGTGAGTACTGCAGCTTGACCGGACTCCGATACCAGAGAGAGATGCGGGTCAGCACAGCTTACAGAGCGTATAGGTCCACCCAGATCTAGAATATAACAGAACTTGACCAAAATTAAACCAATTCAAATTGAAGGTTAAATACAACATTGATAAAAGCAAAATCTATTCCAGTATATTTCATCTAAATCAAAAGCCAACCAATAGCTAACTAAGAATAAACAAAGATCCAAGACATATCTAAAATCAACCCAAGATCATTCCCAGATTTAACCCAGATCCAACCCAGAATCAACCCAGATCCATCCAGATCCAACCCAGATCCAACCCAGATCCAACCCAGATCCAACCCAGATCCAACCCAGATCCATCCAGATCCAACCCAGATCCAACCCAGATCCAACCAAGATTCAACCCAGATCCAACCAGAATCCAACAAAGATCCAACCAAGATCCAACCAAGATCCAACCAAGATCCAACCAAGATCCAACCAAGATCCAACCAAGATCCAACCAAGATACAACAATGATCCAACCAATATCCAACCAAGATCTAACCAAGATCTAACCAAGATCCAACAAAGATCCAACCAAGATCCAACCAAGATCCAACCAAGAGCTAACCAAGATCCAACCAAGATCTAACCAAGATCCAACCAAGAGCTAACCAAGAACTAACCATGAATAAACCATAACCCAACAAAGATCCGACCAATAACAAGTAAAGATACAACCAACATTAAATCATGAATCCCACCTATGTCTAGGGTCTGAACAAGATCGCAGTCTTTGAGCAGAAGAACAGCATTAGGTACAACCTGGAGAATATATCCGTTTCCTGCCAGAAAAATAAACTTTATAAAAGTAAAAGAGTTTGACGGTAATCTGGTGAATGAGGGGGGGGGGGGAAGAAGCTATTACTTTACGGAAAAATATTAGTTCACAACTTAATGTATACAAATGATAAAGAAAAAGTACAAATGTTGAGCGTCTCTTTTTATTAAGTTTAATTTCCTCCGATATTTCCAGCAAATACAGTAGGCTCTGTGGTTCTAAATCCAGATGTATCCAGCTCATTAATCTCCTGAAATACATGAACAATTACAGATCAAAGATGGAAGAAATAGGATGGTGAATGATGAAATCCCCGAGAGATGATTATAAAATCGGCAAAAAGAGTAGCGTCGGTTTCTGGACCCAGAGAAGACCTTCTCATCTTCCTCTCCTTTAATATACTCGTTATTCATTATATATTTACATCTATGTACTTCTAAAATGGAAGTATAAAGTTAAAAATGGAAATAACAGAATAAATGGATGAAAAGATGGAAGGAAATGACAGAATTAGTGGAAATGACAGAAAAGATGGATCAACATGATAGATTGAATGGATGTACAGATTGCTTGATATTACCTGTCCTGTTTGTAGAACCATCGAGGAATCTTTCCTTGATAAGATTAGGTACGAATGTTCTGCTGCACCACCCTGAAATATCAATGATTGATAAGTGCCCAGCGTTGCCCTTGGAATTATTTTAAATCGGAGTTTGAATTTTTTTTTATAATTTCAAATATTTTTCGATTAAAAAAAAAAAAATTCCGAATGATAAAATATATTTTATTCTACTGCATCACCCTGTAATAATGATAAAATATATTATATTCTACTGCACCACCCTGTAATACTGATAAAATATATCATATTCTAGTGCACCACCCTGTAATACTGATAAATATATTATATTCTACTGCACCACCCTCTAAAATTAATAATTTATAAAATATTCTACTGCACCACCCTGTAACATTGATAAAATATAGAATATTCTGCAGCACCACCCAGTAACATTAATAAAATATATTATTTTCTACTGCACCACCCTGTAATACTGATAAAATATAGAATATTCTACTGCACCACCCTGTAATACTGATAAATATATTATATTCTACTGCACCACCCTGTAAAATTAATAATTTATAAAATATTCTACTGCACCACCCTGTAACATTGATAAAATATAGAATATTCTGCAGCACCGTCCTTTTAAAATAAAAAAGAAGAATATGAAGTGTTACCAAGTCAAATTAAAAATTGCACTGAAAAAGAAAAAAGATAATAACCTGAGCAGCGTTAGGTCCGAATACTGTCCACATATCTACACATCCAGGAAGTTCAAATGTAGTCACAACCTATTCATCAAATAAATAAACAATAACATTTTTTCTGAATAACACATTTTGATAAAAAGACAGGTTGGCTAGTTTTATCTGAGATTGTAGTGAGCCAAGGAGTATTGAATAGAAGGGAGATACAACTGACGCAGCCCGCCAGTTCGAAATCCCGATAGAAGAGTTCTCACTGCTGGTAACTATCCTCACAGAAAATTGATTTGTGTATACCAGCTGAGCTAGATACTGATAGATATCTGTAGAACACAAAGATTAAGGTTATCAGTTAACACTGAACTGAGATGGATTGACTTCTGTGGAACGCAAAGATCAAGATAAACAATAACCTGAGGACGAATTGATCTTTATAAGACGCAAAGATCAAGATAAACACAAACCTGAAGACAGATTGATCTCTGTAGGACACAAATATCAAGATAATCACTAACCTTGAGAGGGATTAATCTCTATATGACGCAAAGATCAACACTAACCTAAGGACGAATTGATCTCTATAGGACGTAAAGATCAAGATAATACTAACCTGAGGATGGATTGATCTCTGTAGGACACAAAGATCAAGATAATTACTAACCTTACGAGGGATTGATCTCAATATTACGCAAATATCAACACTAACCTAAGGACGAATTGATCTCTATATAATACTAACCTGAGGATGGATTGATATCTGAAGGACACAAAGATCAAGATATACACTAACCTGAGGACGGATTGATATCTGAAGGACGCTAAGATCAAGATATAAATTAACCTAAGGACGAATTGATCTCTGTAGAACGCTTAGATCAAGTTATACACTAACCTGAGGACGAATTGATCTCTGTAGGAAGCAAAGATCAAGATATACACTAACCTGAGATTGATCTCTGTAGAACGCTTAGATCAAGATATACACTAACCTGAGATTGATCTCTTTAGAACGCTTAGATCAAGATATACACTAACCTGAGGACGAATTGATCTCTGTAGGACGCAGAGAGCTCCGTTTTTTCCGATCCCTGCTGTCGTAACCAACTCAATATCAGGATCAGGACTATTTGTGCTAAAATATATTAATCATGAAAAAGTAATTTTTGTTTTTGACAATAATGAGCATTAGACATTCCATTAGACAAATTAGAATCAATGGAAATTTAAATTCAATGATCTGAGAGTAAACGATACCTTCATTGTCAAATGTGAAATAAGCACGATGTAAAACATTAAATTATTTTTTTTACAATTTTAAATGTAGAAAATAAATGTGGGGGGGGGGTTGCATGGGCATATACACGAATTTGTCCAGGGGCACTCAGCATGACTGGCACGGGGGGGGGGGGGCTCATCCCAATGGCGAAGACAAGGTTGTCCTGTATATGACTAGAATGAAGAACTACCTAAACTCCTCTGAAAGGAAGGCGGGTTCCCCCATACTAACATATCCACAGGGTCCAATATTCAGCAGACTGTCACACACCTAGATATAAATAGCAAATGGAAGACGACTTTCAAATATCGTCTTCAGGGATTCATTTAAACGATGTGACTTAAGAGACGCCGCCAATAACAAATTTATTCTGGCTTATACTTTAGGATTAGCTGTAAAAAGAAAAGAGAATTTAAACTGAAGACTTAATCCAACCCATAGGTTTATCAAATTTTAAGTTCTGAGTCGTATTTCAAGTTTTCTCCTTGATGGGATGATGACAAAAAAGCGCTCTTTGATCTTAACTCAGCAATTAAAAATAAAAACAAGTCATAAATTGCTCTGAGTCCGAATTTAATGAATTTGAACCGTGTCTCAAATCCACCAACAACCGGTTTCAACTGAGCGCCGGCTTAAATCTTGAAACATTGAATACGATTTTAAGTGGAACCAACTATATATGAGACGCGTCTCAAATTTAAGCCGCGGCTTAAATTCTTTGAATTCGGCCTCTGGTTAATTAGTCTAAAATTCTAATTATTGATAAAAAGTGTATGTTTCCATTAAATCAACTATCCCAAATCTTTAAACCAACTATATCAATAAGAACCCCTGTGCAAACGAATTTTAAATAATTTAAATGATAAAATGCGATTAAACTATGTCTTTGGTTTGGTCGAATTCAATTCAGTTTCGGTTAGATCTGGTGACGCACCAGTGCCCCTCGGATATACACACTACACTACACAGGTTTTATATTATCAAACACGCACAGCAGTCATAAAAGAATTTTCAATTTTTAGGCGCAATTCTTTATATTTATTAATAACCAATTATATTTGTAGTGGTCTAAAAAAAACTTGATAATGATTGAAAACGTATACAAGTGTCAAAATAAATTCGGTTTGATCAATTTGAATTTGAAAATATTGAACGTAAAGCCATGCATGTTTCCAATCTTTTGAAATACTTTTATGGTTCAAGATTTTATATTCTATACAAGCTTGCCACAAATTCTGATTTTCTTGAAAAAAATTTAATTAGTGTTTAATTATCAAATAAGCATCCTGCAACCCCCTTCTTTTTCATCAATGTGTTACTAAAAAGATAAATAATTTTAGAATGTGCATAAAATCTACGCGTCTTCTATGCTTCAATGACCCCTTAAACACAGCTCCACACTTTGGTAACATTAGAAATAAGGGAGGGAGAATGAGGGTAGAAAAAAAAGTAGAAAAGATTTGTTTTGTTATTAAAAAAACTAAAAACTAATGTTGAAATAAATGGGAAGGCTTAGAAAGCGGGGGGGGGGGGAGCACCCCCACTCATTTTCGCATTGTGGGAAAATAAGCTTTGAATGAAGGTTGTAATACTTAAAAGGGATGCAATGGAGCAAATACAAATGGAAAATGGAAAATTAAGGGTTTAAATTCCATAAAATCCAAAAACTAAGCAATGATGAATACAGAGTTGACCTTAATTTCTTCTATGTAAAAAAAGGTAAAAAAGTAGTTTTTAAGAAACAGATATGATTGTATTATTTGCGGTTTCTTTAAATCAGAGATTTGGATCGTAATATCGAATATTTATTCAAGCCTAAAGTAATCAATTTATTTTTTCAATCAAAAAAACAGATAAACATCCTCATACAAAATGTTTCATGGACCAATTGTCATGGACCAATCTTCAGTGAGGTCTGTTCTCGACTGCAGAATATTCCAGTATTTTTTCTGTTTGTGTATTTTCATGAAAGAGTTGGCGGATTAGTGAAATTTAAATAAAAAAGACGACAATCATGCCACTGTTTTCTGGTCACCACTGTAAGAGAAAATATTTTTTTAAGGATTATATGTAAGTACACATGTGGTTTACACAGCAGTATTTATTGCCTACTGTATAGAGGGGCAACGAGAAGAAATATGGACAACAGGTAACACATGTTCGTTCATTTCCCCACCCAAATTACCAAACCGGTGATTTTTTTAAATGTGTCTTGTTCCCCAAACCTCTCCCAAAGAACCCCCTTATAATATTAAAAAAAAATATGATTATCAAAAATACTTTAAGATTAAGTGCATTATTTAAATATCATCTGTTCTAGGAGGTTTATGGCTAGGGTTTGGTTTGATCTTCGCTGGGATGGATCTTTGGTTGGATCCTTATAAACCTAATTTCAAAACAGCTGTCAGGTTTTTAAGAAATAATCATAAAAATAAAACGTAAATTATCAAAAAATACAGGTTTTTTTTAAACTGTTCGAAATTCATTCAAATTCTAAATTTCATCATTATTTCCAGAACAATCTCAATAATCCTGTTCCTACCCTTCTACACTTTTGCCATGTACTGCCAGTACTCAAAACAGGTATTTTTTAAAAAAATATAACCAACAGAAATAGGATTGTGAACTGATTGTTTCATAACACAACATTTTTAACCATTTTTTACCCCAGTCTTCAAAAAACTACCAACCACAGCTTGAGGGCCTTCTCTTCAATCTCTGGAGATACAATCTTGGTGCTATGCCAATCTACATTATCACCCAGGAACTTAATTTGATTAAAAAAACTTAAGTTTGACAAAATATTCCAGTCTGGCTTTATAAAAAACACTTTGACAAAGAGTATTTTAATCATCTTGATTTATAGAGTGCTCTTCTTTTTGCCAGCTGGGCTAGAATCTCAGAAAGTACCCTTACAGTTAACCTGCAGATAGGATTTCTAGTGCTGGCATTCATGTCACTTATGTCAAGTGGAGCTGCGTTCAAAATCACAGCCAGGGAAACTGAACCAATAATTTGGTTCAAACCCATCAAAGAGTCGGGGAAGAAGGAGTCTTTTAACGACAGACTTTTGCAAGTAATAAAGTCCACAGCAAAGGTAACTTACAAATTAAAATCAAGTGATTAAAGGGTTTGGAGGATTCAAAGTCTAAATTGATAAATCTTAAATGTTGATCTTTTTCTAGGTCGAATATGGTGCTACTCAACCTGGAACAACTCACAGACTCCCAAAAGTTGGTGATTTAGATCAAAGAGTTACATTAAAACAGCAAGGTCTTCCAACTCTTCTTTACTGTCCAAGCTTCCACGAAATATTACAACATATACCCATGGTGATACTTTTTATCCTTTCAAGAATAACCCCCATAGCCCTAATGGTTACATACATCCATACCTACACCCTGGTACCAATATCAGTAATAATCGTTCTACAGATTCTGATTGGATGGCGCCTACTTAAGCTAAAAATAATGGATTCCGTTTTGTCAGCTTTCCTCTCAATTTCACAGCCAGCTCCGTATCAAGTTAAATCAACACCAAACTTCATAGTAAAGGTAAGTACAAACTGTAATCCAAAACTAAACATTCATACAGTCACATGATTTGAGATGGAATTTAAAGAATTTGAGCCGCGGTTAAAATCCGCCAAAACCCGGTTTAAATTAAGCGCCGGCTTAAATCTTGAAACATTTGATACAATTTTAAGTGGAACCAACCATATTTAAACCGCGGCTTAAATTTAAACCGCCGCTCAAATTCTTTAAATTCGGCCATTGGTTGGCTTATCCCATATATCCAAAAATATATTTTTTTAAATGCCCAACAACATTACTTTTGTTGATTATCGAAAAACTACCATATTTTTCTATTACTGCATAGATTAGGTTGTAAGAGAGGAGTGCTGATGTGATTTTGGCATTTATCTCCTTTTTATGGATAGCACTTAAATTTGAACTGCCTGTCAAAACTTTGATAATTAATGTATATCTTAACTCAGGGTAAATTTATTTTACTAAATTCTGTGATATGGATGCTGATCAACATGTCCTCAGTGCCAGTTCTTCTTGGAGCAGCTGTGCATGACCACTCTGAAGGTCTACCCATATTTAGCTGTTTAAATACTACATCAATAAATGATACCCTCAGTAGGATTTGTGAGGTGAACATTACTAATATTCTGCTAACTATGCTAAAATTTAACTTGAGACTTAAACTTATAACATATTTCTCAAAGTTCACAAAACTTTAAGTCCAAATGATTTTCTTAAATCCTTTCGAAGAAATTATGAGTAAAGAATTGAGCTGTTGGGTTAGAAATGGCAAATTAGATGGCAGTGTCATCAACATTCTCTATTACAAGTGGCAATGCACTAAGGCTGACGCCTTAAAAGTGTGACATACATATTAAAATACATAACAGCTAAATGTAATAGGATTGATGTATTAGGAAGATGAGGCACCAAACTCGCTTTTATCTGTTGGATTAACAATTTCCACTTTCCTGGGCCTACTACTGCTCCTGTTGTCCCTTATCCTTGTCAAGAGAGGAACACCTCCTCTGATAATAGTTCAGAGGAAATGGGATGATAAATTGAAAGCATACATGGAACAGGAGAATGGAGGTAGCAAATAATTTGTATTCTAACATTGACAGATGCTTTTTTTGGACTTGGGTATGTGGACTGTGGAGATCACATCATTATTAGTCAAAAAGTTAAGTGAGGCCAAATTTAAAGAATTTGAACCGTGTTGCTGAACCACCAATAACAGGTTCCAGTTGAGCGCAAGCTCAAATCTCAAAACAATTATTAAAATTTTCAGCTGAACCAACAATCTATGAATCGCGTCTAGACGCGGTTCAAATCCTTTGAATTCGGACTCTGATGTTATTACTCTAGGTCTTGGGTATAAATGGAGAATAGCAACAGTAGATGAATTTCAAGAACACAAGAACTTCATCTTTAAGCACATACAATACAAGACAGTAAATGTATTTAGGATTTCAAACTGTCCGGTAAGTCATAACAACAAAATGTCCTATTATTAACTAGTAAATTGTACTAAATATCAGGGACTAGCAGTGCCACATTTCCGACTTCAAGATGGGGTTGTTCTTCCCATGCTGAACTTCTCCAGGTAATAATTCATCATTTTAATAATTGGGAAAAAATATGAATTTAATATATAATCTTTCCTCAGAAATTAAATTAGTCCAATTAAAGTCAAAATCAAAATTTGCGGTAAATCATATGCAATCAGAGATTAATATTTTATATTTTATATATAGCTATGTAAGACCCATCAAGTAGGTTTCGTTTGAATATTATCCTTAAATGTGTGAACAGAATCCTATATTACCTTTAAAATACTCCCCATGACAATTTTTCAACCCCCCCCCCCCCCCTGATTGATAATACTTCATAATATTTCTGTGAATTGGTAGTTAATTTTTTTAGAACTTTTGTAATTTTAAACATCAGATAGAGAAATAATTTGATGTCGAATATATGAAAATATTTAAAAAAAGAGACCTGTAAGTGAGTCAAGATTAAAAGAATCAATAATTAATTTGCAATTAGTTCTGATGATCTGAGAACACTAAAAGCAGAGGCAGAAGAGTTCCAATCATTTGATCTTCTCTTTGGACTGAGATTTACAAGATATTCCATTTACATCCCAGATGACTACTACTGATGATATAATGGAAGGTTTACATAAAGTGATAATAAAATATACATTTATCTTAATTCCACCTTTTACTACAGAGATTTTAACCCATGTAGAGTTTAACTCAAACTTGAAGAAGAAAAAGAAAAAAATCAGAAACTACCAAAACAAGACTTAGTTCTCATAGCAATTCTGTCAAAAAAAACGTATTTGTCAAGAACTAAAACAAATAAATTTCAAGTTCGAATTACAGTGAAATTAATTAGTCATGGATGGCATTGACATATTTAATTTAATTTTGCTCAATCTGAAATGATTTCTAATCTAATCGGGTAAACCCTAGATACCATTATCCAAAATCTATGGTCAATGCTTCAATGTTTCATACCTCAAAAGTAAATGCAGATATTTTGTGGTGAACAGTTTCTGGAGTAGACCCGTAGACTTCTAGTTCCTCATTCTCAGCATCTAACCAGTCTCCAGTAGTATCCAGTCTTTTCTTCTTGTTTGGAGGTTCCTTTTCCCTCCGACCTCCGATCTATAAATAGCAAAATTAACCCTATTCTCTTTAGCTAAATAATAAACACTTATTTGCTTGGAGGCTCCTTATTTTCCTCAAACCTCGAAACATTGAATTTGAGTATATTTTCTTTAGATGCTTGTTCTCCCTTCAACCTCCGAAGGCCTCTTTTCCCTCCAACCTCCGAACAATTGGAGGAATTAGTAGCTTTTTTTCCACCAACCTCTGATCTATAACGTTGAATTTAAGTCTTAGAAGTTTGAATAACGGTGCATTTCTACAGTACATTTGGTCGGTAACAAAACGTTTATTTAGTTTCTTTAGATAGCTCTAAATATATATTTTTTAATGTGGGTGTTCATACCTGGCCTGCATCTCTGCTTGTATATTTGAGTAGAAGAGAGTTTCCAAGCCTACTGCCCAGGAACAAGTAACCTAGACAATATTATTTATTAAAAAACGCAATTTTTATATTTTTTTTTAGAATAGTAAGTAAAATGATTTTTCTCGATGAAGGTTATTTCATAATTCTCGGATCCTTGGAATGAGAACATGATCACGCACCTCTGACTCTTTAGTAAAAGTAAATTCAACCTGAAGTCTGACCGCGTCAACCTTGTTGCACCGGCTAGTACTATTGAGTGCCTGCTTTATTTAACCAATGTCCGGACGATACAGTACAAACTGGGACCGGAATGGTTGATCCGGCTCGGAAATTCAAATGTACTATTTCATGGGTCTGACCCAATCATCAGTTGGATTCTTTAAATATATGCATATATTTAAAGAATCAGCTTTAAATTAAAACATTTCAATATAATTCAGAATCTTACTTGATGTTTCATGCTTTGCATATAAATATATATACTATATATATATATATGAGCGAAGAGCTTTTTTATATAGATTGTTGGGAAAAAGGCTTGATCCTAATTGGATGTGTAGCTACAATTGAAGAACTGGATTTGTGCACTTCATATTTTACTTAGAATATTACAAAACTTGATTGTTTTAGCATCTTTACTCTTAAAATTGAATGAAAACTTTTCACCAAAAACTGTCAAATACACAATTTAAAAAAACATTAATATTTAACTTAATAGTCCTTCTTAAAAAATATGCGGATCCATGTATCCAGATCCAAGGGTCTAACATATCAACAAAAACTGCAAAAATATATTTCCTCTCAAACCCCAAATCTAAACTATTGAAAAAGAAATATAATCCAAAATGTCTTTATCTCTAAAAGACTCATCAAGTTTTAGCATAAAAATAAGAAAAAAAACGAAGCAAAATAAAAATTGAAAATTGTTTTTCTGTAAAAATCAGTAAATCTTAAAGAAAATGCTCATGAACAGAATCCACATCAAATCAAATGGATCCTAAGCACTGATTTAATAGGACGCACTGAATTAGAGGTTTTACCTTTGCCCGTGAGAGAAAGACAAGTGGTGAGTACACTAGCTGCAGCCTTGTCCAGGTGAAATCCTTTTACAGCTCTCATAGCATCTACCAGTAGGGTCAACACGTACAGTTCTCCGCCTTTAACATGTTCAGGCTTTTATTAAAATTAAAATATTTATCTTTTGTTTGAAATGTAATACCACCGTATTATAATTTTGAAAACTGAAATTTTATAATTTCTCCACGAAAGTGACTTGCACATACTACTTAAGGAAAACATATAGGAATAATCAGAATCAAATACTTTAATACCTAGAAAAACGACACCATCGTCCACATTTTGGATCATATAAAGATTTCAATGGTACCGTTGTGAGTTACCATAAAAATAAATCTGAATTGTCATGAGGTTTCAAAATTTAAAAAAATCCCTCCAGACACAACACATACCTTTCAACGATATAACAAGTTGATCTGTAGATAAGAACTCTGCTACAGCACAGTCTAGGCTTAGTTTAACTCCTTCTAGAGGACGAATATGTATATCTGTTGTGATCCCCTTGTCTCCAGTAGCATTCAAGGATACTCCATAGCAGGGTATACCCTGAACAATAAAAACTATAAAACCTCTTTTACCCTTAGAAACAGTGTTTCCAAATATTCTGAAACTCTTTGCATTGGTTAATTAAGTCTTCATCATCGAATAGAATCTTAAACCACGTGACATTGTACAAAAACTAAGAAATAAGACATATTGTAAGTCTCATCCTTTGTGGGTAACTCTTGATCAAATAAGTTTAAATATTCAATGTCATTCAAATCAGATCAAATCAGATCAAATCAGATCAAATCAGATCAAATCAGTTCAAATCATATCAAATCAGATCAAATCAGACCAATCAAATCAAATCAGATCAAATCAGTTCAAATCATATCAAATCAGATCAAATCAGATCAAATCAGACCAATCAGATCAAATCAGATCAAATCAGATCAAATCAGATCAAATCAGATCAAATCAGATCAAATCAAATCAAACCAGATCAAATCAGATCAAATCAGGTCAAATCAGATCAAATCAGATCAAATCAGATCAAATAATCAAACCAAAACAAACCAAACCAGCCTTTTAGAGACCTATCGTGACTTAGTACCTGGTTAAGATAGAAAAGACTGTTGACCGCAAACACAAGAGTTCCTCCAGTAGGCATAGGTACAGGTACAGCCTAGCACATAAGATACATTTTACAATTATACTTTTAACAAGTGCTTAAGATCAGGACATTATTGCTTCCTGGATTCGGATCCTCAAAAATACTAGCCAAAAACTGTAAAAAAAATTATTGCTCTCAAAATCTGTTTTTAAAAAAAAGAAGATACTATCAAAATTTTCCTTAATTCTGAATGTTTCATGGAGTTTAGCATAAAAATAAGCGAAAAAAGGAAAAATAATTATTTGCAGATTCTTCTTTTGTTTAAAAATACCAGTAAATCTTAAAGAAATGTTCATGACAAAGATCCGGATCCATCCTTTCAGGGCAGGATTCGGATCCGCATTAATAATCAAATAGATCCTATCCTCTGCTTTAAATTATATATGAACATTATATATATATATATCTATACTAGCCTTAGAGGGCGCTTCGCGCCCATCTTCTAAATTAATTGTGAACATGTTCTCTTTGTGTACATCGTAAAACAAAACAAAAATAATTCGTGATAAATATATAGAATGGATAAATAGATATATAGATAGATAAATATATAGAATGGATAAATAGATATATAGATAGATAAATATATAGAATGGATAGATAGATAGATAAATAGATATTATGTAAACTAGACTGAAGTAAAGACATTGACTAGATGCACATGCTTCTTTTCCCACCAGACTTAACAGGGGAATATATTCATTCATTTATTCATTCATTTATTCATCCTGGGGTATACATTAATTATTTCATTCATCCTTTCAGGGGAATATACTCATTAATTCATCCTTTCTTCCTTATACATATTCATTAATTCATTCAGGTGTGTATACATCCTTCCGTTTTAGGGATTTATATACATTAATTCATTAATTTATTTATTTGTCCAGTGTCCAATGTCCAGTGTACAGTGTCAAGGTCCAGTGTCCAGTGCCAGGTGTCCAGTGTCCAGTGTCCAGTGTCCAGTGTCCAGTGTCCAGTGTCCATATAACCTAGAATATATAAGAGTAGGGTTGGTTGTATCCGTGCAGGAACTGTATATCCAGGATATTCTCTAAACTATGGGTTGGGATAACCTTGAGTATCAAAGAGTAATGATTGGTTGTATCCGTGCGTACATCCAAGATATTCTCAATACTATGGAGTTTGATAACCTAGAACATATAAGGAGTGGGATTGGATGGTTTGATCAGTAAAGTTGATAAATATAACTATCATAAAATGACATTAAATATAAAAAAAACTGAAATGAAAATGCTTTGAGATTAACTTATATTTACTTACAGTATCTTCAAGTCCAAGTCAACTCCGATCTGAGTTTCAGTTCCAAAGGAGTAGAAATTAAAAAAGGGGCGCGGTTGTAATAAAGTAATAATGTTATGATGTTCGTCTTAGAAATAACTAATGTTACTGTTTGTGTTTTTTACCTGTTCTAAATCAATCGTGTAGGACGGAAGAACCTTACTGCTTCCTCCACCAATCCTAAACATTAAAGATAATAAGATTTTTTAAAGAATTTTATTCTTATTCTCGTTCAGACCATGCAGTGCAGAAGCTATAATTGAATATCTAAAGTAAGAACCAGAAAACAACTGTTAAACACAATTTATGACTCTGAACAATCAAATCAAATAAACATAAGAAAAGAAATTGTGCCATTTAAACTGACTCATTTCACTTTAGAAGTGATTTGATAAGTTGCTAGTTACTATTTGCTTTGAAACAATATCAAATACACTTAATTATTGTTTTAAAGTGGTCTTTCTATTCCACAGTTTTCTGGTTATCACTGTAATAGGATTTCAGGGCACATTTTGTTAATTTGTTAGGTTCTCAAATTTTAAATTCTAATTATGAAAGGACATAACCCCTCTGTTGAGTGTACAGTGTATCTATCTATTATGACGCGTCTGCACCTCCTAAGGACTACAGATCTCATTACTTTACCGTCATAGTCTTGACTCACACAATCACCGTTCACCTCAGCTAAATAGTAGGTTTTAAAAACAGAGACACTTGAGGTTTTTCAGCTTCTTAAAGTAGACTTTGTCTAGACCTAGCATGTAGGTTTTTAGAAATCCATGTCGAGTGTCGAGCCCTTTTTGAGAAAATTCCATTTAAATTTTGTTGTATAGTTTAGACTGAAAAAAGGCGTTTGACTCAAAAGTTTTCGAGAGATATTTAGAAAACCCGAAACGGTTTGAGCTTTTCTGCTTAAATATTATCATCTTATGATAAATTAATTTATTTAAATCTACATGCTAGGTCTAGACAAAGTCTACTTTAAGAAGCTGAAAAAAACTCAGGTGTCTATGTTTTAAAACCTACTTCATAGCTGAGGTGAACGGTGACTAATGAGTTCACACCCGGCTCATAACTGACTCATGTACTCATTAGTATTTAAACGGACGGGAGCTAAACCCTTATCCCAAGGATAAGGATTGACTGCAAGTATTACTATTATTATTATTATTATTTTCCACCCTCTGTATGATTTTGTGAGATCTTACAAAAATTTTGTCTCGACTGGTATATGGATTAAACAAACCGACAAATCAAACATTAATATATCTGGTAGCTCTAACCTAAGTCCCTCCAAAGATATATCTCCCTCCGAGGACTCCCCCTCTGTCTTTATACTGGATATATCCCGTTTAAAGGGAAGAATAACAATCTTCCTCCCGTAGGCCAGCATAGCAGCGCACCTGAACAACATCAATAAACAGAGGTTGGATTTCATAAATAGTAAAAGTAGTTGAACTCGGGATGAATGTTTACTAGTCGAACTACTTGTCTACAGTAGAGAAGCGATTCCTAAGAATCTATATCAAGTTCAACTATTTTTGTTGCTGTTTTTAAAAGATCAAAGAGGGATTTCAAAAAAAGTTAGAAATTCTAAATATTTTATCCGATGTTTCTTTTAAGCGGATGACACCTCACTAACTCCCAGACAGTTGGTCTTGTATTAACCGGTTCAATCAGTGAAAACCCGGTTTCAAAGGATTCGTTCAATTAGGGAGAAAAAATTAAGTCTTTGTCACAAACTCAAATTTTCTAATCCTTAAAAATTTGCAACCTGATAGTGTGATATTTTAGACCTAGATTATTTGATCCTTCAGACATATAAGTTTGACCTATCTAATCTCTGCGACATTGGGTTGCAAAGATATAGGGATGAGAAGATCATAGTTTTTGCCTGTGGCAAAGACTCAATTTCTTTGTTAACAGAAGCATCGGACAGAAATGAAAATATTGCTAACTGAATAAAACTTCCACACTATTCGCGAACCCTTTGAAAATCTACAAAATAATTCAAGACATTTCTTGAACTAAGGTTCTCTTCACCGAACTGGCTTCAAAATAAAAAATAAACATACCTATTTTCTGGATCCACTCTAACCAACGGAATATTCTCATTGTGTATGAACCCTTCATGGATTGATTTCTCCTAAACAGATCAAATCAAATCAACTCAAATCAAAACCAGTGCTTAGGATCCATTTAATTTTGATGCTGATCCGGATCCGGATCCTGGATCCGGTTTTCAAAAAAATGGATCCGGATTCGGATCCGGATCCAGGTCATTGATAAAAAAAAAATTTATTTTAGTTCAAATATCTTTTCATACCCAAAAAAAATGTTAAACATTTTAACATTTTTTAATACTATTTTTCCACTAGTTTGCACAAAATGATAATGATTTTTTTTTACTTTATTGGATGAAAAAAAAACAGGTCTAATTCATATTAACTTTTAGTAGAAGGAGGGCGTTTGGAATATCTGCCTTCAGGCAACTCCTTAGGTCTGATTTGAATATCTTCAGGGCAGAGAACAGTCTCTTTATACTGGGAACACAAGATGTTCCTTAGCATCTGTATCTTTTTAGCATATGTGCGTCCCCTCCCTTTTCCCCTCACTCTTACACATCCTTACACCTTAATTTGTGAAGACTGAATTTGCTTAGTTGCAATGGGGAAAAGGGAGACTTTTCCCCCCCCCTCTCTAGTTATTAAAGGGGGGGGTGCACGGTGGAGGTCTGAGTTAAGATTTGAGTAAGATAGAAACCTGAGACCCTCAGAATATTTTTAAAATCTGTTAAACAATTCAAAATAAGATATTTTTAAGGAAAAATAACGCTGTTTTGCACATTTTGAAAAATTAAATTGTGCTTGGATCCGGATCCTAAGCACTGAATTCAAAACGAATTAAATAATATTAAATCATCAAATGATTAAATCAAATCAGATTAGACACCTTTTTAATGAAAAACAAGAAAAAATTGAACTAAATAAACTTGTTGAACCACTTCCTTTGAACTCTTGAACCGGCCACTCAAGAGAAGTGGTTAAACTGATTCTACCTGGTTCGATCACTTATTACTGTTTATATAATTTGGTCACAAATCAATCTTCAACAAAAAATTTTTAATTCTCTCCACTTAAGTATTACCATTCATATCATCGACGTTGACAATTGATGTAAACATTTTAGCAGTGCTTAGGATCCGGATCCGGATCCGCTGGATCCGCATTATTTTGGCTCTCTGGATCCGGATCCGCAAAAAAATGCGGATCCACGGATCCGGATCCAAGCAAAATTTTATTTTTCCTAATGTGCAAAACGGCTCAATTTTTCCTTTAAAATATCCTATTTTGAATTGTTTAAAGATTTTTAAAATATTCTCAGGGTGTCAGGTTTCTATCTTGCTCAAATCTTAACTCACACCCGTGACTCACACCTCCACCGTGCATCCCCACCCCCATTAATAACTAGAGGGTGGGGGGGGGGAGAAGTCTCTCTTTTCCCCATTGCAACTAAGCAAATTAAGGTGTAAGGATGTGTAAAAGGGAGGGGGCGCACATATGCTAAACAGATACAGATGCTAAGGAAGTTCATCTTGTTGTTCCCAGCCCAGTATAAAATCAGTCTTCAGAGTTCACACATCACTCTACAAACACTGGACGCAACTCAACATGGATAAATTCAAGAATAAAAAGGAGAAAAATGCAATATTAAAACATTTTTTGGTGGAGGGAGATTTCTGGATATGTCAGGTTCAGGTGGATGACGATCAAACATGTGGTGTTAAATTAAGCAGTGGAAGCTTAGGAACCAGTTAAAACCTAGGTGATATATCATTCATAAGTTTGCTTTTCAGTTTGTACCATACGATACCATATTATTATCTTAGTTTAACAATTAAAAGAAAAATTCTATTTTATTCAGTTTTTATATGGAGGGTTTCTTAAAATTTAGACATCAGATCTTTTATATATTCAGTCAATATGAATATTTGTGACCCAAAAAAAACATTTCCCCCCCCCCCCCCCTCCCAAACAATTCAAACTACGCTTTCTGACTTTTTTTGTGATAGGGACAAGAACTGGAAACCTGAGGAAACATCTACAGAGGCATCATGTTCATATTTATGAGGTTTTAGTAGCTGAAGCTGAGGAGAGCAAAACTTCTAAATCATCAACCAAGGAAAGATATCTATATTTATAAAGTAGTAATCTCTGATTGTTTGCTTGGATGTCAGATCATAACTCAGGAACCCCTAGACAAATTTGCCTCAAAATTTTAATTGGGGAACTCATAAGAACCAAGGAAATGCTTATTATTTGACTTATATTGTGAAAACTCCAGGCAAAGCTGGGTCCCCAAATGTAAAAATAAACATTAAATTACATTAACACAAATATTAAATTCTGAGTAGATATGTAACAAAAACTTTAAATTTTCTTAAATATATCATATCCTTTTAGTCTGTGTCGCTGAATCAGAAAAAAATGAACACCTTCTTTATTCCCGACAAGATTGCAGTGTCTATAACAGCAGACCAGTTCAGAACAGGAATAGTGACCATGGTGGTGAAGAATGGAATTCCTTTCAAGTTTTTTGAGTCTGATGGATTTAACATTATCATTGGAGAAATGGCAACAAAGCTGAAGGTAGTTCTTTCTTTCTTTATTGTCTAGAATTTAAATTTTTATACTGATTAAATCGAATTTTAATAAAAGAATATTAGGACAATTTTCACATGTTTTAGAGCTTTTGATAACAAAATTTGTTGACAAAATTATTTCATCTGATGATCTGATACTTTTTCATCTTTTACTTTATTTAGATTAAAACTTAAAGTTCTGATTAATAATCTTAGAAGAAAAAAATTAAATTAAATTTTTTCTAATTCCTAGGTATCCCTGGATAAACAGCAGATACGTAATTACGTCCTGAATGCTGGAAATGAGATGAAGGAGAAAATGAAAGAAGAGTTCAAGAATAGATTTCTCTACCTAAAATTTGACTGTGCAACCAGGCTATGTGTGAACTATTTAGGGTTGAACGTTCGGTTTGTTGATGATCAAGGTCTTGGTATTACCAGAACTCTAGCTGTGGTAGATACAGAGAGCAGACACACCAGCAGTGAGTTAAAGGAGATTATAAATGGTGTGCTCCAAGATTATGATATACCACTGGCTAACATTATCTGCTGTGTCACGGATAATGCCACCAACATGGTTAAGCTGGTGTCCATGATGAACGAAGACCTTCAGCAGAATGAAGAAGTTGAGAGTGAAACTGAAGAAAATGAGACTTTGCCTGGAACATTAGATCTCGAGAGTTCGGTTCCTATTAATTGTGCGCACATGCGCTGTGCAGTACATACACTGCAGCTCGCTATTAATGATGGACTGAAGGAAACTGCCTCAGGAGTTGTTGCCAAGTTAAGAAATGTGGCAAAGGAAGCGCGGTCTCCAAAGATAAATGAACAACTTCGCCGTAGGGCTAAAAAAGTTGCTTTGCTGGACCAAGAAACGCGGTGGGGATCTACGTATTTGATGATTGACCGCCTGATTGAACTGAAAAGTTTTATTGAGGAGATGGCTGATGTAGGTAATACAAGATTAAATCTCTCAAGTTTTGAGTGGGAACAGGCCATTTCCCTGAGGGACCTTTTAAAGAAGGCCCACTTGATCACAAAGTCCCTTCAATATGAAAATCTCACACCTGGATATTTCTATAGAAAGTGGAGCGGGCTCAAACTGTTTTATCAAGATCATGGGTCCTCTTTAGCAGATGCTATTGCTCACTCTATGCAAAAGAGGGAAAAAGAGCTCCTAAGTAATGGTATGCTACTAGCAGCGGTGCTAAGCGATGTATCCAACATGGACCTTCTCCCCCCTGATCACGAGATTAAAGGGAAGGAGACCCTGATCAACCTTGTACTGAGGATTAAGGGGTTGGAAGATGAAGAAAATGATGCCACTGTTCTAGATCTTCAGGTATCAGTCTCTCTCACAGATTCAGATTCTGATGAAGAGTTCAGGGCTGTGAGAAAAAAGCAGAAACTTAATGTGGGGATTGAGGAGGCATCTGTTTTTGATGATAGTGGGGAAGAATGCAACATCAATCTAACTCAACCACCTACTGTAACCAGGTAGATATTGATTAACAATACATAACAGATTTTTTTTGTTAACACAAAAGTTTATGTTTGACTGCTGATTTAAATATTAAAGATTTTAAAGAAATACAATTTGTTGATTAATATCTTATGATGATACTTTATAGGTCATCTTCAAGTTCGAACAGTGGCCACATTTCTGGGGAGATTCAGCCTCAGCCATTGAGTCAAAGGCAGTTCATAAGAAGCAGTGTCTTGAAGGGACTAGAAACTCTTAAAGAATCAAGAAAAGAGTTAAAAACGCTTTCTGATCCAATCTCCCAGTACCCAGATGTGCTGAAGGATGCTGCAAGACTTCTGCGGGCAATGCCCCCTACACAGGTTTCTGTTGAGAGACTGTTCTCTGCGCTGAAGATATTCAAATCAGACCTAAGGAGTTGCCTGAAGGCAGATATTCTAAACGCCCTCCTTCTACTAAAAGCTAATATGAATTAGACCTGTTTTTTTGTCATCCAATAAAGTAAAAAAAATCATTATCTTTTTGTGCAAACTAGTAGAAAAATAGTATAAAAAAATGTTAAAATGTTCATTTTTTTAGGTATAAAAAGATATTTGAACTAAAATTAAATTTTTTTGATTAATGACCTGGATCCATTTTTTTGAAAAGCGGATCCAGGATCCGGATCCGCATCAAAATTAAATGGATCCTAAGCACTGCATTTTAGGATTAGCGCCTATTTGAATTAAATGTGTGAATTAAACTATTTCCCAAGATGTAAAATTTCCTTTAATTACCTCGAAATGATGAAGAGATATTGTGATGAGATCATGGGTGTCAGGACAGTACTCAACTAAACTCAGCTTAGCGTCCTAAAATCAGAGAGCACATTTTAAAAAGCAAGGAAAATCTGGGGGGGAAATGAAAGATTGAACATAAAAGTGTGCAATTTTTTTTTATCTTTTTTGATATTTAAAAAAACTAACTTACAGGAAAATTACTGATTTTCGAAGGGGGGGGGGGTTTCAGCAAAGATAGACCTAACCATAATAAAGTTATTATAGACGGATGTAATGTAAGGAGCAATATAAGACATAAAACATAAGGTACACTGGCTAGCTGATATTTCTCCAAAATATGTCTGCTCCAGTTTAATATTAGTATTCTACCTTGAATGTAAGAAGTAATGTATCCCTATCAGCTCCGAGCAGCCGAACAGCTGCTATGGATTGAACCCACCCATGGAGCTGCCATTGGGCCATACATTCCAACTTCAGGCGAGGATTCACATCCTTCTAAACAAAACAAAATTGGATCAAATTGTTACAAATTAAAGCGTGAAAAGGCACCAATAAAAACTGATTAATAACGACTAAAAACGCAGGGCCTATGAATTAATAATGTCTAAGGAAAGATTCAAGCAGTGATATAAAGTGCGAGTACATAAATGTTAGGAGGGGGGGGGGGAATCTTGATGCAAATATAAGTAAAACCCTCCAAAAAAAAGTTCTGAGGGAAAAAATTATTCTCATAAGGAGCGGGGGGATGATTTCAAAGAAAATATACAACCCTTATTTAACCAAAATACGAATTGAACTTCAACATTTGATTTTGCTCCGATATTGCCTTAGGGATGAATGAGCGATCCCTGTTTTTTTACCATCTGCTTGGTGGAACAGGCTTAGAATTACTTTAAAGGGAGAGACCGGCAATGTATAGTGGTTGAACTGAGTATGCAGTATTGTAGAAAATCTTTTTAGGATTCATTTGAGACATATAAAACGTTTCCACGATGAATAATTACTGAGTTTGTATGCAAAGTCGACGTTCAAAATCATTAATTTTGGTGGGCACGTTTTCAGAATCGGTTTTCTTTAAATTATAGAATAACGACGACGAAAAATAATGTAAAAATTATACAGTAAACTAAATAGATGTTTAACAGCATATTTCTCAAAAGAAATTTGTCAATATATCAATGTTAGAATCAATTATTTGGCTTTTATCATTATATTGAATTTCTTATTTTATATGTATTTGTTCGCAGGTTTCTAAAAATTCTTAAAATGTCGTCTTTTCAACAAAAATTCCAGAAAATCTGCAGAAAATCGTTGAAACGTTTTATATGTCTCAAATTAATCCTAACAAATTTGTCCACAATACTACATATTAAGTTCAACCACCATACATTGCCGGTCACTCCCTTTAACTATTGTTCATTAAAGTATGCTCCATCTTTCTTAAAACAATCTCAAAAATAATTAAACGCTTTCTTTATGATTATTTAGTTTTGTGTTGCGTGTTGAGAAATGAAAAATTATAATTAGTACTTATATAAATTAAAAAGTACGAAAAAAAAAACAATAAACTGCCCAGAACAATTTCTAGTTTAGTTAATTATGAAAATTACTTCAGAAATGATTTTGTATTTAGTATTGTAGTATGTACATAATAAACCTCATCAGCAATTATATAAATTGTATAAATTAGCAATTATATGAAGGGATTTACTATATAATTTCAATTTCTCATTGATTGTCATAGAGCACATCAGGTCAAACCCGGGTTTAGAGCCCAGAGTCTAAAACTAAAGAACGAAAAGTTTTGACTTAAATTTTTAGTTCATGGTTAAATGCCACTTCTGACTTAATTTAAACCTGAACTTTAACCGTGAGGTTAAATATTTAATCCTGTGGTTAAATATTTAACTCGCCGAAATCGACGAGTTAAAATTTAAACACAGGGTTAAAATCTTGAAATCCTGCAATCCCTATTTGTCTATCATCATTCAGCGGTAAACGGCATTCAACTAATTACGATATATTTAAAAGTAAAAATCTTGCTTTAATAAATTTCACGTTTTAGATTAATTAATGTTTGCACATAAACCCAAAATACGGCTGTAACTGGAAATATGTTTTGTTTTTCGTCACGTAAATAATTTAAATTTAAAAAACAGCTGATTACCGAATACCGATACTTACGTAATAATTCTTTAAATCCTTTTCTCTGATTGATTCAGATTTTTCCCGGGAAATTCAAATTTAAAATTGAGAAAGTTAAATATTTAAGTAGCTATTCATTATTTTACAGAACTTTTAACCTCAAACTTAAACTTCGCACATTCTTTAGTTTTAGGCTCAGTTCTAACACCAAGTGTCTGATTTGATCTTAATGTCGAAAGTAGGAGTCGATAATATGGAGAATAACGAACCTTGTTTACAGTTTCTGGTACAAGCTGGAACACCTTGAGTATATTTGCTCCGGCCACGACAAGGTTCTGCTCGTTGCTCCGGAAAAACGAGGCATAGATACTGTGCTCTACTCCCGTAGCAGGGTGACTAGTGCGCACTAAAACATGGGAATACAATCAATCAGTCAATCAATCAAAATAATAAACTGACCTATCACGAAAACCTTGCACTATTCAACAATAAATAAGTATGACCAAATAAAAACTGAATTTAATCTTCAATGGGTCAAATTTTTTCCAAAAGCAAACAAAAATATTAAATAATTAACTGCAACTCCTGCAACTGGTGTCACTAAAAACTCAGTGTAAGCAAAAAGTATGAATTCCTTTTTAATTCTGCAGCATTACTAAAAAAGCATTAATAGAACTATCACCAAGTAATAACTAATCAAACTATTTTTAAATTAATTTTAATTTGTTTTACTTACCGAGGCTAAACATTTTTTTCACTTGTTAAAACTGATCTTTTTGCATTTTAGTCTGAAAAAAAGCCTTCAAAAGTAAACATTAGAATTAAAAATGTATTTGATCTTCAGGAATTGTATTTCAGGGATTACATTTAATGAATAGGAAGACATGGTTGAACCGTGTAGACGTGGTTCAACCACCCGTTAGATTAAACTGGCGCACAATAGAAATTGTGGTGCGGTTCAGCTACTTCTCACTATTCATTAAATTTGGTCTCAGGTTTTAATGATATTTCTTAAATCAATGTACATCAAAGTTCGAGATTAGCTACTTAACAAATTAATCTTTATTGGAAATGAAACTTTTTTTTCGAAACCGTTGTTCACCAAATTGGACCGAAGCTTATGCAATAGTTTTGTTTAAATTCAAATTGTACTACTTTAAACTTACAAATAGATAGTACTGTACAACGGTAAAAAAGACTTTTAAAAATGACTGGTTTTACTAAGTTGGGACTTTTAACAGTAGGACGATGGTTTTTCATATAGGACTGTGGTTTCTTAGAAAAAGGACTGTGGTTTCTTACAAGTAGGATTGAAGTTTTTTTTTAATGACGATGGTGTCTTAACAACGGATACGGATCAATATTGAGGTCCAGAACATTTCTTCAATAATTTTTAATTTGAAAAAAGAAGAATTGTTAAAAATGTGCTTTTCTGGGCTTACCATTCAGAGATTTGGAAGTTTTAATTAATCTGTTATTATTTAACAATTTAAACTTGCTTTTTGAGAGCAAATTTATGTTTTTAGCAGACTCCTTGGATTTCTTACTAAAAAGGACTAAGGTTTCTTACAAAAAAAAACAGTGGCTTCTTGCAAGTATGACTGTGGTTTCTTCCAGAATGAATTTGGTAACAGAATAACTGTGGCTGTCTCTTTGATCTAGCTACCAACGGATATAAAATTGATCCTAAAAACAATATTTTTAAAAATGTGTATACATCAACAATACTTAGATAAAGAATTATTTTTCTACCTCCACCCGTCCCCACTCATCAATCAAAAAGCGAAATTGTAAACTTAAATTAAAACCAATTTAGGACCAAACTGATCAAATATTTCTTACATAAATTATTTCTAGATAATAATATTTTTTGCAAAAAAAGTTGGAAAAACCTTAAATTTAGTTAATTGTCCATGAACTTGAGCAGTTCCCGTATTTTCTATAATTTTCTCCATCACGAGTAATCTTCTGCTGGTGTGGGCAGTCAGCACTTGTTCACAGTTGTAGACAAGCTTCAGGCTAGGATGGGTTGGAAGCAATTCTTCCTAAAATAAATTAAACCTGTTTTCGCTAATAATAAGATGACTTTTAAGTTATATTTTAATTTATTTAAAATTTATTTTAAGGGATTGTGAGCATCTAAATCAGTTTATTTTAAGGGATTGTGAGCATCTAGATCAGTTTATTTTAAGGGAATGTGAGCATCTAATTCAGTTTATTTTATGGGATTGTGAGCATCTAAATAAATTTATTTTAAGGGATTGTGAGCATCTAAATCAGTTTATTTTAAGGGATTGTGAGCATTTAAATCAGTTTATATTAAGGGATTGTGAGCATCTGAATCAGTTTATTTTAAGGGATTGTGAGCATCTAATTCAGTTTATTTTAAGGGAATGTGAGCATCTAATTCAGTTTATTTTAAGGGATTGTGAGCATCTAAATAAATTTATTTTAAGGGATTGTGAGCATCTAAATCAGTTTATTTTAAGGGATTGTGAGCATCTAAATCAGTTAGTTTTAAGGGATTGTGAGCATCTAGATCAGTTTATTTTAAGGGATTGTGAGCATCTAATTCAGTTTATTTTAAGGGATTGTGAGCATCTAAATAAGTTTATCTTAAGGGATTGTGAGCATCTAAATAAGTTTATTTTAAGGGATTGTGAGCATCTAAATCAGTTTATTTTAAGGGATTGTGAGCATTTAAATCAGTTTATATTAAGGGATTGTGAGCATAGTTTATTTTAAGGGATTGTGAGCATCTAAATCAGTTTATTTGAGAAGTTTTCTTTCATTTTATCAAGATATTAAAATATGGACTTAAAGTTGACCAAAATCGGCGTTATTTCAATACTAGAAAACAAAAATCTTTAAAAATATAATTTAAATATTCAACCCCAACATATCAATTTAAATTTTGACCTTATATTCCTGTCTAATGATTGGTATCCAGTAGACCAGCCTGCCACCTAGACAAAGCCGGTCAGCACTAAAGTTCAATAGATCCTGGAGTATATTCTCCAAGGAGTAAACTTCATCTTCTCTTCCTTCAGGGGGTTCTCGGTCTCTTCGCACACTTCGTATCTGTTCTCTTCAAATCAGAAACATGAAAATATGTCCAAATATTCTTTATATAAAATCATATAAAATCATGAATTTTAAGGAAAGCTTAAGGCTCCATTTCCGATTGTTTAATTTGAATTTTTAGCACGGATCTAATTTAAATTTTGACATTTACTATAAATCATTCTAATGATTTCTTTCTTATTACGGCGATCCCAGCAACACGACCAAGATTGGGCCATGCTACCATTTTCAGAAATTCCACAAACCAGTTTTGTTAAGTTTATAAAGTTTACAAAGGAATCCTTCAAAAATATCCAAGGCAATTTTTGGTTTCGGGTTTTCTTCAAGTCCTACTTTAAACGTTATTGTAGGCTTCCTTGTTTTACACAAGATCTAGTTGTCGAGATGAATGTGTGTAAGATCTGAGGATCTTTATAAACTAATGTGTGTTCAGGGTGTTCAGCGACAAGATGTTATTCAGTGTGTTCAACCAGGAATTATCTTCAAACAATCGATCAATCACACGGAACTCTACATGCACAGTTTTCTACATTTAATCACGTGTTCAAATCTATATAATTAATTGAGATTTTTTTGATTGTCATTACTGACTGTTTTGTGATCAAGTGTCTTTGTCCGTCACCTTTAATAAATACAATAAACTTCCTTGTCTTGATGGACTGTTTTGTGATCAAGTGTCGTTGTCCGTCACCTTAATAATACAACTTTATTTATTAATTTAAAGTGAGCCTCCATCTGTAGAGGGCTTTCTTCTGTCTACAAACTGTTTTTTTTCAACTTTGTATTCTATACAATAGTGACTTGCAGATTTCTTAATACAGAAACAATGGAGAAAATTACTTTGCTTAATAAAAAAATCTTCGATAGTATTTATCAGATGGTTATACCGTTGTCAACTATTTGTGAAAAAGATCTTGGAGTGTTAACTGTTAATAACAAGTGTTCTAATCCTTCTCTTCAATGTACGTCAGCTGTTCAAAAGGCAACCCAGCTCCAAGGTAGAATGTCCAGGTTCTTCTCCTACAGGGACAAGTATCCCTGGATCATGCTTATTACGACCACTTCTAGAGTACTGTGTCAAGGCTTGGTCACCTTGGCTTAAATCATATATTGAACTGCTGGAGAGTGTTCAATCCTCCATAGTTCCTCATACCTTTATCAACTAAAGGAGGTCAACTTGACCACCTTAGAAGAAAGAAGAGTAGAGGGGATTTAATTCAGACTTGGAAGATTCTCCATAAACATGATGATGTTAAAGAAGGTACATGGTTTACAAGGTCTGTAGACACAGCTCAGCGAGAAGCAAGGTTTTCTACATGCAATATGAACCTCAACTCAACACTGTGCAATCTAGATATTAGGAGAAACTTCTTTAGCTTATGAGTTATTAAAAGATGGAACAGTTTGCCAATACTTATTAAAAATGCCACCTTATTGATTAGTTTTAAGAATATGTATGACAAACATATTTCTTCAATGTGATTGGTGTCAGGGGCGCCGAGAGTCCTTGTGAAGGTGTCAGGGGCGCCGAGTTCTCTGGTTGAACTTAATGCACTATCAGTAGAAACAAAAAAGATGTATTGACTCGCTGAAAATGTCAAAAAAGTGATTTCCCAGCGAAAAACATTCCAGTAATCCAGTAATCCAGTAATCCAGTAATCCAGTAATCCAGTAATCCAGTAATCCAGTAATCCAGTAATCCAGTAATCCAGAAATCCAGAAATCCAGTAATCCAGTAATCTATCTTGAAAGTAATTTTTTACCTCTCTTGATCAAAGAAGAAAATATCAACAAAATCACAGCAAACAAATCTTAAGTTGTTCTCCCAGTGAACACTCAAAACACAGCATAAAAAAAGAAGAAATTATTTCAAAACTGTTGCTTTAGTTATTATATTAGGTCTATAGAAAATATCCAAATACAAGCTGTGAATACGATTAGTGGATTGAGATCAGTTTGTTTGTTTATGTTTATGTGGTGTTGATTCTCAGGACTCCTTATTGGAGTATAATTTGGATATATATATATATAGTTGAATATACTGAAAAACTTAAAGAACTAGAACTTCTCTCCCTAGAAACAAGGAGAACTAGATATGACCTAATACAAACCTACAAAACCCTAAAGGTTGAAGGAGATGAACTCTGGTTTAAAAGAGTTAACCAAGTATCTGTGAGAACCACCAGACAATCAGATGATAGAACCAGACTGAATAAACAGAGAACCAACACCACCATAAGAAGTAATTTCTTTACCAAAAGAGTGATTGATGATTGGAACCAGTTACCCACCACAATCAGAGAGTCTCAAAATCTCAAGATATTTAAAAGAAATCTTGATCAATATCTATCTTCTTCTGAGATGAACTGATCCTGAGAGTGACAAGATTTTCAGAAGACTGTGTGGAAAAGATGTTGCTAAATGCCCCTAGCAAGGGGCTACACCAACTACTCTCCAAGTATACAAGTAAGTAAGTATAAGAAATCTGAATCTGATACTGGATCACAATTCATTTTTAATTTTTGTTTACAGGACGAAACCAGGATTCCGATCTCCACCCAAATTGAATTATTTCATGCAAAAACATAATGTAAGTTGTCAGGTAAAAATTAATGCTATTAGTTACCTATTTTGAATCCGAAGAATATATTTCTAGGTTCCTCGGACAGATTGTTATTATCAAGTCCCCAGAACTCTAAGTAGGAATACTCTACGTCAGGGTTTATCAGATCCAACCTACCCTGGGAGCAGGGGTACAAATATTTAGGACTCAGTGCTTAGTATCCGGATCCGTTGGCTCCGCAAGATTTTGGTTTCCTGGATCCGGATCCCTCAAGATTTTGGCTTCCTGGATCCGGATCCGCAAAAATATACGGATCCACGGATCCGGATCCAAGGGGCAACATATCAACCAAAAACTGACAAAAAATTGTTCTCTTAAAACCCAAATCAGAACTTAAGAGAAAAGAGAGATTGTACAAATTTCCTGATTTCTGAATGTTTCATCACTTTTCAGCATAAAAATAAGCGAAAAAATAAGACAAAAATTTGAAAATTCTGCTTTGTTGAAATGAATCCGGATCCATTTTTTCCAGTGCGGATCCAGAACCCGTATCCGGATCCGCATCAAAATTAAATAGATCCCAAGCACTGATTTAGGTTTAGAATATTGACGGGAACGGAAAATTAGACTTTAACACTGAAAAAGAAAGTTTTTTTGAAATCCACTGGTAAAAACAGAAAAATTTGTGAAATGTTTAATTGTGTATAGACAGGATAATGTTGGCAACTTCCAGTGCTTACGATCCGGATCCGGATCTGTTGGATCCACAACATTTTGGCTTCCTGGATCCGGATCTGGATCTAGTTTTTTCAGAGCTGATCTCAACTTCGTATGCATTCGAAAAAGTCTATTATATTTGAGTCCTACCTGGCAGGGGACCCGGTCCACCGACTCTATCCTCGCAATCCTCTCTTTCAAGCTTAGCTTCTTCATGAACACGTCCACATGGATCTTGTAGGAGTTGGATGCTCCCAGGATACTTGAGTACTCACTGAAGTCCACGGAGTTTAAACAATCATGGAACTTCTTATATCCTTCTCCCTAGATACGATTTTTTAGACAATTTACTAAATTGAAGAAAAAAATACTTTTTGAAGGAAAATCAATAAATTTTTGGGTAGAAAGTATTGAAAAATGTTTTCAATGTCCAATTTTTTGTTTTGTTTTTCCTCGGGCTATTTAAATATAACACCCATAGAAAAAAAGTTTGCTTACTACAGAATTTTAGTTTTGCCATTTAAATCATGAATAGTCATTACATGTGAACAGATTTTTTGCGACATTTTGCCATGCTTCAAATTGCAAAAACTTAAATGTCGACATTTTCCTCTTTACCTGGGCCCATATTTTAATACAGTGCTTTGTGGAAATACTTCTTGACAAAATTTGTCTCGCATCATCATCTAAACACATCATAAAATACAATTTTTTATTCAACAAGTTACATAGCACATCAGGGAATAATAATCTTTTTTGACAGCTTGGATTCAAAGCCAAAGTAAAAAAATGGTATTTTTCCAAATGGATTTATTTATCAGGGGCATTCATATCATTAGGACAATATGTAATCCTGCAAGCTGGACTGATTTATTGTGTTTTCAGTTCACGGTTGAGTCCTGTATAAACTGCCTACCTGAAATATATACATAAGATTTAATCAGTGCAAATAGAGGTGAGCCGAAGAGAAAGAGTTCATGCTCGATCTTATGTTTGTAGTTATTACCTGGTCTCCTATAGGTAAAAATGAGCACAATGTGAATACATTTAATGATAAAAAAGAATAATAATATTCTCTAGGACAAGATCACATTTTTTCCCTAATTCCATATGGCGGGTCTGTAATGATACAATCAAACTTCAAATCCTGCCGCCAGGGGGATTTCGAGAAATCACAGGCAATCACATCTCCGTAAGACGATGTGAGTCCGTACTGTTCAAAGTTGGCAATCATACTCTCATCTTCCCCCCGAACCTTCTCACCGACTCTAAACATTAAGATATGACAATTTGATCATACTTTACCTTTTTTCTAAGGTTAAACCAGTGCTTAGGATCCATCTAATTTTATTGCGGATCCGCATTGGAAAAATATGGATCCGGATCCAAGTCATGAACAATTTTTAAAGATACTTTTTTAATATTTGCTGATTATTTTTTTTGGCAGAAAAATAATTCTCAAACTATTTTAGTATTTTTTTTTATTTATTTCTGCTAAACTTGATGAACCATTCAGAGATGAGGGAACGTTTGATAATATCTTTTTTTTTAATTTAGATTTAGGTTTAGAGAGCAACAGGTTTTTGTTTGCAGTTTCGGGTTGATTTTTGTCCCATGGATCCAGGAAGTCAAAATGTTGCGGATCCAACGGATCCAACTGGACTGGCCGGTACAACAAAATGTTCATACGACTTAATTGTACAATCATTATTCTGTAACAAAACATAAAAACAAATACAAATCATGTTGAGATTTCTTTTAGCAAATATTAATAATAAAATTATGTTTTTCACCTGCTTGGTCTGTTCTTTGCGTTTAAAGTTAACAGATTAATATCTGCCCCAAACACTAGTCCTGGATGGGAAATAGGGTTAATATAATAATTATAATAATGATAAAAAAAATAAAAATGATAATAATGATAATAATGATAATAATGATAATAATGATAATAATGATAATAATGATAATAATGACAATAATAATAATGATAATAATGATAATAATGATAATAATGATACTAATAATAATGATAATAATGATAATAATGATAATAATGATACTAATGATAATAATGATAATAATAATAATGATAATAATGATAATAATGATAATTATGATAATAATGATAATAATGATAAAAACGATAATAATAATAATAATAATAATGATAATAATGATACTAATGATACTAATGATACTAATGATACTAATGATACTAATGATACTAATGATACTAATGATACTAATGATACTAATGATAATAATGATAATAATGATAATGATAATAATGATAATAATGATAATAATGATAATAATGATAATAGTGATAATGATAATAATGATAATAATGATAATAATGATAATAACACCTCAACTGAAAAGTCGAGGAAGAAAAAAATAGAAGAAATGCATTATCCATTAACAGTTTTGATAAAATAAACTTTTAGTATAATATATGTTGATCTTTAAAAAAGTCTAAAACTAATGAAATGGATTTATTACTTGATCAGACAAACCTTTTAAGGAGACAGTTCTAAAACTGGCATTCAGCTCTATCCATAGAGGGTCACTTGAAATTACGTTTACAGTCCCTTTAAGGCTTAAAACGCATAAAATTTCCTTAGAACAGAAAAAAGTTGTATTTTACCTTTAAACTGAGCAGCAGCTATGAGCAAAGAACCGGTTCCCACGAACGGATCCAAAATAAATTTTCCCTCCTTCACTAATCCTTTCATGGAAAAAAAGCTTAAGAAATTAAAAATACTTGTTTGCCTTCAGAGCTTTTTAATCGTGATAAAAAGAAAATAAAAAAGATATGGGAAGATACCAAGTAGAGGTAAATAATATTAAAATCTAAAAATCAAAAAGTCAAAATACCACAATACCAAAATTCTTTCCAAGATAAAAAAAAAATCTTACCTAGATTTGCCATGAGAAGGGCTAACTGAGCATCCATGGTTGTATTCCCAATAAACTTCCTTGTCTTGATGGACTGCTTAGTTATGAAATGTCTTTGTCCGTCACCTTTAATAAATACAATAAACTTCCTTGTCTTCATGGACTGCTAAGTTATTAAGAGTCTTTGTCCGTCACCTTTAATAAACTTCCTTGTCTTCATGGACTGCTTAGTTATTAAATGTCTTTGTCCGTCACCTTTAATAAAAACAATAAAATTCCTTGTCATTATTGACTGTTTTGTGATCAAGCGTCTTTATCCGTCACCTTTAATAAATNGGGGGGGGGGTGTTCTTACCTGAGTTTAATTTAAGCGTTATCCAAGGATGGGTTTGGTTTTTAAAGACCCACGCAACCGGAATATTAAGTAGTTTACAAATAGATTCAAACTCGGGAACTCGAAACTTCAAATGATCGAAGGCACACCAAAACAAATAATTCATTTTTTAATAGCACATTTCTATCTGAAAAAAAGAGAAAATTTTTAATTATTATCACAGAGTTAAGTATCAGCTATCCTTGTGTAAGTTTATATTAGAATTGAAATTATTTCTCTTCTCGTTTGCTCCGTTTCTTCCAAACCGTTCCATTTCTTCCTGTTCCAAATATATCGATGAAATGAAAGACAATTTAAAGTTAAATTGTAAAGCAAAATGTATTCTAAAAGGGACTGTTAGCGTGATTTCAAGAGACCCTCCATGCCAATATATGACAATGTCCTATTCACAACGGTACTGTTTTAGGATATTAATTAATGTTTTGAAAACTGATTATTTTAAATTGTGGTTTCTCTACAAAAGTGACTTGCGCAAAAAATGACAATATCTCCCAACATTATTGATCAGAAAATGGTTGCAAGAGTACTCTTGTGAACAGGGCATTGCCATCTCTGCATGGATGGTCACTTGAAATTACGCCTGTAGTCCTTTGAACTAAATTATTTCGAATTATTAGAAAAATTTTAATTTTTCATCAACCCATCTCCCTGAGAAATGTTAAGATGTCCGTGTTCTTTGATTCGTTCCTTCCTCTCCTTTCTACTAATATTTCCCGCCAAAGGAACGTAATAGTGGTCCTAAACAACATTCTTATAATAATTCCTTAACAACATTATTTTAAGAATTCCTAAACAACATTCTTATAATAATTCCTAAACAACATTCTTATAATAATTCCTAAACAACATTCTTATCATAATTCCTAAACAACATTCTTAAAATAATTTCTTAACAACATTCTTATAATAATTCCTAAACAACAATCTTAAAATAATTCCTTAACAACATTCTTATAATAATTCCTAACCAACATTCTTATAATAATTCCTAACCAACATTCTTATAATAATTCCTTAACAACATTCTTAAAATATTTCCTTAACAACATTCTTTTAAGAATTCCTAAACAACATTCTTATCAAAATTCCTTAACAACATTCTTTTAAGAATTCCTAAACAACATTCTTATCATAATTCCTTAACAACATTCTTTTAATATTTCCTAAACAACATTCTTATAATAATTTCTAAACAACATTCTTAAAATAATTCCTGAACAACATTCTCATCAAATTTCTTGAACAACGTTCTTATAATAATTCCTGAACAACATTCTTATCATATTTCTTGAACAGTGTTCTTATCATAATTCCTAAACAACATTCTTATCATAATTCCTGAACAACATTCTTATCATAATTCCTGAACAACGTTCTTATCATAATTCCTGAACACCATTCGTATCATAATTCCTGAACACCATTCTTATCAGAATTACTGAACAACGTTCTTGTCAGAATTCCTGAATAACGTTCTTATCATAAGTAGTGAACAACGTTCTTATCATAATTCCAGAACATCATTCTTATCATAATTTAAAATTTTGACAATGTTTTGACAAGTTAGGACACCAAGATGTTGAAGCTTAAAGCACATCCCCCATCTTTCTGCTTTCATTTGATTTATAAAACGAAAAAAATCACCACTGTATTATAATATCCTAATTATTCTATATTTGTAGGAAAATTCTAAAAGGCAATTTTAAAAATCTAATTTATTCTATCGACCATTGTAAGAAGTGAATAAACGCATGGAATAGTGAATACCTTAAATTTGGTTATTTCTGGATAAACTTTTGCCTCTCCTTGAACCTCGGACATCTTCTGCATAACAATGAGCCTCCTGCTTGTGTGGGAGGTGAGGATCTGCTCGCAGTTGTACAGGATCTCCAGGCTAGGATGAGAGGGGAGAAGCTCGTCCTGGAATTCAATGATTGTCAGAAATAAATTATCAAGATCTAATTTTTTTATCCAGAATGCAGATTTTTAAATAGATAATATCCGCTTAGTAAAATATGAATTAAAGAAATATATTAACACTAGCCTTAGAGGGCGATTCGCGCCCATCTTCTAAATTAATTGTGAACATGTTCTCTTTGTGTACATCGTAAAACAAAACAAAGATAATTCGCGGATTATCACAAAAAATTTCGTGGATTTTCAAAATTTTAAAAAATTTAATGAAGATCGAATTTTGATGGAGACAAATATTAGAAATTTTGATCATTCATAAACCTTCCCTGGGGTCCCTAGATGTCCCACAAAAAAATTGGGCCCGATCGGTTCAGCCGTTTTGACGTTTATTGGATACAACCAAACAAACAAACAAACAGACAAACAAACAGACGGACAAGCCAAATTTATATATAGAAGTTTTAGAAAATTAATCTTTGTTGAAGAAAAAAAGTGATTAGGCAGTCGAATATATTTTCTAGAGAAATCATTTTCTCTTTCTCAGAAAATTGATGAATATGGGAAAATAAATGATGGGGGGGGGATTCTTAAAAATGTACATTAGGATCAGGTAAATTAAGTTTAAGTGATATAAATGAGTCATTGCTTTAATCCTATCATTACTATTTTACCCCTGGTCCTAGACTTTACAAAACCTCGATTTTATTCCTGACCAATATAAAGTGAAAAAGATAATTTCCGTGATGGTGGGGGGGGGTTTTTTGCCCCATTTTTGGAATTATATTTTTTATTTTTATTTGTGACAATAAACAATAAGTAACAAATCAACTAAAATAACTCTGTTCAATTTTCATCCAAGTTGGCTGGGTCTCAAATGAAGAAAAAAATTATTATTACTTCTATAAAAAATTAATATTTTTAGCCAAAGCTTTCCTGATTCCGTAAGGAGGGTCGGTAATGATACAATCAAATTCTAATTTCTGCCGCCAGGGGGATTTAGAAAAATCACAAGCAATCACATCTCCGTAACATCTGCCCAAAATTAGATATTCAAAATGAGAAAGTAAAACATTGTAAATTAAAGGAATTGAGTCTTTGTCACAAACTCTGATTTTATAATAGGTGTACCTTTGCAATCCCATTGTCGTAGATTTTAGATATTTCAAACTATGAATTCTGTTATATCTATCTAAGGTTAACACCATGAGGTTGAAAAGATGTAGAATCTGAGTTAGTGGCGAAGACTTAATTTCTTAATAATTTAAGGGATCGTTCCGATCTAAAGATAATACTTGATCATAACTCAGGAACCCCATGACCGATTTGCCTCAAATTTTGTTTGGGGAACAAAAAAACCACGGTGATGTTTTTACTTTGGCTTTGAGATTCTAAATTGAGTTGGTTCAATTGAAAAGTATGTAAAATCGTAATTTATGACCAAGTGCGGGTAAACGACAGGATTACCCTGGGCAACCTGAGCTGAAAACTTTAGAATGGTGGGTATCAGGATTAAGGCTAAATCCACTCTTTTTCTTAATCTCCAGATTAAATTTTGCTTGTTTACCTCATGACTTTAATCTTCAGATTAATTATCCGACGGGATATCTGGATATTTCATTCTAAAGTTTCCACCTCTGGATTCTTAAGCTAGTTAATCATCAAAATGCTCAGTATAAATATTTATTTCTAGCTTTTGTAACACTAGACATAAAAAAGTTTGTTTTAACAATTTTCCATTTTTAAGATCCAACGTTTAAAATTATCTTCCTGGTAAGATGATACTGCTCAAAGTTTGCAACCATGCTTTCATCCTTCGCACGGACTTTATCTCCAACCCTGTACAATCAATTAATCACTCGATAAATTTATCAATTAATTAATCTATTACTTAATCAATCACTTAATCAATTGATCAATCACTTAATCAATTAATGAATCAAATCAATCAACAATTCAACCAATCATACAGATAAATTGATATCATATCTGTATTGTTTTTATCAAGAACAAATTTGATGAACCAGATATTTATCAAAAAAATCAATTCAATTCAAAAAAAAATCTATTATTCAATGAATTGAAACTCAGTATGTAATTGAATCAACCAATATGAATAATGAATATTTTTTATACACGTGTATATATAATAAACATAAAGATTAACTCTTTAACCATGTTTGTATTTTTGTTTAATAAAGTGTACTTTTCCTTAATAAAAGAAAAATAAATAAATAAGGTGAATATATGAATATGGTTTTAAAACTTATGCAGGAACAGACAGATTGGTTCAGAAATGTTTTTATCAATTTTTTAAGTTTGTTATTTGTGTAATTTCTACTTAAGTAAATCCCAGATATATGAATAGTAATACATAGCAGAAAATTTGTATGATGTCTTATTTTCAACATATTTAAGATCAAATGCCGCGGAAAAACGAGTTTAATGTATCAATTGCTGTCCTTCACATTTCAGGGCTATTAATTTACATTGAAAAAGTAAATTTTTAAGAATTAACAAAAAACTTATGACTCTAAAATGATATTTGGATATATTTTCATAAATCGTATTTAAGCTTTTAAACAAATATCAAGACGACATTTCATGCGCTCTTGCTATGTATTCATAATTTGAGATTGGCTGTACCTGCTAGGTCGAGTTCTAGCATGTAGAGTTAAAAAATCTATATCTCCTCCAAATACAATGCCTGAAATAAAGTTGAAATTAATTAACAATGGGAGAATATTACCTTGAAAGAAGAAACTATTGTATTTGTTTAGTATTAAATGCATCGATTATTTACAAACACAGAAAGGACACTAAATGTCGTATTTTCAATACATTAATAAAACTCGAACACAAAAACCCTGAGGAAGAAGCCTAGAAGAGTTTCACAAAGTCGGCGTAGAACAGGCTCTCTCTGTCTTGCAATTCTACGCCAAATTGTGAACGAGTTTCATTGATATGTTGAAAAGACGACATCTAGTGTCCTGTCTGTTATTATGATTAATCTATGATTAAATGAAGCAAAACAAGCGAAACCGCGACATTCACAATTCAATTTAGAGGCTTAAATAAAAAAATTAAGAAAAAAAAATATATATAAAAAAATTCTTACATAACCTATAAAACCTTTTTGAAGAGGGAATTTTTCAAGGAAAAACGCAGAATTAATTAGAATAATTACCTCCGAATTCTGCTGCAGCCAGTAGTAAGGAGCCAGTTCCAACAAATGGATCTAAGGTAAAGCTACCCAACTCCACACCCCCTGACAGAGTTTAAACATTTCATAATTTAATCTTTGATTTAATCTTCAATTTGAACTCAACTCAATTTGAATTCAACTCATTTTGAACTCAACTCATTTTGAACTCAACTCAATTTGAACTCAACTCAATTTAAACTCAGCTCAATTTGAACTCCACTAAATTAGAACTCCATTCAATTTTAATTCCACTCAATATGACATCGACCTCGAACTCGACTCGTGCATAAGGCGCCATAGCGGGGCGGTCAGAGGCACAAATTTGTAACGCACACGCCCCTGAGGTAAATTTTAATTCCCGGTGGCTGAGTGAAAAAGTGACAAACTGTGTTCTCAACATGGAACAAAAGAATGGCTTTCAATATTCCAAGATTAATGTCTATGGCTTAAATAAAATATTAAAAATTTTTACTCAACACTTAAATCCTCAAAAAAATGATGAAGATGAAAAGGTTGTTGAAAAAACGCATTTTCTTTTTAAAGCTTAAAAATTTTAAACTCTCACCTAGGTTTGCCATGAGAAGGGCTAACTGAGCATCCATGGTTGTATTCCCAATAAACTTCCTTGTCTTGATGGACTGCTTAGTTATTAAATGTCGTTGTCCGTCACCTTAATAAATACAATAAACTTCATTGTCTTAGTGGACTGCTGAGTATTAAAATAAATTAGTTTTGTATTTTCTACCTTACTATGTATATTTTCTACCCCCCCCCCCCCCCCGGTCAGGCGACGGGAGGAAACTACAAAAATCAGACTTTTGTTGTCTAACCTAATGATTCTAGCCCAAAGCTTATGAACTGAAAAACTTATGAATTGTTAATTAGAAGAAAATGTCTTTCGAGATTTAAGAAAACGGATCCGAACTTCATCTCCTTGGATCCCATTTTATACTTTGTCTTTAAAAATTTGTTATTTAATTAAAAGAAAAAAAAATTAGCTTAATTTCCGTCTTCAATAAACAAAAAATAAGTTATTCTTTTAAATATTGTTAAATTTTGTCCTCTGAATAATAAAATTGCTTACCAATCTTAAGACCAAAGAAAATATTCAAAGGATGGTCTGGAACATTGTTATGATCAAGTCCCCAGAACTCCAGGTAGGAATATTCAACGTCAGGTGTTTTTAGGTTCACCCTTCCCTCTATCGGGACATAGTCTAGAGTCTCTATCTTATCAATTCTTTCCTAAATTTAAATTTCCCGTTAACAAATAAATACTTCAAGGTGGAAAGTCACGACCCAGTGGATTGTAAGCGTAATTTCAAGTGACCCTCCAGGCAAAAATGGAAATATTTAAATCGTTGTCTGATCAAGTATTAATTACGATATCAATATTAATAACTTTGAAAACAGATCATTTTCAATTGTTTCTCTACAAAAGTGGAAAATAGACATTATCAATATTAAATATATTTAAAATATTAATTTTAAAAAAGCAATATGTTCCACATTATTAATCAGATCCAGGTTTCAAGGGTACCGTTGTTTCTCGGGAATTGCCGTATTTGTATTGAGAGTCACTTGATATTGCATGTAAAATCCCTATAAGATTCGGAACCAAATAAATCAAGAATCTGGGTCCGCTACAGCTGGAAGTAATTCTACCCCCCCCCCCCTCCCCTCACTTTCTCCCCTTGTAGAACTGCTAATCAAGGCTAGAATTAACATTGATAAAACAAATTTTTTTGGAGACCGAATTTAATGCACTGGAACTGTCAATCATCTCCGCCGGTTCAAATTTGAACCACCGAGTCAAACCCTTCCCTAATCTTTAATTTTTAATCGGTGGTTTAAATTAAATTAAAATTTGCACCGACACTAAGTAGTAAAGCGACGCAGCTAAAATCATTAAACTCGGTCACGGGCTTAGTATTTACCTTGACACTGGTTTTCTTCATGAATGTCTCCACGTTGATGATAAAACTATTTGAAGGTGCGAGGAGCTCTGTGTGCTCATGGAACGGGAAGGAGCGGAGGGAGGTATGAAATGTCTCCAGGCTGTCCCCCTGGATAAAATTAAATTATTAAACCAAAAAAAGCACAGAAATATAAATTCATCATAAATATGAAAGTATTTCTTTTTACACATCATATCCTTTTTAAATTCTATGTATGCCAAAATTGACCTCCATAATCAATTTTTAAAAGATTTTGAGAAGTGACAACTATAAATTAGATTAAAATTTCTGTTGATTCATCCTTATAAGAAACGTAAACTAACTTACCTCCCCCCATATTTTGATACAATGCTTAGTTGAAATACTTCTAGACAAAATTTTCTTGGCCTCATTATCTAAAATTAAGATATCTAAAATTTTTAAGTTTGTAAGATTCTTTCTCTTTCCTCTGAAAAAAATTGTACTGAAACTTTAATTAGTCTCATTGGCATAAGATCCCTGAGCACAGTGAGTCTCAACCTGGAAATGTTTAACCCTGACCTATCTTTATTTGACATCTTATAAGGACTGGAAATTTTGTGTACCCTCCCCCCCCCCCAATCAATTTTTTACAAAGAGCACATATGTAAGACATGGTTTAAGTTGGTTATGAAAAATAGTTTCATGAAGAAAATTTAAATCGTATTCATGAACGGACATAATTAATTCAGTAATTGTGTAAAATAAAAGGTTATAGTCTGAAACTGCTTTTATATTTGACTACTATAGAAATAAGATCTTTAAGCAAGACAAGGCCGAACATTGGGCTCAATCCTTGAAAAGAATTTATGTACCTTCCCCCCCCCCTTGTGTTATTCCCAGGTGTTAGGTCAGGTTAAGACAGTTTCTGAGCCGAGCGCCGCGGCCAGAATAAGCTAGGGGGTCTGTCCCAGAGAACAATTTTTAGACCCCCCTCCCCCTCCTATCAATGACCATTTATTTTTCAACAAAATTACCAATATATTTTCTTCATTATTTTAGGGTTAGGTTAAGTTAAGCCGATTTCTAGGCCAAGCGCTGCAGCTAAGACAGGTTATTAGGTCGAGCACTGCGTCTTGGACAGGCTAGGGGCTCAGGCGCTGCGGCCACAAGACCAATTATATCCATGTGTTACATAAGAGATCCATGTACAAAATTGATAGGAGGGGGGGGGTGCGAGGTCCAAAAAACGTTCTCTAATAATTACCGGCTAGGGGGCCGAGCGCCGCGGCTAAGACAGGCTAGGGGGCCGGGCGCTGCGGCTTTAAATCTTACTTTTAAAATTCGGTGATGGTGAAAAAAGTAGATGTTAGTTCCACATTATTGAAAATGTATTTCGGTCTGGGTTGACCCTCTTCACTCTCTTCAGTTCTTACTTTGACCATGTACAGGGGGTGGTCCAAAAATCCTTATCTAGAAAATTACCGAACGTAGGAAATATGTACAAACCTGACTGAAGTTCTAACACAACCCAGGGATGTGAATCATTTTTATAAATCCAGTTCAACTGAATCTTCAAAACTCGACAAATAGATTCGAATTCAGGGATTCTGAAGCAGAGACGATCGAACCCACACCAGAACAAATACTTCATTTCGAAGTTCTAGTAAAACGTCGATAAATTCGACATTTGAGTTCACATGTTTAAATTTAAAATATTTACAGAAAACTGAAAACTTGTCCTTAACTTTTCGGTGATATTAAACCGGCGGCGCGGGCACGAAACTGTTTTCGTGGCTTTGTGTTTTGAAGGATAATGTAATGGAAAGTATGAGAAATAAAATACAAATATAGCTTTTTCAGAAAATTTCTTTAATAAATGGAACTAAATGTGATATAATTTGTTAATCAAACCCTGACAAATCCAGGCATGTGAGAGTCAAATTGAAAGTATTTAATTTTTATTTCAATCCAACTGACCTTCAAAATATATTGCCATCAAACAATAGATTGCGGCAAGTTTGGAACTTTTGTTGACGTTAGTTACAGTAATAGTTTATTTTTCAACTTATGCTTATCCTCTATAATGCACTTCTGACCTACTCGCAAGTGGTTTTCCATCTGCTTTTTAGTTGCTGTAGGTCTATTAAACTATAGGTCAGAATTGCACCTTAATTAAAAAAACGCTCTATTGATCCGTCTCTACTTTACCCTACTTACCAGGCAACGTTTGAAAAACGACAGTTTTGTTAGGTAAGGTTATGGTACAGAAACATTTCCTAGAAACGTTTGTGCAATTTTAAAACACACCATTTTTAACATTTCTGCCCTAAAAACCAGCGATGTTGCACTACCTGTCCAATTAGGTCGAGATAAGTCAGGTAAGGTCAGGTTATGTCAGATTACCAAACTGGTTGCAATATGACCAGTCCCCTTAGGTCATATGAGGTCAGGTTAGGTTGGGTTACATCAGATTACCAAACTGGTCAAAACGTGACCAGTCCCCCTAGGTTGTGTTTGGTCAGGTTAGGTCCAATAACCTAACTGGTCTCTTATACTGATCTTAACCTGACCAATTCACTTGGGTCAGATTTGGTCGAGATTGGTTGAGTTATGTCAGGAAACCTATAACTGGTCGGAACTTGACCAGTCCCCCTAGGTCGTGTTTGGTCAGGTTAGGTTGGGATAGGTTGAGTTACCAAACTGGTCTCATATAGTGGTCTTAACCTGACCAATCCACTTAGGTCAGATTTGGTTGTGATTGGTTGAGTTATTTCAGGAGACCCAACTGGTTGGAACATGACCAGTCCCTCCTAGGTTGTGTTTGGTCAGGTTAGGACAGGTTAGGTGGAGTTACCTAACTGGTCTCATACTGGTCTTAACCTGACCAATCCACTTAGGTCAGGTTTGGTCGAGATTGGTTGAGGTAAGTCAGGAGACCTAACTGTATTGGGTTGGATTAGATCAAACTTGGTTGCTTTACCTAACTAGTCCTAACTGTTCATAACTTTATTCTTTAGTCAGATTGGGTCTTACATGGTTGGATTACCAAACTGGTCATAACTGGTCACAACCTAACCAGTGCCCTTAAATTGGATTTAGGTTGTATTAGGTCGGATTAGGACCTTCAGAGTTTTGCCACTAGAAGTCTCTATACCTGAAATTTAAATAAAAGCCACTTTTTGGCCTTGACTGGCTAGAATTTTCAAATATTATAATTTTTTCCATAGAATCCATCTGTAAGATAAAATACCCAAATATTTGAAAAATAACATTTTCGAAAACTTTGATTTTTTATTAATTGATGTTTTAGGAAAATCAATGTCAGTAAATTGTGAATTTTGTGATAAATAGAATTTCTTTTCAGTTATAGATTAGTGTGTAAGTATGAATTGCCGAGTGGGGTTGGGNAATAGAATAAGTTAGACTCTGTTCAATGGTTAAATGTGGGATAAATAAATGACTAGTTTGGTCATTTAGACATCAAACGTTTGTTCATTTAGACGTCAAAAGTTTAGTCATTTTGGAAGTAAAAAGTTTGGTCATTTGGACGTCCAAAGTGACGTCATTTTGACTTAAATTAGGTTGTGAGGGCGTAAGAATCCTTGCGTTAAACGTCCTCAACACCTAAAATATAACGTCACCGGACGTCCCACTGGTAATTATTGACGTCCTCATGACGTCCTTAGGACGACCTCTGGTTTCTAGGGTGGAACGTTTCCCAGAAACATTTCTGCACTTTAACTTATACCTAACAAAACGTTTCTGAAATGGTTCTAAACAACCTTTTCAAATAACCTTGAATGTAATTATGAGATCTGATTTTACAAAGAAAGAACCTTTTAATATAAGTGTAAGGGTAAACATGCACACATGAAATATACAGTTCAATGTATTTTAATATCTTAGCAACTAATGTGTAGCTTTAAGATTCTTTCCTGTAGTTATGAAAGAGGAAGAAGAATATCAGAGAGGGAAGAAAGATCAGTTCAGTTTTTTCTTCCTACAACTTCCATATTCATCTCCTTGAATTAAAGAGAGGGAAAAGATTAAATATAGACAGAATCTATTCCAGTGGATAGTCAAAAAGGGGGTAAAAAAAGCTTGAAATGGTCATTAAAGTTCATGAAAAAAAAACCAGTAGACAAGAGTCTGAAACTAAAGAAAGATAAGTTATGACTTAAATGTTAAGATTTAGCTTAAATGCCAGCCACTTATGGCTGAATTTAAAGCTGAATTTTAACCCCGAGTTTAAATATTTAACTTGCTGAAAGCTACAAGTTAAAATTTTAACCCAGGGTTAAAACCTTGATTGAATAAATTTCACATTTTAGATTAATTAATATTTGCATGTAAACCCAAAAAGAGTTGTAACTGTAAAATATTTTGTTTTCAGTTACATAAATAATTTCAAATTAAAAGTTAGTTGATCTGAAGAGCAATTGTTAGTGCTTACATAATTTATCTCTCATGTAGATCCTTTTCTCTGATTGGTTCAGACTTTCCTAGGAAATTAAAATTTTCCTTCAGGGTTAAATTCAGAGTTTGATATTTAAGTAGCAACTCATTATTTTACAGAACTTTTAAGCTATAACTTAAATTTCCTGCATTCGTTAGTTTTAAACTCAGGGATATAAGAAGGAATTTTCTGCTGTGGACGGTATTTCCCAAAGAACCTGGGAGATTCTCCATGTCAGAAACAAGTTTGGAAACGGTGGAGGACACTATTGCGAAATCTGTGTAAATGGTTCCTGAATTGTTTCTCTTCTCTATCTTCAATTAAGCACATTCAAATACTATTCAGTATTCATGTAGAATGAGTCATGATTTTAATGAAGAATGTTGTTGGTGGATCTTAAGTATTTCTAATATCCATTTTCAAGCAATAATTTACATATCCATGCAGTTTCCATATTTAAAATTTCTACACTGTATCTCAATGTATCACCAGAGTCTCTTGTTCTTGCATTACTCAAATAAATGTTTTTTGTTCATACTTGAGCTGCTTTCTACTGTAGTGTGTGATCATGTGATCTAATCACTGTGCTCTGAATGGACACACATGTTGCTGCTCTTTTTTCTTGACTCTGGGTTGGAACTTTAGTCAATCAGGGGGCGGAAACGTCATGAATGTGTGTCTGACCAAAAGAGTTTGTTTAAGGAATACCAAACCGAAGGCATGTACTGTAGGTATAAACAGTACATAAGAATCTGGGAGAGTGGGATTCATGTTCAAAACCCCGGAATATTCCAAAACAGAGAGGGGGGGATTGAATTTTGTAGATCCAGAAAATTAATATCTGTGGGATGCCTGCGTAGAGACTGGCAGCTGGTGGGGTCTTAAATGGAAGACATGTGGCCGCAGCGCTTGGCCTAGAAAGTGTCATAACCTAACCTAACTTGTGGCCGCAGTGCTCGGCCCCCTCTAGCCTGTCCTAGCTGCAGCGCTAGGCCCTGAAAGTGTCTTAATCTAACCTAACCCTAAATAAGTACTAATTTAATTATTTTTCTGGATCTATAAAATTCATAAAATTCAATTCCCCTCTCTCTGTTTTGGAATTTTCCGGGGCATTGAACACAACATGAATCCCACTCTCCCTATGAATCTTGGTATTTGTACAGTCTATGAAAGTACATTTGTCTATTGTTAATAGTTTACTTAAAAATAAGTTTAATATACATGTAATTTATTATTTATATATTTATGTCAACACTATAAGCCAAATTTTCATGCCAAAAATATAATTATATAACTACTCGTTCTTCAAGCTTAATTATAACTAACAACAATGCTCTGCAATTTCCTTGACTGTAGTCATTTTGTGTGTCTGTACCAAAAGAGTGTGCGTGTGTAATACCGAACTCGTCTGCAAAGCAGTGCAACTGCAGCTTTCTCATGCCAAACCAGCGCCATTTCCCTTCCCTTTATTCCTATTCCCCGTATAGTCAATATGACCTATAATCTTCTTATGATAGCCAAACCAAACCATCTGTTTTAACTTTGGTAGAAATTTAACCATGGTAAAACAAAATTTTCGGCTTCTAAAGCAACTTTATCCAACACTATATCCATCTTTATATAAATAAAAATTGTATTATCAATAAGTTGGCATTGAATCTAGCCCATTCTGTTCTCAGTGTTTTACAGTGTACACACAGTACAGTACATAACTATTATCATAGAATAATAAAATGAAGAGGTAAAGCTTACCTCAGATGTACACAACCGACCTCCCTATTAATTAATTAATTTGTAGGTTATCAATTTATTAGCTAAAAGTTATGTCAAAAATTTCAAACTTATACTCAAGTACTGGGAAAAAAAACTGGATGGATGGTTAACAAATGATAAACAAATGAACTAAAGAAAACGATGCGCACGCATCTTTAATTGCCACTTCTTTTTTTAAATTATGTTAAATATTAAAACATTATGAAGTAAACAGTACAGTAAATACAGGGGCGTAAATAAGGATTCTGTAGGGGGGGGGGGGGGGGGGGTTTTCCCCCCCCCCCCCTCCCCCTAGAAAAATATCATGACATTGACTATTACTTTAGAATTTATAATCATTTAGAATATGTTGACTTAACATCTGAAATATCTGAAGTAACTGCACATTAAAATTATTTTCGTGCAAACTCTAAAGATATTCAATTTTAAAATGAACTTTTAAAAAAAAAATATATTCTAGGGGGGTAATTACCCCCAGGATTCTAGGGGGGGGGTAAATAACCCAATAACCCCCCCCCCTTATTTACGCCACTGAGTAATGGTGTTGCATTTTTCTTTATACTTGGTTTTTTCTCCTTCTTTAAAATGGTTTTAGCAAATAAAACTTTAGGGATATAAAAGGTCCAGCCATGCACGATGTTTTGCAGTATTATGAAAAAACTGACATTTTTACAAGAAGAATTGTTTATGCACTTTTTCACGATGCAAAATTTGGGCATACTTTTATTAACATAAACAAACAACTGAACTGGAATGTACTGCAGTATACAACCCTGTGTTTACAATTCATATTAAGTGTCTATCTAATTGCAGGGGCTGGAAACGTCATGTGTGTGTGTCTGTACCAAAAAAATGTGTGTAAGGAATACCGTACAGAAGGTGTGAACTGTAGGTATATACAGTACATACGAATCTTGGTTTTTGTACAGTCTAGAAGAGTAAATTTGTTTATTGTTAATTGTTTACTTTAAGATAAGTTTAATATACAAGTAGTATATTATTTATATATTGAAGTCAACACCATAAGCCAAATTTTCATGCAAAGAATATTACTAGATTAAAGTTTCAATAAATATAGTCGTTATTCAAGCTTATTTTTAATTTACAACATTGTTCTGCAATTTCCTTGTCTGTAATCATGTTGTGTGTCGGCACCAAAAGAGTGTGTGTAAAGATTACTGTACTGGTCTGCAAAGCAGTGCGACTGGATTTCTCATGCCAGACCAGCGCCATTTCCTTTCCCTTTTTCCTATTCCCTGTCTAATTATCAATATAAATATGTAATGATCTACATTTTACTACCCCAGAGAAATACGATCACACTCTATACAAGTGTACAGTGTAAGATATGTAAACATATCGTGATGTACACAACCGACCACTCTAATAATTAATTAATAAGGAGGTCGGTTGTGTACATCTGAGGTAAGCTTTACCTCTTCGTTTTATTACTCTATGAATATTATATACCCTACGCTTAATCAATTTAAAGGGACTGTTATTGCAATTTCTGTAGAACCTCTTTCCAAAGGGTTAGATAACATTGATTTGCTGTAGTGATGAATATATTTTTGCTTTTCTTTCTTAAAACTGACAAATCAGTTCCTCTGCAGAACTGCAGAAAATTAACAATATCTTCTGTGTATTTGATGCTGTTTTACATACAAAGAGAATAGATTATTTATAGAGTGGAAATAACTCGAAAACAGTGTAAAACGGAGACAGACTTCACAGACTGCTCATACACTCTACCTGGATAGGCTGAGCAGGCCTATAGTGTCCCGGCACGCCATGCTACGGTTCCATGTAATGTTTTTTGACTGACATCTCACGGCCACTTTTTACAACTTTTAAAGAAATACTCCAATTTTAAACATGAAACATGACATTTATGAATTCAGTCTTTTTTTTTGAAGATTTTGTGTTTCGTATATCCAAAACAATAGCACATGCTGTGGAAAATATCGGCATATTTTAGCTGATAATCGATCTTTGTAACTCTCTTATCGCTGAAAACGGCCACTTGTTGTACTGTTTCCATACTAGGTTTACTTCACACATATGTGCTATATAACCTTTTGGGCCCTGTAACATCATTTATAGAAATAAGTCTTTTTGGAAAATTATATGATTTTCTCTAAATCAATTCTCCAATAGCCTTTCATGCATTCCCAAGTTCATTTCAGCATAAGTAACAGTACACCCAATATTTTTGAAATACTCAATATACCAAAATATTAAAATTGAGGATGAGGAATGTAAATGTTTATTAACTCTTTAATTTCAATTTCATAACTTTTATACAGCAGAACTCATAATATTGTGAAATGGAAGGACAACATTTTAACAATCTAATTTATGTTTGCTAAGTTTTAAGTCTTGTTAGAAAGTAAAACGGCTCTGAGACAGTAAAAGGGCAGGCGGAAAGGAGGCTTTTTAAGACAATTTATTTTAAATATAAAAATTATTTAAATTAAGATAATAATTGCAGTAAGTTATAGTCTGAAGCAAAACAGATTAACAATTCTGTATGTATTCACTTTACAAACGACGATTTTACATTTTGATGTTTAATAAAATAATGATTTTAATTCACACGTTACAGTTGTTATTTAACAACTGTATAAAACAAAGAAATTGTAATGGATATGTCCAGATATCATACTGTATTAGTTTGATGTACTGTGTATGGTTTGTGAACATTTACTTGAATTGTACACTTTGAACTCTCTTTCAGGCTGAAAGGGACGACTGACAAACTTCATACCAAGGGATTGTTTAAATTCCTTTCTATTCATATTCTCTGTTCTGTGTTTATATAGTAAAACCTTTTATACCGATACATAGCAAGAAAACCCCTCTTTTGAATTGAATGGGCAGGGGCGGATACAGATTTAAGTGAGGGGGGGGGGGCAAGATTTTTTAGGAACCAAAAAAATGAATAATTAGGAACAAAAAATGGTGCCGCAGGCGAAAATTTTTTTTGACTTAAAAGACTCAAAAAGAGTCAAAATTAATGACTAAAGACTAAAAAACTAGATTTTTAAATTTTAGGAACAAAATTAAAGGATTAGAACAGGAATTTAGGAACAATTAAAAGATTGTTCAAGAATTAGGAACAAAATTAAAGGATTAGGACAGGGCTTTAGGAACAATAAACAGATTGTTCAGGAATTAGGAACAAAAATATAGGATTAGGACAGGGATTTAGGAACAATAAAAAGATTGTTCAGGAATTAGGAACAAAAATATAGGATTAGGACAGGGATTTAAGGTGGGTCGGACACAGGAACAGGAACAATAATAGGAACATTAGCAATTTCAGAACAAAAAGAAATTACTAGTTATACTGAAATACATGAAAATTAGGAACAATATTACAATTTTGATAAATGAGTATTGATTAAGGAACATTACTAGATATGAACAATATTATGACTTAAGTCTAGTTTCTTACAAATTTCTAATTCTAAATTTATCGTTAACAATAACATTTATCAAATTGGGAACATTTTTTGCCTCGAAATCTCAGGGGGGGAGAATTTCCCCCCGCCCCCCCCCCTTGTATCCGCCCCTGTGAATAGGTCTGTGTGTGTGTGTACGTAAATTGCTGTGTTCATGCTCATTTAAAATTCAAAAGTCATAACTTATCTCTAAAAGTTATATATATTTCCCAAAATTTATTATCTCTCCCTATCTATTATTATTATATATTAAGTATTGAGTGAAATATCCCGATTGGGTGATGCAAGAGTCTTATTATGTTATGTATTCACTATACAGTGACCTTGTAATCTTGCTGTGTACATAATAGAGCTTAGACATATGGGCGCTGTATGGAATCAAGTTCTATTCAGAACTGTCATTCCACCGATTCCACCCCACTCTATTCATTCCTTAATACTTCAGCAGTTTACAGATAGATGCTAGGTGGTGTAGAACTATATAAGTACAGGGTGTCCCAAGAAACATGATAGTTGGTTAATAATTTAAAATGTCTTATTTCATAATTAGTTTAGTTGTTTAATACTGAAGAGAAAGATAAACATATTATATGGCAATTATATTATTCCAGCAAAGTTAATTTCAAAGTGAAATAAATTTAAGGAAAAGGTGTTTTATAATGAAATAAGCTGCAAAATGTCTTTAATATTCAATAAAATATACGGAAGAAGACATTCAAAACTATTCACTAACTGTCATGTTTCGTGGGACAGGACAGCTGCAAACCTAGTTTTATTGTAAACAAAAACAGTGATTGTCAGATATTCTTTAGATCTTCTTTTATAGTAGAAACTGTAGATATAAGAACTAAATCTAAGAAAAAACCAATTTTTGGATGGAAATTTCCTATAAAGTTAAACATTTTATTCAGTTTTCTTTGATAATGATTCTTTCTAAAATAACTATGACAGAAAAACGATCTTATTAAGTTTGAAAAGCACAGTTTGTTATTTATGTCTAACTAAAGATGGCATCAGCAGTTTGAGGACGTTCCTGATTTACAACGGTACCCTTCTAACCTTTACCTAAGTGATAATGGGGAAGTTAATGTAATTATTCTAGCTTGAAAAGTGTTTAATTTTGATAATTTCTCATTTGTTATCCTGCAGCAGAAATGCACAAGTCACTGTTTTAGCAAAACCACAATTAAAATACTGTCTTCAAAATTATATTTATATCTAATTCATACTTGATCACACAAAGCTTGAAGGTGCCCAATTGTGAATAAAACTTGCCACTCTACAAATGAAAATTTGAAAGTAAGTTTACAGACCCATAAAAGACTCAGAAACAGAAAATCCTAGGCCTCATGTAATCCTGGGGTTTAGAAATTATATAATATTTAGAAGATCTTAACGTGTGTTTTTATAGCTATTAGTTATTAAAAACCCCGTCAGTACTATTGAAAACAAGGTTTTTAACTACGCAGTATTTACAATTAATACAGTTACTACAATTTCAATAATTATTGCAATTACTATAGTTACAACAGTTACTACAATTTCAATAATTATTGCAATTACTATAGTTACTACAGTTACAAAAATTTCTTCTGGTGTTACAGTTACTACTGTTGAGTGTTACTATAAAGTTACTGCATTCACTGCAATTACTATAATTACCGCAATTTTCAAAACTCATTGACAAAATTAATCTGTTTTATTCAATTTTGTCTTCATCATAGATTAATTAGAATAACAGACAGGACACTAAATGTTGCCTTTTCAAGATTTTAATTAAACGGATGGGATTTAATTGAAAATTTTTAGCAGTGAAGAGCAGTGAAATTTTTCTCTGACTTGTTTCTTCTTTTTAACTGATCTGCAGTTTTCAGTTTTGCCAGGAATGACTGACTCAACAACTGATTGAAGGTTCAGGTTCAAACATGAATTCGTCATTTAATATTCTTACAGATTTAAAAAGTAAAATTCACTTCACATGTTCGGATTGTATAATGAATTAACAAAACAATAGCCCTGAGAGAACCTGTTCTACGCTGACTGCGCAAAACTCCTCCAAACGTCTGCCTCAGGGGTTTTCTGAACAAGTTTCATCCAAATCTTGAAAAGGCAACATCTAGTGTCCTATCTGTTATTCCAATTAATCTATGGTTTTCATTTTTTCTAGCTGAAAGTAATAAACTCATTTAGTCTAGTCTATAATGTAAGCGTTTAGATTTTTCATTAAAACATATTATTCTACATTCATAGATAAAAATTAATTGTTAAATTTCACAAAGACAACCTGTTTGAATCAGATTGGCATTTTAATTTTGATACTAAAATGATATTAAATTGAAATTCTATAATTATAGTTATAACCATGCCAATTGTCAAACAAAATTATTTTGTATTACAATAAAACATGGACATTTTAGAAAAGGCACTTGAATGTAACAATATTTTTTTCAGATTTAAGACTGATAAGAGCTTGGCTTGATCTGCAAAAAAACAGTTTGATTAGAAGAGATGCCTTATGCATGTTTGGTTTGTGGCAATGAGACAGTAAAACTGCTTTATCACTATGGATCTGATGGAAATATCTGCAATTCATGCAGAATATTTTTCAGGTAGAATAGATAAAAAAAATTTGTATAAATATGAAATCTCATATCTGTTTAGGAGGTCTGTCAGCCAAAATCTGAGGAGAATCTGCCCAACTGGGTTGTTCAATTGCCCAATTGCAACGAATGCCAGAGTTGGTTGCAAGTTGTGTCGGTTTAATAAATGTATCCAGGTTGGAATGAAACCAGAGCTAGTAGACAAGACCAAAAAAGCAATCATTGCTTATTTTGCTGAGCAAGAAAAGAATTCAGGAAAAAATGAAGCATTTGCATCTCCAACAGATAGTCCTTTTGATAACATAGAAGTGGAAATAGTTATTGATGCGGATTTAATTATAGACAAACAAATTACCCAGCCCATGTTTGTTGACCCAAAAAGAAACCAATCAGCCATTGCTGAAGGTGCAGGGTTGTTGATCAAGAATCCCAAACTGTTCCATATGTCCATAAATGACCAACTTGACCCAGAGGATGTTCAGTTCTTTAGTGGTGTTGTAACTAGCTGGAGAAAGCTTCTGCTTAAAATCTATGAGGACGGACTGTCATACAACTCTGTCCATGAAGAAATTAATAAGTTTTATGATCAAACCATAGATGCTCAACCACTGACCTATGATCCAGCTTTAGATTGTACATTGATTGAATTAGCTGTTGACAACATTTTAAGTGCTTCGGTAAAAGACATTTTTGATCTTGATCCCTCTGTACAGATAAACTTCAAAACTTTGTACCAATGCTATTATATATTCAATTCATCAGCTAAAGAAGGAACGACAATACGGCAATCTTTAGCAACTTTTGGATTCAATGTTGAATCCTACCCGTTCAGTGCAATAATGCCGGTTCACATGCAGGACATGAAAGTTGTTGATTTCATGAAAAGCGACATGTTTAAATCCCCTTGGGCTGAAAGTCTTGAAGTGGAAGAATTCTTCATAAAGACCTGCCAAACATTAAAAACCTTTTTGGCCGATCCTGTGATCGATCTTTTATTCTTAAATCTGGTCTTATTCAACTCCATTGTTGAATGTGAGAGCTTCCTTAATGTTTTTCCAGGTAAGATTTTTTTGCCAAAGCTATATTTTCTTAGCTTCAAAACAGAACACTTAAATCATCATAGAGACTGCATCTTTATCTAAACAACCTGCCCTTGCCAGGCTCTGAATTTGATTATCTATGATTTATGTTCAACAAATATTTCAGGAAAGCTGAAGATGATCTTGTACAAAGAAATGTTGAGGAAGAGCCAAGACTCCAATATTGCCAATCATAGATTCACCCAGCTGATCTCAACAATAGATGATGTGGAGGAGTGTGCAAGAATTTTAGAGAGAGCTTCCTTGATCAAGGAAACACATATCGATCTACAGGACATTGATGTTTCACCTTTGGAGTAATTAATCTGAAGGGATCTCTTGTTTTTCCAATAGCACATCTGTCACCTGATACAGTGAATAGCAATACAAAGTTGAACCAAATAGACATATTTCAACCACTTCTCATCCTCTTTACACACATTTTTTAAACCATAACCAAAACTTTTTAGTTTAGCGTGACAGTTAGGGCTGGGCATGTTCCGACTTTTTTTAAATTGTTCCGTTCTGTTCTAGAACGGGGGCCTTCAGCAAGATTGTTCAGTTCTTGGTTGTTGTTTTTGCGATTGTTCCATCCACGTTCCGTTCCGTTCTGTTCTTGGTGTTCTTAGATGAGAACGGTTCCATCCCCCTTTTGTTACCTTCTTTGTCATGAACGGTTCCATCTGCGTTCCGTTCCTTATATTCAAATATTTATCACAAGTAAAATGTTCTTCCTTTCACACTTGAGGGTAAGAAAATACAGGGGCTACGAGGGGGGTGTGGACATATAGTGCACGGCCTCCCCTAAACGTGCCCCCCTAGGAGTGGGGGGGGGGGTCATTTAATATTACAACTGAAGATTTGTTGAAAAAAAATTAGGATTCTTGATTTTAGAGCCAGTACTTTTAAAGCTTTTCATTATCTTTTTTTAAAGATCATTTTGTAATTTTTTTTATTTCTTAAAAGTACGCAAACCTACAAAGCAGTTTAATTAATATTGAATCAATTGAAAGGTTTAAAGTGATTGCAGACATAATTTCAATTCTGATTCACAACAATACCATTTAATGCTATGACTGATCAAGTATTGCATTATATATCCATGTGATCCATTTTAAAAACTGCGGTTTCTTTACAAAAAGTGACTCGTGCATTTATTGCCTCAGAAACGATGGAGAAATGAAGGTTTCAGAGGTACATTGGACATGCCACTCTAAAAATGGGTCAAATGCACCAACTTTTTTTCCTGATTTAAAACCGGTTCCCTACTTAGAACTTGTTCCTAAAAATAAGAACGCGTTCCTGATTTTAACCTTCTTTTCAATCAATTTCCAGGAACGACGCCCAGCCCTAGCGACAGTCTAATATTTCACTACTAGTTTAAAAGTTGGACATTGTTGACATCTATGATTACTTCATTAATTTCAATTCATATGGGAAAACTCATTATATCAGGGGATCCAATGCAGATTTTTAGGTAGCGGCCAAACTCTGTTACTTGCGCATGCCGCAATGAATTATAAAAACAGAGAGATTAGTATATATTTTAGGGTTAGGTTAGGTTTGGACACTTTCTGGGCCGCGCACTTCGACTAGGACAGGTTAGTTGGTCAAGCGCCGCGGCTAGGACAGGTTAGAGGGACGCAGCTAGAACCGGCTCTCTCTGTCTTATAATTCATTGCGGCATTCGGGAGTAACACAGATTGGCCGCTGCCAGATTTTACCGATAAAATCATTTAATTTTGTATAATATTAAGTATATATGATGTGCCAATGTTTACTTGTAAAGTTGTAAAAGTAAACTTTTCTATCTTATTTTCTATTTTGTACACTGATGTAAATCAAGAAAACATTTTTTTGTATTCTCATTCATCTTTGTTTCTATGAGTGTTATATTTTTGGTTTTGTGGAACTCTTCCAGAGTCTGAATTTCATTTTGCATATTAAGGTTTCAATACAATATTGCAGCCCTATTCCGGCAGGGGGGGGGGGTCCATGGGGCCGGACCCCCTCACGTTTTTTGGAAACCAAAAGGTATTGGTCTGAGGCTTTTAGAATTTTTTGACTTTTCTAACACATGCCACTCACTTAAGGCTCAAATCGGTACTTTTATAAATACTGCCTTATTTTACCTATACACGACACGACGAGGTCATTGGATATTTGTAGCTCTTTGGAAAGTCTTGAACAAAAGGAAGGAGATTACTTAATTTTTGCGAAGAAATTTTGCTTAAATATTTGCATAGATGCCTTTGAAAAGAATTTGCTTATTTTAGTTTTCCTTAAATACAAATTTAGTTTTTGAAAATTTTTGAATATTTAAAATTTTGTAAATTTGCTATTTTTTGTAGATTATTAGAGGGCTTTCCAAACATGTATCAAATGTTATCAATAAGGAAATAGAGGGAATGGGTTCCGGGGACCTTCCCCCCCCCCAGCCCGACTACTTTGGTTAAACCAAACGTCTGCCTGAATTGGGTTAAAGTTTTCAATGCAAACAGAAAAAAATTGTAATAAGTTTAGAATATTGCAATATATTGTTAATATGTGTTTAAATAAGTTTGCCAACTAACACTTTGATACAGTGAGATACATAAAATTCTGGAATGGAAGACGACTTCATCTGTGTGTTGATGTTGTTTTAAAGCAATTGAATAGTTTCACCTGTTGCTTAGAAATCAACTAATTAATTACAATGCTCTGTTCTTATTGCATACTTTTCCAATAAACACAGGGCCATTTTTGCTAAGGAGTACCATTGGTGACCGGGCTTTGCTATCTTTGCATGGAGGTTAACTTGAAATCACGCTTGCAGTCCCATAAAGAAGACGACATATAGTGTCGACTTGAGCTTGCAAGATTCAATAAAAAAAATTTTGCGGAGATAAAAGCATTTTATTCATCTACTATATTTCTTATAGTCATTTTCATTATCATCATTATTATTGTTATTATTGCTTGCATTTTTAATTTTATTATTTTCATTATTTTAATAGTTCTGTGCGTATTTCGTTGATATTCTAGTAAAAACTGTTCATATTTTTGTGCACCTGCGTAAATCCTTTTTTGCCAGAAAACAAAGTTGATGAAGATGAAACAAATTTGTCAGAGAATGAAAGTGATTTCAACGACCTAGAGACTGAGAATGATTGTTCCCACAATGAACCGGAAATAGTTGAATCTAAGGATTCCCCCATATCCTGTTAATCACCTGCCCAGTAATAATTGAACAATTATATGTCAATTAACCTGATCTCACCCCTTTCCTGACCGATATTTTCTTCTAATTATTGTTGTGACCTGATCTCACCCCTCTCCTGACTGATATTTACTTCTAATTATTGTTGTGACCTGATCTCACCCCTCTCTTGACTGATATTTACTTCTAATTATTTATTATTATAACTATTATTATCATCGTCATCATCATTATGATTTTTGCATTGTTATCATTTGTAACTGCTTCTTCTTCTCTCATTTTACTAATCACAAAACCAGTCTAAATGGAGTCTGAGTCGTGTTTTTTCGCATTATTACCGTTTTTTCACGAATTATCCCATTATTTTTTCGCGAAAATTTCGATTTATTTTTTTCATGAAAATTTCGCATTCCTAATTTGGAGAAAATTTCACATTTCCAATTTCGCGAAACATTTTTTGCGACCAAACAAAATTTAAACAATGCGAAGTTGTCGCAAAACGATTTTCCTTTTTCATTGGAAACCTTATTAGAAAACCCCACTCTTTGGATCTCACCTAGGACAGCCCCACATTCTCGTTAGAGACCCCAAGCTTTTCATTGGAGAACTCTAGATTTTCATTGGAGACTCCCATATTTTCATTGGAGACCCCATATTTTCGTTGGAGACCCCAGGAAATTTATTGATTACTCCCAGATTTTCATTGGAGACCTAAGATTTTTGTTGAAGACCACAAGAATTTTGTCAGAGATCCTCATATTTTTTATTGGAGATCCTAAACTTTTCATTGGTGACCCACTCATATTGGAGACCCAAGAATTCATTAGAGACCCCAAATTTGACCCTACTCAAAAATGCTGGTGTAAAACCCTGAAAATATGACGCTCCATGCAAACATACCTAACTTCTGTAAAAACATAATATTGGTGATAAAAAAAAACACAGAAAAATTGGACGTCCATAGGCCAATTTTTCATCATTAAGCAATTAAAACCCTAAACATTGTTATGATATTCTAGGCAAACAAACCAAACTTTTAAAGGAAGAAATTATTTTTGATGAAAGAGGCGAAAGATCCAAAGTAACAGGATTCAGTGATTGGAATGAAAGAAGGACCCCCCCCCCATTGCATTCTCGCCCCCCCCCCACTTAAATAGTACACTCAATATTGCATCTGAGATAATGTTCAACCAAAATTTTATTAACTTTTATCTCACAGGCCAAAAAAAAGTTTTTACATAAGTTGCATAATATTGCAGATATATACTATTGCACAACTTGCAATAATTAATTGCATTTTAGCAAAGTATTAAAACAAGCATTTTTCAGGCAGACAACCTATTGTAAAGGGATTGTAAGGAAAATATTATCCAGTACTATAGAAGGACAATTTATATGATAAAGATGTTACAAAGAAAATCTGAATTCATAATTAGTTTATTTATTTCAGGCTCCTTGTATTTTTATTTGAAATAGCACTAGTGTGCTCAGTATGGTGTAATTTGGGTTTTCTTGTTTACAAGAACCTTTTTTCTACAAAGTTAATTTTCTTGTTTTCGTGTTTTTTTAATCTTTTATATAATCTGTGTATATTACATATACTGCCTGTCTGTTTGTTTGCATCCAATAAACGTCTAAAATAACAAAATTTGATTTTTGAAAATTTTAAAATCCACGAAATTTTTCGTTTGTGTTTGTTTTACAATGTAAACAAAGAGAAAATGTTCACAATTGAAAAAAAAAGACGTCCGCGAAGCGCCCTAAAAGCATAGTTCGTTAAATTTATCTCAACTTACGCAATTTTTTTAATATTTTAGAAGTACATTTATTGCTTCTGGATATAATTACATGATAAATGACTATAAGTGTTTAATAGGAGAGGAAGTTGAGTAGGTCTTCTCTGGTTCCAAGATCCGACACCACTGATTTGAGGATTTCATAATAATCATTCGGAGATTTCATATCCTCTACAATATATTATATATGTAAGAATGTTTATGTATATATTTATGCAATGCAACGGCTGCTCAAATGGTACGAGTATCTTATTTCAGTGGAAGAAAGTTCCAAACCGTGATTTGGCCAAACCTGACTCTAAGTGTCAAGTTTGGAACAAAAGCACGGTTTGAACTTTCTCCCCCTGCATTTGTAAGATTACGGCCGGTGTATAGACAATTTTCAATCTAATTTATAAAGGTTTGTTTGTGCAATGTAAAGAGTGTCCCAATTACACAGTCACAACAGGACCCTTAAAAGCTTTGTCTAATTAGGAATGTAGGAATACATGAGATAACCAATATCTTCTCTTTGAAAATAGACTATTTTTATTTGTGTTTTTTTTTATGGAAGAAACGTGCATAATGGATGAAATCGTAAAGTATAAACAAGATAAAAACGATAAAAGCAACGATATCTTCAAAATTATTGATTAGATGATGGTTTAAAGGGTACAGCTGGGAATTTGGCATGCCCCTCTTGAATTTATACCGGCATTCCCTTGAATTTTGTTTACATTATGTTAATATAGATTCTAGTATAATGGATGACAACGGAGAATTTGGCTCTCAGTACAACTGTATTATGACGTCACAAGTGTCAACTCAGTTTTTGTGTCCGACAAAATTATTAATAATAATAATAATAATTTTAGAATAAAGTGCTTATCTTACAGTAAATTAGTTCCATTTTATTTGTTCTTTTTTTCTGTTTTTGCACTTTTTTATTTAATCTTGGAAAAAATGTCAACTAATGTAGAAAATATTGTTTTCCTTGTTATATTTGACACTTGTGGCGTCGTGCATAATTGGGTTATTTCTTTGTTGCCACCTATTGTACTTGATAATCTATTTGGTACACACTATGAATTGTGTTGGACAACATTTCTGGTTTTGGATATTTTAAGTACATGCAAATAAACTAACCTAAACTCAAAACTATCGTTTTTGGTTATTTTTTTTTATTTTTTATAGGATAAAAAAAGTGTTGGGGTCTTATTTTATGGAACGTTATATTGAAAATCCAAAGAACTTAAAAAGCTTAGAAAAAAAAACAAAGTATTGCCCATCACTATCCGCGCGCGTTGATTTCCTGTTTATAAACTGATCCACTAAAAATGCACAATTTATACTGTGGGTCTTTTAACCTTTGTTTATCATTGCCTAGCAACAGCAAGAAAAGGCTGGAAACTTGCGCTAAAAAAAAAAAATTTATTACAAAACAACATATAAAGTTTTATTTCTATCTGATTTTCTGTAATCCTAACATGATTTTCTCCCACTAAACAGAATTGGGTTCATATTCTTAGGAACTGTTAGTATAATTTCAAGTGACCCTTCATTCAAAGATGACAATGCATGATTCACCCTTGAAACCTGATCAATAATGTGGCAAATACTGTCGTTTTTCTATGATAAAACTAAAAGTGTTTAATTATGATAATCTATACATGCTCTCTTAGAGTAGAAATGCGCAAGTCACTTTTGCAGAGACATCACAATCGAAAATGAACAGTTTTCAAAATGAAATAAATTCATACTTGGTCAGACAAAGCTTTTACGGGTGCCGTTGAGAATAGGGCATGGAAGGTCACTTGGAATTACGTTAACAGTCCCTTTATTGTTTATAGTTAACATTCCCTTTATTGTTTATAGTTAACAGTCCCTTTATTGTTTATTTTATTTAATTATTTATTTATTCATTTCACCAGTTTTTCATTTTTTTCGACTACTATTTTGTTTTAATTCTAAAATTGGTTTTTTCTTCAAGGTACATTATTCTCACTAAGATTGCTTATTTCTCCTAAACTCGTTAATTTTTCCTAAAATCGGTTCTTTATTTTTCAAACAGTATTTTTTCTTTTTAATATTTAATTGTGTTGTCCTGTCAAACCGAGTTGTTTATCAGCATGCATGTGTATTAAAAAATTGCAAAAAATACTTGTTTATAATTTATAATTTCAAGGTTCTGGTTGTATATATATATAATCTGGAGGTTTAAATAGATATTCAGTGTTTGTTTAACCCTTGCACTGCACACTCTAAACTTAACAATGTTTAAGGTTTGAATATTCTTTTTTACAAAGAATAACATTGAAAATTCAAATGTTATTCAGCATTCAATTGGTTTAATCAAACCAAAATTTTATATACTTTGAAACCACATAGAAGGCAGACACAGTTTTATGCGATCAAAAAATCAATATCTAAATCTAAATTCCCATGAAACATTTTTGTACTTACACTTTGTTCCCCATATTAAACTAAAATTCACTTAAATGTGAAACATTTAAACTATGATAAAAGGATTGCTAAAAGGTTGCTAAGTCGTCCCAATGATACTAAATCAAATAAAGTTGGGGTCATGTGTATATATTATGATATATTATCGGTTTTCCGCTGCAAGTAGTTTAATGGTGAAAAATCCAACTTGAGGAATTTAGTCTTTGCCACAAACTCAAATTCTCAAAATCTTTATCCTTGCAACCTGATGATGTAAACTTTTTATATTTTTAAGTTAGGTTATGTGATTTGACAGAATTTAATGTTTGAGTTATCTAAGGTCTATGACATTGGGTTGTAATGATATAGGAATCAGAGTTTGAGGCACAGACTCAATTCCTTTAACATAATGTTTCTATAGTTATCGGTATCGTTTGCTCTTTTTGGTCTAATTACCGCAACACAAGGACCCTGCGATGAATGCAACCAAGTTTCAGGTATTTAACATTCTTTGTAAATATTGTTTTGTCCATCTTCATGCTTCTAACTTTAATTTTTACTGGACAAAACTGAACTATCCAGGTAAGGTAAAAATATTAATATATTCCAAATACAAATTAGCGCCATTTTATATTGCTACTCCAATTATTAGGAATATTAGGGGGCTTTGCGCCCATTTTTCCAGGTCGAACTTTGCTTTTAGTTGCTGACCTTTCTGCAATCCTTTTGTACATTTTGAAATAATAAGGATACAGATTTTTGAAGATTTCCTTGTTTTAATTAGCGTATCAAAATATTCTTTAGATCTGATCTTCCATAGACCGGACATCAACCTTTTCTGGGGTCAGTTCAGTGACCATAAAAATGTTTGGGCTCGTTTGGTTTAGCCGTTTCGACTTTTTTTTATACAAGTGCAAACATTACTTTGGCCAAGGGAAGTTTAAATTGGATCTTAATATAATATATATAATGATAATGTCAATTTTTCAGCTGCTCTGAGAGACCGGATTGTTCAAGACGGAAGCATTAAAATGCAGGTTGTAACAAATTGATTGTAATATATGAGCATTTATTAATTTTTAGAAATGTCTGACTAATCGAAAGAAATATTATTTAAATAGTAGTTATAATTGACTATTGTATATAAATATTATTCAATTAATACAAATATTAATTAAGTAATTCAAATATTGGATAATGCAATAGAAATATTTGACTAATTAATAGAAATATCTAATTAATTGATAAAAATATTTAACTAATTGATAGAAATATTTCATAAATTGCTAGATCGGTCTGCTATCATCCCGTGTTTGCCCGAGTCTAGATGATCCAGATTTCTGCCAAGAAATGTTGAATGAACACTGGTTAGATATTGCTCGTGTTTTGCATCCTTTCAATTTCTCTCCTCCTAAAGCTTGCGAACGCACCAATGTTTGCAATGGGTAAGAGCAAAATGTTTTTAATGGGTAAGTGCAAAATATTTGCAATGGGTAAGTGCAAAATGTTTGCAATGGGTAAGTGAAAATTGTTTGCATCGGGTAAGTGCAAAATGTTTGCCATAGATAAGTGCAAAATGTTTGCAATGGGTAAGTGCATAATGTCTGCAATCTGTAAGTGCAAAATGTTTGCAATGGGTAAGTGCAAATTGTTTGCATTGGGTAAGTGCAAAATGTTTGCAATGGGTAAGTGCAAAATGTCTGCAATCGGTAAGTGCAAAATATTGCAATGGGTAAGTGAAAATTGTTTGCATTGGGTAAGTGCACAATGTTTGCAATGGGTAAGTGCAAAATGTTTGCGATGGGTAAGTGAAAATTGTTTGCATTGGGTAAGTGCAAAATGTTTGCAATGGGTAAGTGCAAATTGTTTGCAATGGATGAATGCAAATTGTTTGCAATGGGTAAGTGCAAAATGTTTGCGATGGGTAAGTAAAAATTGTTTGCATTGGGTAAGTGCAAAAAGTTTGCAATGGGTAAGTGCAAAATTAAAAAATGTAAAGCAACTTCATTGATATTTTAAGGAACCACCCATTGAAAGAAGGAAATGCCTGATTTCCAAGAGTACCCTTAAAACCTTAATTTAATCAAAAATGTGGAAAAAGAAGTTTTTTTCGTTGTTTCTACTGTATAATATGTGTCAGATTTGTAGAGAAACCACGAATGAAATCAGTTTTCAAAATAAAATCAATGGCCGGGGAGCCGCTTGAAATAAGATCTTTTTAAATTTAAATACGGCAGGCGATTATATCAATATAATAAAGATGAATTTTTCATTTAAGTTTTAATTGTTACCAAGCTTTTTTAAAATTACAAGTTTACAAGCAATTAAAGAGAAGCTTTTTTAATTGACAGCTTCTCTAATCTCTTTGTTTCCATGTTTTTGTGTATTCATCATGCTCTTTTTAAAACCGTGACATAAATCTAAATTGAAATTGAAAGTCTTCTTCATTTTATTGATTTAACTGCCTTAGGTTAAATGAGTTGTTTTAGATTGATAACACCCATTGTTCGTGAATGGACTTGTGAGAACTGTTTGGCTGGGACAGCAACACTGCAGAAGTTCTTTAAGCTGGATCAGACAATTGCTGAATCTATCTCTTTTCTCAAAGGTACGGGGTTACCCAGAAACCATGAGACTGTAAATACGACCCAAGAAAATCTTGAAATATGACGATTTCAAGGCTGAATTGAGTCTTTTGCCTTAAATAAAGATTTCCCATATTTCAATATTTCCAATATTTCCAATAGTTCAATATTTCAATATTTCCAATATTCCAGTATTTCCATTACTTTCCAATATTTCCAATATTTCCATTATTTTCCAATAGCTTATTTCATGATTTGGAAAAGAAAGAAACAAGTCTACGGCTGTATGGAATATGGACCCGTGCAAATAAGGAATCCAATAGTATAACTTCTTACTGTCGTCTCTGAAGACTCATCCTTTGTGAGTAACCCTGTAGAAAAAAGCTGGAATCAAATTCTAAAGCTGATAATTGCACATGGTGTGAACCAAAGCTGAGATATTTGACCTAATGTGACTTCTTGTCCTCCCTTTTTAAGAAAGTTCATTTACCCAAATGGTATTTTCCAATAAATGTGCAATTTAGGCTGAATTTTTTTTTTTGGCGTGATGATAGATTTAAACATTATTTGGACCGAGTGCTGCATTTTCAATATTTTTGTAAAAGTGATGCCAGAAGGGTCATCATACAGTTGAAATAATTCTTTGTAAGTAAACTGCCTAAAATGCTATTTTTAGGCGAGAGTTTCTGTGGTAAACGTGAGAAGAAGACTGATGACTGTAATGGACTTGTTGAGAAACTGATGCCTTCTCTTCTACCAGGGTTGGCTGGTATACTCGGAGCTAGGGCTCAGGGGTTCTGTACAGACACTTTCTCAGTCTGCTAAAATCTATAATTAGTCTGCTAAGATATGAATTCTATCTGCTAAAACCTATGATTAGTCTGCTAAGATATGAATTCTATCTGCTAAAACCTATGATTAGTCTGCTGCTAAGATATGAATTCTATTTGCTCAAATCTATAATTAGTCTGCTAAGGTTTAGTCTGCTAAGATATGAATTCTATCTGCTAAAACCTATGATTAGTCTGCTAAGATATGAATTCTATCTGCTAAAACCTATGATTAGTCTGCTATGATATGAATTCTATCTGCTAAAATCTATGATTAGTCGTTCTGCTAAGATATGAATTCTATTTGCTCAAATCTATAATTAGTCTGCTAAGGTATTAATTCCACTAAGATATGGTTTCTACTGCTAAAATCTGCAATTAGCCTGCTAAAATATTCTTATTCTTATTTTTCAGAACTGCAATTTTGCTTTTTAGTCAAAAAGAAGTATATCTTAGTCAGTAGATATAGTATCAAATCATATAAATTATATATTCTAAACGTCCATTTTCAAATTCTATTTTGTTTTATCGTTAATGCTTAATATAATTTATATGTTAACATATTAAGAGTTAAATAAACAATTCATTTTATAAATAATGTTTACTTTTCCGCTAATGGAATTCAGATAGGAACAGAAGTATTTTTTGTTATGCCTATTATTGTTCAGCAACATTTGGGGCTAACTGGAAGAATTGTTTATATGTCACACTTTTTGCTTCCTCAAAAATGCGTCCTAAATGTTTTTCTTCACAACAATAGGCGCTTTTTCAGTTTCATCTTGCAATAATGTGTCCTTAATGTGCATTCTCATCACTTTATTAGGGTTGTTAATCGTTTTAAAAAACGATCGTTTCGTTTTTGAAAAAAAACTCGTTTTGAACTTTCATAAAACGAAAAACGATAGTTTTTCTATCTTTCGCGAATGAATCTGAGTTTTATGACAATTAATTTAATTTTTTATTAAGATAATGTTATAAATGATATCAATTAACCTGAATCTTTTCTGACCTCGGATTTTCCGACCAAAAATGTATGAAAGGTCGTTAACTTTAAACTATCGTTAACGAAGGATCGGTTTCAAAAAACGATAGCTTTTAAAAACAATCGTTTTTAAAAGCTACCGTTTTAAAAACAAAAAACGTTCACTTTTTAAAATGACAATTTTCAAAAACAATATTTTTTAAAACTTTTCGTTTTTTCTTCGTCTTTTCAAAACGAAACTATGGTTTTTCAAAAAAGTGGAAACGACCCATCCCTAACATTATCACGCAGCTTATACCAAGTGTTGTGGTACGATCTCAAGTATTTTTCAAGAGGAAATGTTCACATTTCAAATTCTCCAAATCACACTTTTGATTTTGATCCAAATGAACAGAAAAACTTCAAAAATGAACCAAATTAAATTTTCAGTGGAAAATGGCTAAAAACTAGAGAAGGGAAAGAATGCATCATTAAAATCAGTAAAAAATTGCCAAGAAAACACAGGATCAAAACATATATTTTATCAAAAATATTAATATATATTTCTATTTTGAAAACATTGGAAAACATTGATATATTTCTATTTTGAAAACATTGGAAAACATTGATATATTTCTATTTTTAAAACATTGGAAAACATTTATATATTTCTATTTTCAACATTTTAAAAAATGCAAAATCTCAAGAAAATAATATGATTTTATAAAGTTCTAAAATTACTTACAAGTTACAAGCATCAAGCTTGACAAGCTTTCTCAGGTTCCAGGAGTTCCGGGAGTTCCAGGAGTTCCCGGAGTTCCAGGAGTTCCGGGAGAAGGACATTGACAATATCTTCCCAGTTCTCTTCAGCCATTACTTAACAATCTGACCAGGGGCGTATACAGGAGGGGGGGGGGGGATCTTGAAGTGAAAACTATGAGAAAATTCTATTTTTTTCTTATTTTGCTATATTTGATCAAAAATGGTCAACAATCATGATCATGACAGGGTCGAGTGAGGAGGGGGCAAGTTGCGCCACTGGACATAAATAAGAAGTTTATGAAATAAACTCATTTTTGCCAACCCCAACACACACAAACACAATACCACACTGTGCGGCTCCACTGAATGTCATGCATACGTTTTTTGGTTTTCCACAAAAAAACAAGAAAAAAAACATGATAATTCAAATTTATAAATTTTCTTCATGAAAGATAGATACCCGTGTGAAATAGAATTATGTAAACGTGTGAAAATATAACTTTCTTTTTCAAGTTTTAAAATGCCGACATGGGCCGGATTAGTTCAGGATGAGTTGGGTTGGAGCAATGTATTGATATTAAACATGAAACATTATCCAATTGCACAGTGACATGTACAGAAGTCAGAACCTTCATGTGCTGTGAATCTCGGATCAAGCATTGATCTCCATCTTATGCAGACCTATGGATTAATTTAATTCCTCTTCGATATCCCGTAGTACGGTATACACTGCAGGTATGATTTATTCTCAAATTTAAAAGCGTCCACATTGGATATAGAGATCAAACGTTCAAAATTAACAATACTTTCCAGAACATTTAGTGAAACAATTTTATTCTTTCTGCTCAAATTGCAGTTTTTATGTTAAGCATGTTTGCTTTTCTAGTTCACGTCGTATTCGTATAATAGTAAAGTATTTAGGTGTTTTTACCCTTAGAAAGTTATTACCCTCTTATTTTTATCATCATCGCCATTAAAACTTTTGGTACAAGAACTGGTTTGAAAAATGGATGATGCATGATCCACTTCAATTTCTGGCTTTAAACCTTTTTCAGGGTGACTGGAGCCCCACCCCCCCTAGCATCACAGAGATTTAGACCACCCCCCCCCCCCAGTACCCACTCTTTACAGGATTGATATGTCTTTAAAATTTGGGTTTAAATATCTAACTTAGTACAGGGTTACCCACAAAGGATGCGACTGCAAAAGACGACTTGAAATTCTAAAGATATTACGCGTGCCTGAGGCCGAACTTAAAGAATTTGAGTCGCGGCTTAGATTTGAGACGAGGCTCAAATGTATTACATTCAGACTCAGATTAAGCTAAGCCTTCTGGCTCAGATAAAGTCTTAAAATATTTGGCAGTTGCGGGGAATCATGAAAATAGATAGAGGTCTCATCCTGTGTGGATAACCCTGTATCTAGATAGAGGTCTCATCCTGTGTGGATAACCCTGTATCTAGATAGAGGTCTCATCCTGTGTGGATAACCCTGTATCAATACAAAAATGCTGTTTTTTTCTGTTGGTAAACCATTTTAATTTTTTTACTACAGTGATAGCCAGAAAACTCTGAAATAGGAAGACGGCTTTTAGACTCAAGTTTTAACTTTAAAAGGTCTAATGAGCTTAAGACACAACAATTGTGCCGTTTAAAAAGACCCATTTAACTAAAGTAGTGATTTAATAAGCGTCTAGTAAAACAACATCAAATACACTTTTTTATTGCTATAATGTCGTCTTCCTATTACACTGTTTTCTGGTTATTACTGTATATTAAAATTATCAAATTTTTAAAAGCTTAAATATTTTACATTTCAGAAGTATGACCACCATTGGAGATCTTCTTGTTGAATTCCCTTCCTCCCATACTAAGATTAAAGTGATAAAAGACCATTTCTTGAGAAAATATGAAGAGATACACAATTGTGTCATTGCTAATGAAGACACTTTCAATGACAGAGCACAACAATATAAAAAAACAATTTAAAACTTACCAGAACCAAGAAAAATTTCGTATTCATTGTTCAAACTGGATGAATCTACCAGCATTAAACAAACCCCCTTCATGTTTGCGCCTGCTTTCATCATCACAGATAAGATCGTACTTCTCAACAGAAACTCTGACAGAACTCTCTTCAGAGATGGTTTTATCGCTGATGTCAAATGTGCATTCAGTGACAAGTATTGAAGAACAACGGTCTATATTACAAATGCTCAGTGAGGATACTTTTAGAAAACTGCTCTACTCCCTTCCTCGTCCATTATTATCCACATATTTAGAGAAAATAATCCCAAAGCATGCCAATTCTACCATGTCTGATACTTTAAAGAAAAGCTTGCCAGAAACTCCTGCCAGAAGAGAAAGTAAATTTCAAGAGGAATTTCTGCGCCAAATTTCCGACCCTTTTGCTGAGCCAACCCTGAGTATTGAGCCAAACCCTTCTTCTGAGTCAATCCAAGTGAGTATTGAGCCAAACCCTCATGCTAATAATACAACTCTAGATTCTCACTGCAATTCTAAACCTAGCTCCCCTCTCAAAGAACACCGTCAAAACAATGTGCCTGAAAATGCAGATTCTCAGTCCCAAATCAGGCTTTATACATGCCAGGATTGTGTAAAGACTTTTACCCGCAAAGATTCTTTGACTAAACATATGATAGCCAAGCATAGTGATCATCCAGGGTTCAAGTGTAACCATTGCAGTAAAACATTTTTGTATGTTACTAATTTGAAAAGGCACATGAAAGTGCATAGTTCTGATAAAAACTCCGGTCCGGACTTGAAAGGAAGCGAGAGCAGGTTGTACAGTTTAAATACAGAGACTAGAAACGGCAAAACGGGACTTCTTATAGTGAGATTAAAGTGACTGGGACTTTTAAAGCACGTTAACATAATGTGTTTTCACAAAAATTGAAAATGGCCTGGGCAAATATGCTTAGTTGGAACTTTTAAAAACATTAAAATGAAAAGAAATTTAAAATAAAAGTACCTCAAAAATACATCTTTCACAAAATTAACAAAAGAACTAATTACTTGCCTCAAATTCCATTTTTTAGTTTATATGTATTTGCAACCGGATTTTTAATATTCACAGATCAAATAGTCAAAGTTTGAAATATCTAAGGTTTAAACAATCAGGTCGCAAAAGGGATTTGAAAATTAGAGTTTGAGGCAAGTCAAATTTTTTGGAATTCCAAATTTACTAAAAATACTTTCCACGAATCTAAAAAAAGTTTAAATCAATAAATATTGTTTTTAACAAAGCAATTGAACACTTATACAAAATTATAATTTTCTAATCCCAATATCTGTGCAACCTGATGTAGATCTTTTAAAAAATGATAATAATTTTGTATAAAAAATTCTAAGTTTGAATTATCATAAGTATACTTTATCAGGTTGGAAAGATATATTGAGTACATTACTAGAATTTGTGTCAAGTATATTACTTTATTTAGGAAAATTCCTAATATTAATATCAATAAATAAAGCTTAGTTGTATAAAACACCTGTATTTTAATACTAATATTTCTTAGAAGACCTTCCACTATGTCGCCTCTACAAATAATAATCTTATTTTAAAAATAAATTAAGTTTTTTTTACTTTTCAAATTCAATTTCAATTTAGCGCAGAATTTATTTTTAATTTAAAATATCAAAGGTCTATAGTCTATAAGTTTGAAAAGAAATAGGGATTACAATTTTTTAGTTTAAACTTGCTTCAAACCAAGTTTGGATTTCAAGATATTCAATTTGGAAAATATTTAATAACTAACAACTATTTATGACACTGCTATTTTGATGATGCTACAAGCCTGATAGATTATAAGTTTGTAAGTAGGTGTTAGTTCCACATTTGTTGACACTTTCAAATACCTCAGCCTGTAGTTCACTGGGTATCAATATGATTGGTCTGTTAATGTAGACCTGTAATGGAAAGGTTTCATTTGACACTGAATATCTATGTCTAGATATCCTTCAGAAGAATGTTCTCAACGATCCTTGTAATCAACTTAGCTAAATATGCCCAATTTCTTAGTCGTGCTACCATTAGGTAGAACTGCAGTTACACTATGGTTAGGCTCTACTAGTGCAGTATAGATTGAAAGGTACGACCTATGGTGGCATATCTAAGAAATTGGGCTAACGCCTTGCTACCATTGGTCGAATCAATCTACAGGGTTATCCACAAAGGATTAGACTTCAGAGACGACTATACGGAATTAACGTCTTCTATCATAGCATTATGCTTCCCTGCAACGGTATATTCGTTGCTTTCTTTTCTCAATTATTAGAAAGGCCGTAAGAAGACTTCATTCATGACAGAATAAGTGCTTTAACCTTGAAAAATAAACAATTAGTTTCAGGTCGGCTTTATAGTCTCATCCTTTGCAGGCAACCCTGTATCTGAAGTGTTCTGGTAAAGAAAGATGCTATGGAAACTGAACTAAAGGCAACATAACCTAAAGGGTTTCGAGAATATTTTATTCCACTCCCATTAAGACTGCAGGATTAATCCCAATCCAACTAAACTAACTTGATACAATAGGTCAGGTTAGGGAGGTTTTCTAAATAGGTCTAGGGCAGCGTGACCATGGCTGTACGATTTTATCTAAATAATTCCAATAGCTTCCAAACTATCAATAAGCTCCATTTAATATGTTTTTATACAAATTCTTCAATAAATGTATTAGAACTCAACTAAAGATTTTAGAATATTTTATACAATTTGGCCTGTAACACCTACAAAACTTGAGAATTTCATGACAACTGACAAGATTGTTATGGCTATCGTTAAGTTTTGGAAAAAAATATCGTCTTGGACCCCCGAACCACTCGTTTTGAACTTTCTAATTATAGAAAAACTATTGTAATTGAAAACGATAGTTTTCACGAACAATTATTACTTTTCAAACGGTCGTTTTTTATCTCCTTTAAATCATTTCAATTTTTTTTCAAAAGATAAGGCTATGAATGTTGTAGACAGGGGCGGATAGAGGATTTAAGTGAGGGGGGGGGTAGATTNAAATTTTTTTTGACTTAAAAGACTCAAAAAGAGTCAAAATTAATGACTAAAGACTAAAAAACTAGATTTTTAATTTTTCACTCGTTTTAGTTTATTAAGACAGATATTTTTCATGTTTTGCGCTAGGGTTTCTTTCCCTTAAGCATGCTATTGAGAAGCTATTCTGAAAATAGGAACAAAAAATTCCAAATTCAGGTGAGGGGCGAATGTGCCCCCGCCCTCCCTGTATCAGCCCCTGGTCTTAGATGTTATATTTATTAATCTGAATGATTTCGGACCTAAATTTTCTGACCAAAAAGTATTTTCTCTGAAAAAGTTCGTTAACGAAGGGTCGTCGTTAATGGTCGTTAACAAAGGGCCATTTTCAAAAAACGACCGTTTTTAAAAAGACGAAAGTGATATCTTTAAAGAAAAAATCGTTTCGTTTTCCGAGTTTTCGTCGTCGTTTCAAGAACGAAACGATTCCTAGTTATGGCTATTTTTTTAAAGTACGACAAAAAAGTCTACTTTAACAGATATTGAATATTTAATTTTAAATCGAAATATCAATTGGAATATCAAAACAAGCAGACCCAAGGAAAGTAAATAAAAGTTATTCTTGAATAATGCCGCAAATATTTCACGACGATATGACATGCCTTACTTATTTGAATTCATTTATAACAAATAATAAAATAATTGACAATTCTCTCATTTGGATTCAAAATTTTTGATTAAAATTAAAATTTATTAGAACAACCTAAAATTTCTCTCAAAGTTGACAAAGGTGAATTTTATATAATTATATATTTCACAATTGAATTTAAATACACCGCCGAATTCCAAATGTGACCAAATAACCAGGGGTGGTTTATGTTTCAAAATAAAATAAAAACTAAACAATAACCGGCAAGATACTAAAAATAACAAAAACAAAAGGAAAATCGAAGAGGGGGGGGGGGTTAGGCTTTGAAACATAAAACACCCCTGTAAATAATTCTCAGGGATTCACGTAACTAATTCAATAATATTCTAACATCACAAAAAGTTTAAACCATATCTGAGTACATTAGATCAATGGAGGGCTGAAACATTGTTTGGATTACTTTCCGCTTGAGTTTGAAGGCTGCGGTGACCAGGCCTGACTCCGGGGTCCAGGGTTCAGGTTCAAGGGTTATCCTGGTTGGGATCTCAAACCTCTCCAGGTTTGTTTTCTTTCCGTGTAGAGATAAGGTCTTCAATACGGCCTAAACAATTTTTTATTTTCCACAAAAATATTAAAAACTATCAAAATAAGCATACGCAAAGGGGTAAATGAAAAAAAACCAAGCGGCACCGAAAAATATTATTAAATGATTGATGAAAAATAAGAGAGAAAAAAAGTAAACCATATTTTCTTAAATCTTGCAAAAATCCAAACAGGAAGAGGGAAGAACAAACATGATAAGAATGAAAAAAGGGAGAATATTCGGTGAGCAAAATATTTTTTCAATGGATATTTACAATAATATCTTTAAAACATAAAACATTCAAGGAAAAAGAAAAGAAAAGGGAAAAAGTAATTTAGTTGGTTAATTGGATAAACCAAAACAAAACTATTTAAAATTTAGAAGCATAGATCAAAAACTTAAATTGATGTTTGGTAAAGAAGTATAGAAACAAGAGAGAGTAACGATGACACATGAAATGAGAGATATTAAGAATAACAAAAAGAGGATGAAAGGGGTTAATAATTAGGAAAACTAAAATGGTTGCAGAATTGAAAGAAATGGATAGCTAATTACCAGGAAATTAAAGAAATAAATGTGGGTTTACAACATTACATGGAAAGTTTTAACAAAAATATTTTTAGTATTTGGAAAAGTTAAATTGCTTTATAATTTTGTTAAAAAAAATGCGATAAGACTGCAAACTTAATTAAGGCGAGAATTTCCATCGGGAGAACTGAACTTTACCGGTAATTTACTTTTCCAGTCGTTTCGAGACTTTTTTCATGAAATTTCATCACGAGCGTAAGTTGTCAGTTCTCCCTGGTAATAATAAATAAATAGCTTAACTTTAATCTTTCTGATAAAAGAAGTATTTTCAAAAATACCAACCTGAATGACGTCATTATCCTTGCAGAGCCGCTCATAGTTCATCTCCGTCTTACCGAGCTCAGTGGCCAGCTTCTCCAGAGCGTTCTTGATCGGGACCATGATGGCAACCGTGTGATATTGCAGACTATCCCCGTACACACAAATGTTCTCAACCAGGGGATGGGTCTTCAGCTGGGATTCAACTTTACCTAAACGAACATTATTCTTACATTTTTATTTCGGGATCGCATTGGATGGAATTATATGGACCCGGCCCTTGCTATTACCTAGTGAGACATATTCTCCGAGTTGTAGTTTAACAAGATCCTTCTTACGATCAATGATCCTGAGCACTCCGTCCCGATCCATCTCCCCAATATCTCCAGACTTAAACCATCTAAATAGAATACAATTTAGCTTTTTTTTTACAAATACAGTGGGGGGGATGCCTGGATGATTGCTATTTCTATTTTGAGATATAAATAAACTAAGAAGGGATTGCTAAGCGTAATTTTAAGTGAAAAATATAATGGCAATATTCGATTTCCGATGTTAACCTTTTTGATCAATATTGGAGAAATATGTTGTCGTTTCCAAGGTCATAACGCAAGGAAAATTAATTGCAGTTGCGTATACTATGCGTAAATATTGAAACCCTCTCTGGGCGGAATTTGTAAACAAGAATAGATGCATCAGTGTTCGTTTAGTATCCAAGGAGTTTAAAAGCTATTAATTTTGATAATTCACATAATAGTTTCCTATGACCAGAATATTTCATTGATTTTTTTTGTGGAAGATGGATCCCATGTCAGGCTTCGAGTTCTATCTTGCGTTTACATTACCCCCAGAGACAGTACACTTTCCTTGCACATACTTGATCAGACAAAGCTTTTAAGGATACCTTTTGAATTATTTGAAATTACGCTTACGCAAGATGTATTACCAACCTTTTTCCGTTTTCAATAGAGAAATCCTCCTTTGTAAGTTCATCGTTCTTAAAATATCCCTTAGCAACAGATTTCCCGCCAATTAAGATTTCTCCACGTGGGAACGGTCTAAAAATTGACAATTAAAACGTACAAAAATACGAAAATAGTTAGATAAACGAAATGAGAGTCAACGGGAGCAAATAGAACCAATAAAAGTAGTAAATTCCAGGAAATTATAAAAAAATTAAGTAAAATAAGAAAACGAAGTAAAAAAAAACAAAATGTTTTATAAGTCGAACAATTTATGTTAAGGTGAAACTCAAAAAAAATTACCCATAATTAAAGCTAGCATGAAATGAGGAGGTTTAAACTTCAAGTTTAATAACTGATAGATCCAACTATTAAATATTAGTCGTATAGGTTAAAGGTCATTTTGTATGTTCAAATTAGAGTTTAGTGAGAGCAATTATTCGAGACAATCTATGGTTGAAGTTCGACACAATGCATCAATACTTGGCGGCGCGGCATTTACTGAAAATAAAAATCAATACAACAAAAGCTTCAGCTCAAAACATAGAAATCCACAATTATCTTACTTAGTATTCAAAGTAGCCCAGAAAGTCACATGCATATGACGCAAATATAGGCTTTCTCTCAATGTCAACAGCCACAGAACATGTGTAGGAAAAAAATTATTAATACGCTTTAAAATATTGCGTCAGCAAAATATATAACATGACTCGGATAAAATGTTCATTAATTAGTTGTAAAAAGCGCATCAATATTCAATATGCTTTATTCCTGATTTTGATTCTTACTGACAGTTAATAAAAATATGAAAAAATCAAAACATGTTGACTTATCTAAGATCGATTATTGTGATCTATTAAACCAATTTCTTCCCTGGGTGGAATAAAATAAAACGATTTTAAAAATTAGTGATGAATTATGGCACAAAGTCTACGGTTGGAGTAGACCATAATTATTAAAAATCCTTGATTAAAAAGTTTCAAGAAAAATTAAATATTGAAATAAAAATGCAAAAGTTACTCTTTCACGGGTTTGAACAATTATAATCTTACTTGTCTGTGACCCTGTAGTTCCCTTCCTCCCAGTTGATGAGCTTCACCTCCATCCCCGCCATGGCAGGTCCCACCTTTCCTGTCGTAGCATCCTCAGGTTCCATACACGTGCCAGAGCAGGTGGTCTCAGTCATACTGTATCCTGATTATAAATAAAAATAAGAAACAAAACGAATTTTACATTCTCCAATAAAGTTTTCTTTTAAGCATATATTTCAAGTTTATGAATAATTAATCTAATCTTTAACTACAGTTCCTACATAATAGTAATAATATAGAACATAAAATAGTATTTACAAGTTCTGATGGAATGTACAGTTTAACCCAGAACGTCGGAGACACCGCTAGAATGTAAAGTATGTCGTTTTCTAACCCTTCTAGTACTGAATGCTGCAGATATTTAGATTTTTTAATTTTATTATTATTTGAAAACCATTGAAAAATTGTCAAGACGACATTTTATAAATTAATATTATGCAAGTTTTCCTGGAAGAAACGTACCTTGCACTAGAGTTAGGCCGAGGCAAACCCTGATAAAATCATGAGTTTCTGGTGAGAGAGGAGCTCCACCTGTGATTGCAAACCTCATTCGTCCTCCAAGAAGAGCCTGAAGAACAATTTTTTTCAGTCTACCAGAGTCTAGTAAACGTCGGCCATTTTCTTTTTCGACATTATAATTTTATATCCAGTCGACCAGTCTAGTAAACGTCGGCCAATTACTTTTAAACTTACACGGGCAACGGCCCGTACTCCAACTAGTTCATTATTCAAGCTTAAATTAATTTTATTTGAACATGAAAAATATGTTACCTTAATTTTATTAAAAACTATTCTATCCACAATTGGTGTTTGACTACCCGATCTAGTCCAGTACAGCTTATATCTAAATAAATTAAACAATTGTTTTTTTTTGGGAAAATGATATCTTTAAATAAAAAAAAACAAAAAAAGTGGAAAATACTTAAAAATATTCAGATAAAAAATGAAAAAAAAAATTGCCGACCTATAGCAAAACTCGAAAACTTTCTGAAAGTTGACGCCGCGCTTGTTGACACTGTCAATGATGTTCTTGTAGATCCTATCCAAGATCAACGGAACTACGCACATCATGGTCGGCTTTAATACGCTGGCGTCACCCTTCTGTCCACGCTTCACCTAAAAAAGTTTATTTAAATATGTAAACAAAACAAAAAAAAATATTTAGAATTAAAAAGTTAGAAACGTGTTTAAAACTGAACTTAATGTAGGAAAAAAAATATTTTTCACTAAAAGGAAATCCGTAATATAACGGCAAAATTAACAACGTAAGAAGATGAATAAATTTGTTCTGTTTATTGCAAACAAAATCATTTCAGACTACCTTTGTGGACATATCTGTCATGGTATTAGGCGATGAGTATCCTACTGGTACACCAAACATCATCATTGTACACTCAGAGAGTAGTTCCAATACATGAGCTAGGGGTAGGTAACCTATGTACACGTCGTCAGCGTTGAACCCGGAGAGGAACATAATGCAGGTCGAGGTGGAGATTAGGTTCTCATGGGTCAACACAACACCCTGTACATAATTATTGCATCAATATATACTACACCCTGTACATAATTATTTCATCTATTACAACCTGTACATAATTAGTGCATCAATACTACACCCTGTACTTAATTTTTTCATCCATTACAACCTGTACATAATTATTGCATCAATACTACACCCTGTACTTAATTTTTTCATCAATTACAACCTGTACATAATTCTTCCATCAAGTACAATCTGTACATAATTATTTCATCAATACGACACCGACGTCAAGTTAAACATTTTCTCATTTACTATTTTGTCAATATTTGAAAATGTGCAAAAATGCGTCGGCAGTCCAAATCTGTTATTGAAAACGTAATTAATATAAAATTTGGCTGAACCAATTTACTGGGGGATAAAAGGGTCACCCTTGTAAATTATGATTATGTAAATTATGATTATGTAAATTATGATTATGTAAATTATGATTATGTAAATTATGATTTTGTAAATTATGATTATGTAAATTATGATTTTTTTTTATTCATTAAAGACAAAAAATCGTCTTGAAACGCTGATTTCAAAACAATCATTTAAAATAAATGAAGCTTGATTGAAAAAGTGAGATATTTATCTAAACGTCAAAAGCTGGTCAAAACTGACAGTTTTAAGCATCCACTTTCTAACACCTCGAAACTTTGAATATTTGATTCTATATGATGAAAACAATTCTTTAGATGGTAGATACCAAAATTAGCCAGTTAAAAAAAAATAAAAATTCCGGAGTTTTAAGGTTAAATTTAAGGTTAATTTTTCAAATTGTAACGAAATGAAGCTCAAGATAATTTTTTCCATTTCATTCGTAGAATTGAATTCCATTCAAAGAAAACGTTGAACATGTTAAGCGTTGGTCGAATTGAAATTACGAGAAAAAATTATTTTCTTAAAAAGCACACCTTGTTAAATACATCCGTACAACTGCATTAGTGTACAATGTACATATTACATACCCTCAGTGCCCCAGTATAATCATTAGTGTACATCGTACATACCTTGGGTACCCCGGTAGAACCACTAGTGTACATGATAATGGCGGTATCATCAGCTGATGGATGGTTCTCTTCTAGCTTAGATTCTTCTCCCATCTTCACAACTGTTTTAAACGGCAGGATTCGAACACCCTCCTTGAACCCTAAAAAAACAAAAACTTTACATTACAAACTTGCTGAAAAAGAAATCCTCTTCATCTTTTTCATCGCTAAGTTTTTTTTTGTGAAGAAGAAATGATTGTCTGAAGGAAAAGATTTTTTAAGAGGGAAAGGGGTATCAAAAGATCCATTCGAATTTGTATATTAAGAGATACAAAAATTAGCTTCAAGCCATACGAAATTGAAAACTGAGAAGACCCTTGAAAATGGATCCCAAATTGATATCCTATAAATAGAAAACTTAGATAAATACATCAAACATTGGATAATCCAATATGATATTAATCTGAGACGATCTTCAACTACCGTTTCAAATCGTTCTCTGTACAAATTAAATCATGTTGAAATTTCTTTTAAAATAATTTTATTTTAATAATTTTTGTCTGAAAGAGAACAATAACAAAACCTTGTTTTTGAAAATATGTTTTAAAGTATTTTGGATTAGTTTTATTTGTCTGGAGATTATTTGTAACATGAAGCCGTAGAATGATATTTGCAAAGCACTCCCTGTCTCAAAGAATTCACATATTATAAATATATACTTTGCTTGTTTGTTTGTTTGTATCCAATAAACGTCAAAACGTCTGAACCGATCGGGTCCAAATTATGTGTGGAACTTTTCAAAAATTAGCCACCAACAAAATTCGACTTTAATTAAATTTTGAAAATCCACGATTTTTTAAAATAAAATCTGCGAACCTTTTTTTGCTTTTGTTTTACAATGTGCACACAGAGAAAATGTTCACAATTGAAAAAGAAGATGGGCGCGAAGCGCCTTGTAAGCCGAGTATTATAAATTTAACAAAGTACTTAAAAAGTAAAAATGAGTAAGTTAATTCAGTGCCGGGAGGGGAACATATTTATACATTTCTATTAATCATGAATTTTAAAAAACATATTTCTCAAATTTAAAACAGATAAATCCAAAGCCTTTTGTAATAAAAAACATCATGCTTGGAATAAAATAAACATATTTAGAAAAAAACGAAGAAAACTACATCTTGTTTTGATTAAATAAAATCTAGGGTGAAGAAAAATGGCTATTCTACCATTATTAAAAATAACAGGTTTTTTTTATTATCACCTCCAACCCCCCCCCCCCCGAAGTTAGGTATTTTTTATGGGTTTCTTTGCTGAATTGGGAAATTAAAGGTTTTTTTGGGGGGAATACATATTAAAAAGGATGAAAACACTTTCGCCCCCCTGCCCCCCCAATTTATCAAAACTAATTTAGTTTTTAATTATTAACTCCTGAAAATTTAAAAGACAAATATATAAAAAAAAATTATTGGGGGGGGGGGTATAGCTACCTGATGTATCTGTAGGGAAAAGCTGATCTTCAAGATACACTATTGTATGAATTTTAGGACACTGGGGCAACATGTTCTTAAACTTAGGGAGCATCTCGTGGCTTGTAATCACCAGGCCAACCTGGAGAAAAAGGGTGTGAAAAACGATAAAAAATGTGAAAACGTCACTAGTAGAAGTGAAAATGAAACTTTGGTAAAACTCAAATTAGATTTGATATTCAGGGATGAATTTCTGAATTTACAGAATTGAAAAAAAAAATTTGACCGAGTTTGGTAACAAAAAACTTATTTATTTGAAGAAAATACGATTTTTCACTATACAATTTTCAATGTTTTACAATTTTTAAATTGTTTTGAACTTAGGTTTTTAAGCCGGATATCCAATATCCATATTTTTAGGATTTAATTTTATTTTTATTTTCATTAACACTACTGAAAATTTTTAATCATTAAACTCCATTTAAGCGGCCCATTTTTGAATTGTGAAAAATGCATTTAACAAACTGCCTTAGAATTCGAAGTGGAATACTACTTTGCTTCTGTACAATGGATTCAGAAAAATTTCTCACCCTTACTGGAGAATAGGAATAAAAAATTCACATTATTTTTTTAAAAAGCTGTTTTTCGATATTCAACAAAGTTCATTAAAAGGAGAGGCCAGCTGGGTAACATAGTTGAACCGAATGGTTTTAGGATTCATTTATTATGCGATTACATTGAGTCGTTTTCACAGTGAATAATTACTAATTAAGAGCGTTTATTCTTATGTAAATTTTACATCTTTCGTCCGGGTTGTTACATAATGTAATAAAACGATTCTTCAGCGGACCATCCCTTCTGGTTAAATTTACAAACTTATTTAGAAAATTTACACTTTAAAAACATCTCAATGGTATCAAACGAATCCTATTTCCCCACCTTTTAACACCATGCACTCTCGGTTCAACTACGTTACCCAGGCAGTCCCTCCCTTTACCGTTATGTGGTTTTTTTACAAACTTCACCGATAAATATTAAAATAGTCTTGGTCATATCACAAAAACTATTTTCTTTAATTAGCTTTAATACTTACATCGAACATTTTCTAATCCTTTAATCTTTCAGACCTAATATCGTAGATATTTCAAACTAAGTATGGAACCAAATGGCTAAAATTTAAGATATCTAAGGTTTACAATATCAGGTTGCAAAGATGAAGGGCACAGAATGTGAGTTGAAGCAAGTATTCAGTTCCTTGCCATTTTCTCACGTCTTGTTTTATAAAAACAACGCTTCGGGGGGATATTATCAATTTTTAGAGAAAAAAAAGAATATTGCAAATCTTTTAAGAGTAGGAGAAGATAAGTGTCTAACCTCTGTCTCGTTGAGTCCATGGATAATAGCCTCGTCCCCTAGGTTGGTATACAAGGTGGAGACCACGATTCTCTGTGAGAATGCTCCGAAGGCGGACATGATCCACTCCGCCCTCGTCTCTGCATAGATGGCAATCGGCGTCTGAGGCTGTTCCCCGAGCACACGGAGACCCTTCCCGAAGTTTGATGAGATAACATGAGCTTCGTTGTATGAAATCCAGCGGTAGGATCCCAGGCTCAACTTTTTAAACATCTAAACAAGGTATAGTAACTATGTTTGTATGTCCGATCATAACTCATGAACCCCTTGGCTGATTTGCTTCAAATTTTGATTGAGGAACTCGGGAGAACCACGGAAATGTTATTAGCTTGGTTTTGAGATTCTAAGTTGAGTGGGTCGACTTTTATAGGGAAACATGGCTAAAATCGTAATTTTCGAAAAAGTGCGGCTAAACAGCGGAAGGAACTGTGCGCACCCTGGGCAACACTGGGTTCTCAAGCTAGTGGGTATGTATCCCCTCCCTTCTACTACTCAAAAATCTTCTTTCCCTATATATGAAACAATTACGCGCTGCGGGAACACATGTTTTGTGTGTCTGCTAATCTGAGGAAAATGAATCAATTTGATTATGAAGTAAAATCTTCATAACTACCACCCTAAAAACAAAATCTTTCAAAATTTTATTTGAAATTTAGTTCCCTGCATGATATTAAAGATAATATAAGCATTAAAATGAACATTAGATAAGAATTAAATTTAATAAAGAAATTCTTGTTCAGAATAAATTACCGAGATTTATCAAATTCGCTTATCTTTTCATGTATGCTACTTGTTCTTATTTGGTATACAAATATACACATTATCTTAAAATTTTTTTTTCTTCTAGCTTTTTCGTTAACAAATATCATCTAGCTGGAAACCATAAAATATAGATTTAAGAGAAGTATAATTAAAATTTGTCTACAATGCACATTTCCAATGGCGAATTTGTTACTAATGATTTACTTTTATTTAGAATTTAAATCTACTTTATTCTTGTAATTTCGTTCTTTGCATTAAAATGAAACGCAAGCCCCCCCCCCCCCTCCAACCTAAAAACACTTCTAGAAAACAGGACAATTAGATTGACTGTTAAATATCTTACTCTCTAAATGTAAATATTTTAGCTTTAAGAAAAACAAAAAATGGGTTTAACTAAAATTCATGAAAATTTTCCAGATATTAGTTTGTGAAGACCAAAAATCGAGGAATTCTGTAGAAAAATAAATAAAAGAAAAGCTTTGAAGTGTATAAAGCCATGAAACAGTTGTATTCATCTACTTTTATTAATAGAAATAGTGTCACAAAAAAACTTCACACTTTTTTCTCTCACAAGCTTAATTATTATCCGATCATAATTAAATTTTTATCGCAGCGTCTCTAGAACGTTAGGACAACATGGTTAAAAAATTATCTAATTTTGTCAACCCTGCTCTGAATAAATGCGCTTTATCAGGTGTGTGAAGATTTTTTTTGACAGTCTTTATATATTTTGCTTGTTTGTATACAATAAAATGTGTAACCCCGCATGACTCCAGGGAACGTTTGTGGATGCTCAGAATTACAAAAAGTTGTGTCCAAAAGCTTCTGATTTTTGTAAAAATTTAAAAATACGCGAACTTTATTTTGTTATTGTTTTATACTGTACAAATAGAAGATGCTCACAGATAGAGCCACAATTGAAAGATAAATGGAGGATGAGTGCGAAGCACCCTAAAACCTAGTAATCATAAATAAGACGTTTCAAACCTTGCCGTTATCTTGCATCTCGTCCTCCTCCCCAAGGACCTCCCTGGTGCCGAGGCACTGCTTCGACCCATGCTTCCTCACACTGTAGTTGAAGGCCTTGGTCACAGTGTCCACCTAAACAGACATCAATCAGAAAATCAAGTGGGTTCTCATCGGGTTTTTTGACGCTGGAACTTAGTTCGGAATAAAATAATTGAAATAATTCCTTAAAAATTAAGATTTTCTGTAATAAATAATTTTAGGAAATTTCGTATTTTCGCAGAAATTAATTAAAAAAGGTTTTATTATATTCATCCAAAATTCAATTCATTAATTAAATCAGAACTTCCACAGATAGTCCGGGATATGTGTTAATTATTCCCCTAATATGCATAAATATTTTATCATATGTATGCATCGAGTAATTAGCCCTTCTTGTCTAACTTTATAAAACAGTGTCTCATCAAAAGCATGTTTATTAAGGAAACTTTTGTCATTCTCGATGTCAAGGATCAATTGACGTTTATATCATTTATGGATCCAAATAAAAGCGTCATTTCTTGCAGCCGAGAGTGCTATTACGAAGGGTATGATACTTATCATTTAATTCCAAATAAAAACATCAAATTGAAATTGAAACTGAAAATAATCAATTTTCAATTAAAAAAACAAAGATATTGTCGGAAGAGGGTCACTTTTAAGTACTTTTACAAATATCTTAATTAATATTTTCTTATTTACAGGTATTTTGTCAACAGTTTGATGAAAACATTTAACCCAAATTAAATCCGAGCATTGATAAGGTTTAAAGGAAAAACTTTAAGTAAAGTCTAAACTCCAAACAACTAAAAAAGTACATTGTAATCGTCGGGTGACATGCATTTTCATCATGTTAATTGCGAAAACAGGAAAAAAATAATTCTGTTGTTTTAGCTCGATAACTTCAAGTAATTATAAGCTTAAAAATCAGAATAATAAGTTCAACTGAAATAATTATAGTAATTTATTGAAAATAAAGTTCTTACTCTCTTGATTTTAGAACCTTTTTCAATTGATCAAAAATATCAAATGTTTAAACTTTATTAAATCAATTATGAAGCTCTAATTTGATCAGCTGAATATTTGGAACTTTTATTCAGAGATAAAAAATCAATAAAAAAGGCAGGAAATTTATTCTCAGGTGATCAAAAAACAAAAAATTATTAAAATATTGCATTTCTTCATTATTCACCAATCAGAAAGAAACACTTAACTATTTGTAACTGCCAAAAGAAACTATAAAAGTGTTAACGTTTTATTTCTAGATTTTGTTATTAAGGACTAATAAAAATATTTAAATACGGATAAAAAATGCAGGAATCCATGAATCACCCATAAAATAAAATATTAAACACATTTGAACAAAATTTTGAGAATTGCCATGATCAAGCTTTTTTTAACTTGGTTTTTCAATAAATCTACCAGTTTCATAAATCATGGTACTTCGTAATGTCTTCAAAGGGAGTGTGTGCGAAAAATGAAAGGGGGTATAGGCTTACGGCGATAAATAATCGCTTCTGATCGCTACTAATCTTACTTCTATCTGTTGCGTCTATAAAGAGAAAATTGTTAAAAACGTCTTATACCGAAGATCGAAGTGTCCATACAAATTGAAGAAGTTGGAACAAACGACTTGGATCGTAAAAATATCAAATTAATAATCCAGGTTATTTCCATAAAATTTACTGAATTTTTTAACAAAGCAGAATATTCAAATTTTTTGTCTTATTTCAGGAATTTTTATTTTAATTTCTCTATTTTTCAATAGTTCAGATTTGGGGTTTGAGAGTAAATTTTTTTCTTTAGTTTTTTGTTGATATTTTGCCCCTTGGATCCGGATATCCGCATATTTTGCGGATCTTCTCATATTTACCATTTAATAGGATCTTTGCTACATGAGTTGATCCGAATATTTTTGCTTTCTTTTCAGTAATGGTTTCCTATATTAGTGATCAATCCTGTTTCCTACCTGGTTTTCAATAATGATCTCCTATTCAGGGATCAATCCTGTTACCTATCTGGTTTTAAATAATGATCTCCTATTCAGAGATCAATCCTGATTCCTACCTGGTTTCAATAATGATCTCCTATTCAGGGATCAATCCTGTTTCCTCCCTGGTTTTCAATAATGATCTCCTATTCGGGGATAAATCCTGTGTCCTACCTGGTTTCAATGATCTCCTTTTCAGGGATCAATCCTGTTTCCTACCTTGTTTTCAATAATGATCTCCTTATAGGTTGGGTTATCATTGCTTTTATCCCTTCTGAAATGAACCTCCTCACTAGACGAGGTAACTAGGTAAGGGACGGGGGCTGGGTTCCCTCCTTTACCCTTCCTGAAAACAAATAGTTTTGTGAGTCGCGCAAATTTTCGGAAGTGTTCCATTTTGATCCGGATCCGGATCAGTCACGTAAATGAATAGATCCGGATCATGGATCACTATCTTCTATCAAGACCAACACTCGAATTGTGTTGAGAAGATTTTTTGACATATTTTGCCGATATTTTGCACTCCTTGATCCGAATATATTTCCGGATCCGGATTAAGGAATCTAAAATGCTGCGGCTCCGAATCCTTAGCACTGAATTTTAGAAATTACTTAATGATGAAAATGCAACGTTTCACATTTTGAAATGTTGATGAATAATGAAAGCTTGCAAAAATGCCCGGTTAACAATCATATAAAAGAGTTATTCTGAAAGTATTTCTACTAATCATAGAAAAACTCTTAGAGTCATTAAATTAAAGTTTTAACGAACAAGAAAATAAGATTCAGTGGAACCCACTTCGGATGCAATTGATAATAAAATTGGTACAATTTGACCGTGTAATTTTTTAAACGATTTATACAAAGTCTATTTTTATTTATACTTTATTTTCCTTCTTCAGGTTGAGAGCAGAGTAGATGAATTTTGTTAAAAATGAAGAGAAGGAGCGGGGAGGGGGGTCGGGAGAAGGGAATTACAAATAACTGAAAAATATTAATTTTGATTTTAAAAATTCGACGGTATTAAATTATTTCTCTTCTACTTACTTCCAAGGTTGTGAGAGAGCATGGTATACAGGGTAGGTAACAACATCATAGACGAAGACGATCACCTGGGCCACGGTCAGAAAGATATCAACGATCATACTAAAATTGATCGTAATGAAATTTTCCTTCTGAAATGACCACACTAAAATTGATTAAACAGATATTGATTCTTTTTGAAATTGATCATATTGAAATTAATTTCACTGAAATTGTTCGAGATGAAATAGTTAAAAATGAAAATGATTTTGATCATACAGAAAACTGATAAGAAAAGATCATTTATTAATCAGTGATTAGAGACATGGTAATTCATTAGAAAGATCTAAAATCTTATTTGATATGTGAATTTTGAAATAGTAATAAAAAATTGATGAAAATAAGCTGGTAAGCAAAAAATCAATATTCATTAATTTATTTGACATCGTACAGGTGTGAAATTTTCTCGAGCCGAATTCTTTTATTGAAAGTTGACTATAAGGTGGGGGCAAAGGGGGGGAGGGGAAATCCCTAGAACACTATTTTTCTACACTTAAAAATGGGTTCTTCCGTAAGCTTCCTTGACATTATCACCAATTGTGCCCCCCCCTTGATACCAAATTTTGTTTGAAAATAAATTCAACTATTTTATAATTGTTACATACTTAATTACTCTCATTTCCTGTTATAAATAAATAAATGAAAAAGATCGTGATAGACCCCCAATGTGGGATCCCCAGACCGACTCCGGGAAGGGTCTCAGTCAGGTGCTGATTCCCCTGCCGATTCAATCTGGCACCCTAATCTCATTCCCCCTACTCTGAGGGAAATCAATTAATGCAGGTACATACCAGATGCCGTCTAGCCATTCATCCTGATGACGAAAGTGTACCCTGCAATCAAAATATTAATTGAATAAGAAAACTAACTTGTAATTGTTGAGTATTTTCTGTTCAGGGTCTCCTACAATTAACTTCTCATCTCAATCTGAAAAAAGGTTAAATTAAAAATATTTTTCAAAAAAGAATTCAATTCACCTTTATATTAGCATCATCACAAAAAATTTCAGTACAAATTCATCATTTTGTAATGTAATTCATAAAGAAAAATCTTTTGCTTACTTTATTTTAACCTGAGTTTGACCAATAATAAAACAATCCAGTGCAATGGCCATGTTAGGTCCCACACAAAATCGGGGCCAAATTATTAGTTTAGTTAAGTTCTTGTATTGAATAAATGTTTATATTGGTTTTCTGTGTAAACTGTATACCTTACATTATATCCATTCAAACCATTATTATTAGGAATATCATTTTGTATAGTTTACACAACTTGGTTTGGTTTAGCTAACTAACCAGGGAAGGAGAAGGAAGGGGGGTTCATTTCTATTGCTAACGAACTAGTTTGTTTGTAAACAGCCTTCCGTTCCTGCCTTTGTTAGGAGTACCAATCTTACTATTATTATTATCATTATCATTATAAATAAACAAAATAACATCATCGTTTTCTGTGTTGAAGATTTCAAGGAAACTTAATCATTATGTTGAATATGATCTAGTCAAGGATACCGTTGTCAATCGAGCATTACCATCTTTGCATGGAGGGTCACTTGAAATTACCCTTACAGTCCCTTTAACAACTATCCCTTCTAAATCTTAAACTAGAGATTATAAGAAATGAATATATTAAATGATACATAGATTGATACTGCTAGACCATATTAAGTCACAAGCCACTCCTTGTAACCGCCCTTCCCCCGTTCCTAAAATATTACCATAAAGTTATTCTTTTAACGTCTATATATATATATATAAAGTGTAAATCTCTGTTTGTCTGTTTGTATGTCCGATCTAATCTCATAAACGCTTTGACCGATTCGCCTTGAATTTTGATTGGGGAACTCGGGAAAATAACGGGAATGTTCTTAGTTTTGTTTTTAAATTCAGGTTGAGTGGGTTGACGTTTAAAGGGTAACATCCAGAGAACGCTGGGTTCCCAAGCTATTTCAAAATAAAAATGAACATGATAAATACCAACATTGTTAATGTCGATCGGGTTTTAAAGTCATTAATTATCTGTAGTTGTAATTTAAAAGGATCCTCTAGCCTCCATTCAAAGAGGTTGTACCCCACTCACGGATACTCATGGATATCTATTTCAAGGCAGACAGACAGGACTTTTAAGGAAACGTTGTGAAACGGACATAACGCTCAACTGACGGACCATCACTTAAAAATTTAGTCTATATTCACATAATAAAGACTGTCGGGGAAACTCCTAGACCCCCCCCTTAAACTAACCATATATTCTCATTGAAAATATCGAATAAAAAGTTACTTTTCACAGGGATGGTAAAAAAAATATTTCAAAGGGGGGGGGGGGGGAGAAAAGCAAATTTTCGACAAAATATACACCTCTGTTTTCATGAGTTTCCAAGTATTCAACCACGGTACGTGTTACTGTTCATTTGATCCTAAATTTTTTTTCTGAGTATTACATATGCAGGTTTTTAGAAAGAGTTTGTCACTAAATTGTGACATAAGATTGTTATCAATATCCAGATCAAAAATTTAGCGGGACAAAAAGAAGTGTTTAATTTCTCCAGGGCGTAAAAAATCAACACAAAGAAGTATTATCATATCATGTTAATGCACAATATAAACTCCTGCTAATTTTTTTATACATGGAAAATAAAGTCAAATAAAGATTTGCGCAAGAATTAATTGAAAACAACATTCGATGTACAACAATCAAAGTGTATACCAAATTATAATCTAGTTTTTTTAATGCTGAACCATAAGGTGATAAAGAAATTTATATTAATCTCTTAAGATTTCACAATTGAGATTTTTGTTCGGAGAGTAAATTATTTTATAGCAGGCTTTGATCCGGATCGAGGAAAATAAAATGTTGCGGATCCTAAGCATTGAATAAATGTATAAAAAATCTGCTAGGGAGTTAGTTTCCAGACTGAAATAATGACCTCAGCTTGAGCTTTCCCCCATTGACGCAAAACTAGGCAATTTAAGCATAAATACTTTCAGAGGCGTAGTCAGGGGGCTAAGCCCCCCCCCCATGGACCAGTGAAATCTATGAATATCAGGGGGTTTTCAGGCCCCAACGGGTACTGAGCCCCTCTCCCATAAAAGAAAAAAATGTAAGCCCTTCGGACTAATTCCTAACTACGCCCCTGAATACTTTACATCCATCCCTATACAAAGTGCTACTTCACGTGTTAACATTTAAAAAAAAGATAAATGACAAGTAGTGTTGTTTGTCCGATTATAACTCACGAACCATTGGATCGACCGATTTGCATCAACTTTGATTGGGGAACCGTGGAGAACCCCGGGAATGTTCTTAGCTTCAGATTTTAAGTTGTGTGAGTCGACTATTATGGTGAAAAATAGCTAAAATCGTAATTTAACACCAAGTGCAAATACCATTATGGAATATAAAAACTATATTTCTGCCCCACCCCCTTCTTAAATTGTACATGAAATTATCAACACGAGCGCTGCGGTCAGGGGAACGTGCGCCGCGGCTAGAACAGATTAGGGTCCGAGCGCTGCGGCCAAATGTCCAACTTTGACCATGTGTTATATGTATACATACATGGAGCTCTAAGAAAAAATTAAAAGAAAAAAAACCTTCTCTAGGAAATTACCACTCAAGTTTTCACTATGAACCCTGTAAATCAGTCTAGGAGGGAGGGGAAGGACTCGACCCCCCTCCCTCATTCTTAAACTGCATGTACTTAACTCACAGGTTTTGGATTACCGATAATTCATGACATTGAAATTTGATTCACACCATTTGCGAATGATTTAAAACACTAACGCAGCAATATAATAGACCGCCCCCCCCCCCTTCAAAGAAGAGACTGTGACGTAAGATGATATGAATTATAATAATAATTATTC